AATATTTTATCAGGTATATGATTTGCAATTATTTTCTTTCAATTTATGGGTTATCTTTTTACTTTCACGATGTTGTCTTTTGAAGCATAAAACTTTTTAATTTTGATGAAGTACAAATTGTCTATTTTTTTCTTTTGTCACTTGCGATTTTGGTGTCAGATCCAACAAATAATTGTCTAAACCAAGGTCAGGAATTCTTTGGCTTTTTCTAAAAATTTTATAGTTTTAGCTCTTACATTTAGGACTTTGATCCATTTGAGTTAATTTTTGTATATTCTGGGATATAGGGGTGCAATTTCATTTTTTGCATGTCCCAACACCAATTGTTGAAAAAATCTATTCTTTCACCCACTGAATTGTCTTGACAATCATTGAAAATCAATTGGCCTCAGATGTATGGTTTTATTTCTGGACTCTCAATTCTGTTCCATTGATCTATATATAGTATCCTATACCAATACTACACTATTTTAGTTGCTTCAGCTTTATAGTAAGTTTTGAAAATGTGAGTTCTCCAACTTTATTCTTTTGTTTTGGGTATTCTGGTCCCTTAAAATTCCATTTTAACCATAGTGATACATTGGTTGAACTAAGTACGGTTGATGAATTATTTTTGTCATCCAAATTCCATAGTTTACATTGGGGTTCACTCTTGAGGTTGTGCAGTCTATGGGTTTTGACAAATGTATAATGATATGTATTCACCATAGTAATACAGTATTGTATAGAATAGTGACACTGCCCTAAAAATCCTCTGTGCTCTGCCTATTTTTCCCACCCTCCCTCCTGGCAACCACTGACAGTTATATCCATAGTTTTGCCTTTTCCAAAATGTCATATAGTTAGAATCATACGGTACGTGGCCTTTTCAGAATGGCTTCTTTCACTCAGCAATTTGCTGCTAAGGTTCCTATATATATTTTCATGGCTTGATAGTTCACTTCTTTTTAGTGTTGAATAATATTCCATAGTCTGGATATACCATAGCTTATTTATCCATTCACTTACTAACAAACATCTTGATAATCTTGGTTGCCTCCAACTTTTAGCAATTATGAATAAAGCTGCTATAAACATTTTTATACAGATTTTTGTGTGGATATAGTTTTCAATTCATTTAAATAAATTCTAAGGAACATGACTGCTGGACTGTATGTTAACAGTATGTTTAGTTTTGTAAGAAACTGCCAAACAATCTTCCAAAGTAGCTGAACCATTTTTCATTCTCACCAGCAATGAGTGAGAGTTCCTGTTGTGCCACACCCTCACTTGCATTTGGTGTTGTCAGTGTTCTGGATTTTGGTCATTCTAATGGGTGTGTAATAGTTGTTGTTTTAATTTGCAATTCCCTAATGACACATGATTTTGAACATTTCTTTATCTTTACTTGCCATCGGTATACTGGCTTTGGTGAGGTGTCTGTTCGGATCTTTTACATATTTTTAAATCATGTTGTTCATTTTCTATTGCTGGGTTTTAAGAATTCTTTGTATATTCTAGGTAACAATCCTTTATCAAATGTGTTTTTTGCAAATATTTTCTCCTAGTTTGTGGCTTGTCTTCTCTTTACAGTTATCTTTTGCAAAGCAGAAATTTCAAATTTTAATGAAGTCCAGCTTATCAATTATTTCTTTCAGGGACCATGCTCTTAGGTGGTATCTAAAAAGTCATCATCATACCCACATTCGTCTTAGATTTTCTCCTATATTCTAGAAGCTTTATAGTTCCACATTTTCCATTTAGGTTTATGATCCACTTTGAGTTAATTTTTGAAAAGGCTCTGTGTCTACATTCATTTCTTGCTTGTGGATGTCCAGTTGTTCCACCACAACTTGTTGAAAAGACTACTTTTGCTCCATTGTATTGCCATTACTTGTCTGTCAAAGATCAGGCAGGGCACAGTGGCTCACACCTGTAATCCCAGCACTTTGGGAGGCTGAGATGGGTGGATCACCTGAGGTCAGGAGTTTGAGACCAGCCTGACCAACATGGTGAAACTCCATCTCTACTAAAAATACAAAAATTGGCTGGCTGTGGTGGTGTGCGACTGTAGTCCCAGCTACTCGGGAGACTGAGACAGGAGAATCACTTGAACCCGGGAGACGGAGGTTGCAGCGAGCCGAGATTATGCCACTGTACTCCAGTCTGGGCGACAGAGTGAGACTCCATCTCAAAAAAACAAACAAAAAAAATCAGTTGACTAAATTTATGTGGGTCTTTTCTATGCTTTCTATTCTGTTTTATTGATCTATTCATCTTTTCTTTCATCAGTATCATGTTCTCTGATTACTGTGGCATAAGTCTTAAAGTCAGGTAGTGTCAGTCTTCCAATTTTGTTCTTCTCCTTCAAAACTGAGTTGCGTCTTTTGCCTCTCCATATAAGCTTTAGAATCAGTTTGTCAATAGCCACAAAATAATTTGCTGGGATTTTTATTGCATTCAATCTGTAGATTAAGTTGGAAAAAACTGACATCTTAACAATTCTGAGTTTTCCCATCCATGAACATGGACTATCTCTCCAACAAAGTTTTGTAGTTTTCTTCACATAGATCTTGTATATATTTCATTAGATTTATAGCTATGTATTTCATTTTGGGGATGCTGATGTAAATGGTATTGTGTTTTTAAATTCATGTTCTACTTGTTTGTTACTGGTATAAGGGAAAGAGATTGACTTTTGTGCATTAACATTGTATCTTGCAAACTTACTATAATCACTTGTTAGTTCCAAGAGGGCTTTTTTGTCCATTCCTTCAGATTTTCTACATAGACAATCACATCATGTGCAAACAAAGATGGTTTTTCCCCCTCCCTTCCCAATTAGTATACCCTTCATTTTCTTTCTGGTCTAATTGCTTAGCTACAACTCTCAGTATGATGCTCAAAAGGAGTGGTAAGAAGGGGACATCCTTGCCTTGTTCTTGATCTTAGTGGGAAAATCCTCAAGTTTCTCACCAGCAAGTATGATGTTAGCTGTAGGATTTTTGTAGACATTCTTTATCAAGTTGGGAAGTTTTTCTCTATTCCTAGTTTATTGAGAGTTTTTATCATGAATCAGTGTTAGATTTTGTCACATGCTTTTTTCTCATCCATTGGTCTACAAACATACCTTTTCTTCTTTAGCCTGCTGATGTGATGGATTATATTAATTGTTTTTCCAATGTGGAATCAGCATTGAAAGCCTAGAATAAATCCCACTTGGTTACGGTGTATAATTCTTTCTATATTTTGCTGGATTTGATTTGCTAACATTTTGTTGAGAATTTTTGCATCTATGGTCGTGAGAGATATTGGTCTGTAGTTTTCTTTTCTTGTAATGTATTTGTCTTGGTTTGGTATTAGTGTAATGCTGGCCTTAAAGAATGAGTGATGAAGTATTCCCTCAGGTTCTATTTTCTGAAAGAGACCATAGAGAATTGGTATAATTTCCTCCTTAAATGTTTGGCAGAATTCACCAGTGAACCTGTCAGAACCTGGTGCTTTCTCTTTCAGAAAGTTATTATTATTTTATTTACTTATTTGAGACCAAATCTCGCTCTTGTCGCCCAGGCTAGAGTGCAGTGGCATGATCTTGGCTCACTGAAACCTCCACCTCACAAGTTCAAGCAATTCTCCTGTCTCAGCCTCCCGAGTAGCTATGATTACAGGCGCCTACCACCACGCGCAGCTAATTTTTGTATTTTTAGTAGAGACAGGGTTTCACCATGTTAGCCAGATGGTCTCTAACTCCTGACCTCAGGTGATCGACCCGCCTCAGCCTCCCAAAGTGCTGGGATTACAAGCATTAGCCACTGCATCCGGCCTAGAAAATTATTAATTGCTGGTCTGATTTTTTAAATAGATACAGGCTATTCATTAGTAATTCATTAGAACAGCTGACATTAATAATTTTTGAGTCTTCTCTCTTTTCTTCTTAGTCTAGCTAGAGGCTAGTCAATTGTATTGCTCTTTTCAAATAACCAACTTTTGGTCTTCTTTCTCTATTGATTTCCTATTTTCAATTTTATTGATTTCTGCTCTAATTCTTATATTTTTTTTTTTACTTTTAATTTAAATTTTTTTCTAGTTTCCTAAAGTGGAAGCTTAGATTATTTATTTTTAGAGCTTTCTTCTTTTCTAAAATATGCATTCGATGCTATAAGTTTCTATCTTTGCTAGGCATGGTGGCTCATGCCTGTAATCCCAGCATGTTAGGAGGCCAAGGTGGGAGCATAGCATGAAGCCAGCAGTCTGAGGCTGCAGTGAGGTATAATTATGCCACTGCATCCCCACTCCAGCCCGGGATTCAGAGTAAGACCACAACTCAAAAAAAAAAAAAAAAAAAAAAAAAAAACTAAGCAAAAACAAACAAAACAATCAGTGCTTTTACCGCATCCTACAAATTTTACCAAGTGTATTTTCACTTTATTTAGTTCAAACTATTTTAAATTTCTCTTGAGATTTCTTCTTTGATCCGTGTGTTATCTAGAAGTGTGTTGTTTAATCTCCAAGTATCTGGGGATTTTCCAGCAATTTTTCTGTTATTGATTTCTAGTTTAAGTGCCTAAGGCTTGAGATCAGACACTGTATGGTTTCATTTCCATTTGTTCTTCGTTCTTATTTTTGTCTTCTACATTTTTTTACCTGACTTTTGTGGTTTTAATTGAGCATTTTATATTATTCCATTTTCTCTCCTTTCTTAGCATATCAATTTCACTTTTCTAAAACCTTTTTTTAGTAGTTGCCCTACATTTAGCAATATACATTTACCAAGTCCACTGTCAAATAACACTTTACCATTTCACAGGTAACATAAGTACCCTATAATAAATTATTTCTATTTCTTCCCTCCCATTCCTTAAATCATTATCATTAATTCCCTTATATATAAGCATATATTTATATATAAGCATATATTTATATATAAGCATATGTCATTGAATACATTGTTGCTATTCTTATTCAGAACAAACTGTTACCTGTTAAATCAATTAAGTATTAGAAAAAATATTTAATTATACCTTCATTTATTCTTTTCCCAATGCTCTTTCTTTCTTTATGGATATCTCAGTTTCTGACATATCATTTTCTTTCTCTCTTAAAAAAAAAACAAAAAACAAAAAAAAACTTCTTTTAACATTTCTTGTTCAAGGCAGGTCTACTGGCAACAAATTCCCTCAATTTTTTTTTTTTTTTTTTTTTTTGGTCTAAGAAAGTCTTTACTTCTTCACTTTTTTAAATCTTTGATTTTAATTTAAAAATTAGCTTAATGATAAGGATATGTTACACCATGTGTACATTTACATGAACACTGTATGTTTACCTTGGTTTTATATCAAAGTTTTTACTTAAATCTTTCCCAAGAGAAGAATCACCATCTGTTAGTGACATATTGCAATTAAACTATGAAATGATTCTGAAATTTTTTTTCTATTTTGAAGATACTTTTATTTTTAAGGAGGAATTAGTTTCTCTTCAGATGTTCATTTTTGACTCTGAAAATTTTAATTTTTTTTTTTTTTTTGGTCTAGACTGGTTTGAAACAGTGACATTATTTTGTGTACTAGAATGTCCTCTTGTTTAGACAGATTTATAGTACTAATTAGAAAGCTGCTAACACCCTTACTTCAACTCATCGAGATAATTTAGATTCTTAAAACATAAGGAGAGATAACTTGTTGGAAACATTTTTATAACTTTAGTTAAAAACAGTATAAAAAACATAAAACACTTTTTTTTTTTTTTTTTTGAAACAGGGTTTCACTCTGTCGCCCAGGCTGGAGTGCAGTGGCGTGATCATAGCTCACTGCAGCCTTGAACTCATGCTCAAAGGATTCTCCTGCCTTAGCCTCCCAAGTAGCTGGCACTGCAGGCACATGCCACCATGCCTGGCTAATTTTTATTTTTTAATTTTTTTGTAGCAAAGGGGTCTTACTTTGTTGCCCAGGCTATTCTCAAATTCCTGGGCTCAAGTGAACCTCCCACCTCTGGCCTCCCAAAGTGCTGGGATTATGGGCTTGAGCTGCTACTCCTGGCCATGAAACACAATAAAAAAAATTTTAAGTCTACATGAAAAAATTGTACCTCCTTCACAGTACAGAATCAACTTCCTTATCATTCTTACACAAAAATATTTCTCAATTCCATTTACTGGTATTCAGGGATTTGAATCCTCATATAGTGCTTCTGCAAAAATGTGTGTGTGTGTTTTACATTAAAGCATAAATTAGTGGTATTGTTTGAGTAACCCCCAAATAATGTTTACATGAAATACTCTTTTATTTTTTCCAAGTCTTGATCTGATTACTGACCACTACATCCTTGTAGTATCAAAACACTTAGAACTAAAGCAGCTTTACTGTTGAGTCAGGAGGAAAATGCATGGCAAGAAGTAGTTTCAGTTTGAAAAAGGCAGGTCAAGATCCTTTCACCAAAGTTAGCCACTTTGTGTTTGGCATCTAATCAATGAGGAGTGGACTCCTTCACTGGTGAAGGATAATTTTACAGGATACAGAATTCTAGGTTTGTGGGTTTTAAAAAAATTCTCAACACTTTAAATATTTTATTCCACTCTCTTCTTCATGGTTTCTGAGAATTCAATGTAATTCTTATCTTAGCTCCCCTATACGTAATGTCCCCCCTCCCTTCAGCTTCTTTCACGATTTTTAAAAAATATTTTTATTTTTCAGAGTTTAAATATGATATGCCTAGGTGTGATTTCTTGAGCATTTATCTTGTTTGGAGTTCTCTGAGCTTCTAGGACGTGTGATTTGTTGTCAGACATGAACTTGGGGGAAATTAATCATGAGCATTCTTCATTTCTGTTAGTGTTTTTTATCTCTAGCATTTCTTTTTGAGTCTTTATTAGAATTTCTATCTCTCTGTTTATATTTTCCATGTGCTCTTGCATGTTGTCTACTTTTCCATTACCTCCAATAGCACATTCGTCTTAGTTTTTTTGTTGTTGTTTTTTTGGTTTTTTTTTAGTAGAGATGGGGTTTCACCATGTTAGCCAGGATGGTCTCGATCTCCTGACCTCGTGATCTGCCCGTAAAGTACTGGTCTCATAATTCCAACACTCCTGCTCTATATGATTCTAGTTCTCCTGCTTGTTCAGTCTCTTCAAACAGTGTTTTTTGCCTTTTAGTATGCCTTGTAATTTTTTGGTGAAATCTGGAATGGTGTGAACGTCCCCTCCAAAGCTCATGTTGAAACTTAATCACCAATGTGGCCATATTGAAAGGTGGGCCCTTTAAGAGGCAAACAGATCCTGTGTGCCCTACTTTCATGAATGGATTCATTCATTCACAGATCCACAGATTCATGGATTAATGGGTTAATGAAGTAGTGGCTCATGATGGGAGTGAAACTGGTGGCTTTATAAGGAGACCTTAGCTAGAACGTTAGCACACTCAGCCTCCTTACCATGTGATATCCTGTGCTGCCTCAGGACTCTTCAGAGAGTCTGCACCAGCAAGAAGGATCTCACCAGATGCACTCCCTTGACCTTGGACTTCTCAGCCTCCATAACTATAAGAAATGAGTTCCTTTTCTTTATAAATTACCCAGTTTTATGTATTCTGTCATAAACAATAGAAAACAACACCAGACAGGATGTACTAGATAAAAGGAGTGCTGGTAAGTAGGCTTTTAGTGGTGTGTGGTAAGGTACAGGATAGGGCAAGTGTTCTGCAGTCCTATGATTAGGCCTCAGCCTTTAGTGAGCCTGGGTGGATGGTGAATCTGTGTGGATGGTGAATGTCACCAGTACTGCCTTATTTTTATTTTTTGAGATGGAGTCTAGCCCTGTCACCAGGCTGGAGTGCACTGGCACAATCTCGGCTCATTGCAACCTTTGCCTCCTAGGTTCAAGCAATTCTCATGCCTCAGCCTCCTGAGCAGCTGGGATTATAGGCATGTGCCACCACACCAGGATAATTTTTTTTTTTTTTTTTTTTTTTTTTTTTTTTTGAGACGGAGTCTTGCTCTGTTGCCAGGCTGGAGGGCAGTGGTGCGATCTCGGTTCACTGCAATCTCCCCCTCCCGGGTTCAAGCAATTCCCCTGCCTCAGCCTCCCGAGCAGCTGGGACTACAGGCATGCACCACCGCGCCGGGCTAATTTTTTGTATTTTAGTAGAAACGGGTTTTCACCATGTTAGCCAAGGTTTCACCATGTTGGCCAAGCTGGTCTTGAACTCCTGACCTCAAGTGATCCCCCCACCTCGACCTCCCCAAGTGCTGGGATTACAGGCGTGAGCCACTGAGCCTAGCCACCAATACTTCTTAATCTCCCACACTTAAGTGGAACAGGATGGTTTATGGAGGCTGGAGTTGTGTATTTCCCTTCTCCCAAGTAGTTTAGGCTCTGATAAAACCCCAGCAGACTAGGCTTTGGTAGAATACTTTCTCCTGAGGGCAGGTCTTGTTAAGAACTGATTGCTCTGGCATATTTTTAAATGCTTACCTTTTCAGCAGAGGAATCTTTCAGTAAAAATTTAAGTAATTAACCTAACTGTCAGAGGCATTTGAACCAGAGCGACTCCATTTTGAGTGAGGGCTAGGAAAATGAGGCTAAGACTTGCTGGGCTGCATTTTCAGAAGTTAGGCATCCCTCGCCTGTACATGTTTACAATTAAGGGAACAAATTAATAATGTTTACTAAAACAGACCCAGACTTGGCATTCCTAATTTTGCTTTAAAGATATCTATTCTTGCAAAATAATCAAGAAAATTAATCCTTGATCAAAACTCTTGTAGCAGAGCACGTCTCCCCATATATACAAGCATTGTAACGAGGGTGGATGCCTCCCTCCTCTTACTTTCAGGAATGTCCTGCTCTGTCTATGGAGTAGCTGTCCTTTCACCACTTTATTTTCTTAATAAACTTGCTTTTATTCTGCACTGAGAACTCGCCCTGAATTCTTTCCTGCGCGCGATCCAAGAACCCTCTCTTGGGGTCTGGATCCGGACCCCTGTCTTGTAACATAACTGAAAACCCCAGTGCAAAGGCATAGCACCCTACTTAAGAATTTGCAAACATTCGTCATTAATTATTTCAAACCATTGATTAACTTTCTCTAAGCCAGATTCCTACCTGATGTCGAAAAGAAAAGCCAAAGGTAGACTGTTTCAACACTTTCAGACGCTTGGGCAAAAAATGCACTTTCATGCTATAAATAACGCAGCACAAATACTATACGACAGGGCTTTATACTTGGGGGAAAGCTGCCAGGTCCAAACTACAAAGGAAAATTATTGGAGCTCATTTTTCCTGCCCACGTTAGCTAGCACATTTTGTTGAAACTGAAAATATATATATATATATTTTGGTGAAACTGAAAAAAAAAAAAAAAGCAACAACAACCCTATCTTGAAATAAACTACTGTACCTCTTACGCCTCATCCCTTCTACCCCAGAATCCTGGAAGAAAAAAAGATATACCCGAGCTCGTCCAACCCCTCTTTGCGCGGACTGTGTAGGAGTATTTGGCCCATCCTGCCTCCTTTAATCCAACATTCTGCGTCTTTCCTTCAGCTTCCCGGCGCCCCCTTTGGCCACCACTGACATCTTAGTCATCGCGGTCCAAAATATACGCACGCCCCTTTGAGGGCTCGCCGAGCCCGTCTCTCCCGGACAAATCTCATCCAATCAGAGCCAGCCAGGAAGCCGAGGCCCAGCAAGGCCTTGCAACGCCCAACTTCCTGGGGTCAGCTTCTCTGATGTCACGTGATTCCACCCTCCGCCTTTCGCCCACCCTCGCAGAGGGCGGTGCGCTTGACCCGGCCCCGCGAGGCACCGCCTTTCAGTTAGCGCTCGCTGATTGGTCGCTGCTCGCGCGGTCTCCTGGGTGACGGGAACGCGGTAGCCTGCTTGGTGGAGACCGGGTGCGCCTGCGTACTTCATAGTTCGCGTAGCTGCTCGAGCCTGGAGATGAAGGTAAATAACTTACAAATCCCCGGGCCGGGGGCGGGAAAACGCGACTACTGACCCTCGCTCGCTTTTAAAGGAGGGTATCTGTCCCTCTCCCTCCTTCCGAGTTCGTTGGAAATGAGAGAGAGAGGTGACCAGAGAGGGCGGGGGCGAAGTTGGACGGACGAGGGAAAGGAAAGAAAATATGAGAGGAGAGGGCGGAGAGAGAGGCCTCTCATTTTTGGGACTGCAGACGCTGTGGAAGCGGTGCAGAAAGTAGGAACCCCTCCCTGGCCGAAATGAGCGGACTGAATCTAAAGATACCCCAGCTTCGCACGCGGAAAGAACGGGTCGAGTAAACGCGTTTGGAGAGTCGCGGTGAAGTTGACTGGGTCGGATATCACGAGCTACCTCATTTCTTGGGGCTACACCTCTGGCAAGACGCGCAGCTGCCCAGCGTCTTAAAAAGAATGAAAAGCCTCCTAAAGAATAACCTCAAGTTGTATTACCTGTGACCAGTTCAATCACCTGCTAGCGAGTGTACATTATTGACAGGAAATCTGCACCCGAACACTCAGGTCTCACGCTCATGTGCCTCATCCTCTGCACGCACAGTTTCTAGGCTTGGGCTTCTGGCCCACCCCACTTTCTGATTTATCCGAGCAGTCTCCCGCTTGCTCTGCTCTGGCAAAGAAATGGAAGGCTCTTTTTTTTTTCTTTTGAGATAGAGTCTCGCTCTGTTGCCCAGGCTGGAGTGCAGTGGCTCAATCTATGCTCCCTGCAACCTCCACCTTCAGGGTTCAATCGATTCTCCTGCCTCAGCCTCCCGAGTAGCTGGGACTACAGGCGCATGCCACAATGCCCAGCTAATTTTTTGTATTTTTAGTAGAGTTGGGGTTTCACCGTGTTAGCCAGGATGGTGTCACTCTCCTGACCTCGTGATCCGCCGACCTCGGGCTCCCAAAGTGCTGGGATTACAGGCGTGAGCCACTGCACCCGGCCGGAAGGCTCAATTTTAAAATTATTTTAGGTGTCCTCATGCTTCTTCGTGGCTATTAGTGTGGTAATTGGAATTGACGGACCAGTAATCATAACTCCCATTTTTATTTCTAAAGCTCTTTACAATTTATGAAATATTAGAAGTGAAGAGATATTATTCATGATTTACAGTTGAGAATTTTTTGCTGGAGGCAATTTAAGCGACTTACTTAAAGCCCTACAGCTAATAAGCGACAAACAAAATTTAAATCTTGGTTTTTTGGTTGTGAAACTAGCACTTTTTCCTCTGCACGGTATATGGGGCATCTATAGAGCTCCACTGAAGAAAAATAATATGAGATCACAGCTAGAGGCAAGTCAGCCATAGAAGGTAATGAAATTCCTGTTTAAGGACTTGTCACTTGCATGAAGGAGTTCCAGGGTGAAATGGTCACAAAATTGCAAAAGTAAGATGCTTTTAAGTATCCTTTCTTCATGAATTTCTTTATGCTCTACAAAACTTTTATGTCCCATAATCATAGCCCACTTCTACTTTCAATAGAGGTTAATTTCTTCTTTAAGATGTAAAATGAGGCCGGGCGCGGTGGCTCAAGCCTGTAATCCCAGCACTTTGGGAGGCCGAGACGGGCGGATCACAAGGTCAGGAGATCGAGACCAGCCTGGCTAAATACGGTGAAACCCCGTCTCTACTAAAAAATACAAAAAACTAGCCGGGTGAGGTGGCGGGCGCCTGTAGTCCCAGCTACTCGGGAGGCTGAGGCAGGAGAATGGCATAGACCCGGGAGGCGGAGCTTGCAGTGAGCTGAGATGCGGCCACTGCACTCCAGCCTGGGCGACAGAGCGAGACTCCGTCTCAAAAAAAAAAAAAAAAAAAAAAAAGATGTAAAATGCTCACTGGGACAGGGCGTGGTGGGTCACGCCTGTAATCCCAGCACTTTGGGACGCCGAGGCAGGTAGATCACTTGAGGTCAGGAGTTCTACATCAGCCTGGCCAACATGGTGAAACCCCGTCTCTACCAAAAATATTTAAAAAATTAGCCGGGCATGGTGGCATGTGCTTGTAATCCCAGCTATTCAGGAGGCTGAGGCAGGAGAATCGTTTGAACCCAGGAGGTGGAGGTTGCAGTGAGCATCGTTTGAACCCAGGAGGTGGAGGTTGCAGTGAGCCAAGATCGCCCCACTGCACTCCAGAGCCTCAACAGAGCAAGACACCGTCTAAAATAAAAATAAAAATAAAAAACCTCATTGCTTTGTGTTTGGTTGGTTATTTATTTATTTTGAGATGGAGTCTCGCTCTGTCACCCAGGCTGGAGTACAGTGGCGCCATCTCGGCTCACTGCAACCTCTGCCTCCTGGTTTCAAGGGATTCTCGTGCCTCAGCCTCCCAAGTAGCTAGGATTACAGGCGCACGCCACCATGCCCAGCTAATTTTTTGTATTTTTAGTAGAGACGAAGTTTCGCCATGTTGGCCAGGCTGTGTTTAATTTTGAGGATTGTAAGAGTTTTGTGTTGCTGCACAGACTAAGTCCCCTGTAATAATATCTAAACTTCATATGCCTAGATATGGGCATCATTGTTTTAATCTATAATTTAACCTAATATTGAAATCCAAATTTTTTCACCCAAACTCATATTCCTAAATGTTCTAGATCAACACTGTCTAATATAAATGTAATGTGAGCCAATGTAATTTCATATTTTTATTGACCATTAAAAATTCTTTAAGAAAACAGGTAAAATTTATTTTAATAATGTATTTTATCTTACCCAGTATATCAAAAAATGTTATTTCAACATGTAATCAGTATAAAAATTAACAATGAGATAGTTTATATTCTTGTTTCAGTCGTTGAAATCTAATATACGTTTTATATTTACAGCACGGCTAGGTGGGGATTACTTATATTCCAAGTCCTCAATAGCTACATGTGGTTTGTAGCCTCCATCTTGGACATCACGTTTCTAAATTGTTTCAAGGAAAAGAAAGACTTTTCAGTTGATAACACTATTCACCCAGTAGCCAAGTTAAACACTTAATGATGATGTAAATATACCAATGAAACTAATAGAAGAAAATAATGTTGAAAGGAGTAAAGACATTGTGTATTTTTATCATGTTTAAGATAGCAGTTTTTGTGTTTAATCACCAGGAATCCGTGCCACAGATAATTAACTGAATTCAGGCTTCAATTATTTTAATCTTTAACATCTACAAAACACTAAAATGACACATTTTTATAAAATTAACATTCAGAAGCATTAAAAAGCCAAAAAAATTTATAATAAAAGCTCTCCTATATCTTAAGATCTGTAATTTACCACGTAGTTGCGTATGTTTGGTTGGTTGGTTGATTTTGGTTTGTTTGTTTTGTTGTTAACTTCTAGATAAGCTCTAAAATAATCCTCACCATCCTGAATCCTATTGTTTTCATGACCATGTTTTGATATCTTTTCTGATCAACACTGGATTGTATGTTTTGAAAATATTAAAAATTGTGTTTCATTTTTAGCGTATTTTCTCACTGCTAGAAAAGACTTGGCTTGGCGCACCAATACAGTTTGCCTGGCAAAAAACATCCGGAAACTACCTTGCAGTAACAGGGTAAGAAACCGATGAATGTTTTAAGCAGTGGTTGTATGCCCATGTAACCACACCATCTACTCAGTAAAAGTTTTTTTTGTTTTTTAGACAGAGTCTAGCTTTGTTGCCCAGGATGGATTGCAGCAGCACGATCTCAGCTTGCTGCAACCTCCACCTCCCAGGTTCAAGTGAACCTGGCCTCAGTAAAAATTTTTGTGTAACAATTGTATGGTAGGAAAAGGAATATATTTATCTCCGTTAACATCAAAGTTCATAGAACCTTTTCCCTGGTAATAACTTTTTATATACAAATTATGAAACTTTCAGGAGAAAACACTGAAATCACTTGGATGGCAGCTTTACATATATATAGATAAATAAAAGAAACATTTAGGCCAGGTGCAGTGGCTCATGCCTATAATCCCAACAATTTGGGAGGCCAAGGTAGGCGGATTACTTGAGACCAGGAGTTTGAGACCAGCCTGGCCAACACGGTGAAATGCCATCTCTACAAAAATACAAAAATTAGCCAGGTGTGGTGGCAGGCATCTGTAATCCCAGCTACTTGGGAGGCCGAGGCAGGAGAATTGCTTGAACCTGGAAGGTGGAGGTTGCAGTGAGCCGAGATCGCACAACTGCACTCCAGCCTGGGCAACAGAGGGAGACTCTGTCTCAAAAAAAAAAAAAAAAAAAGTATATCATACCTTTATATTCTGATTGCTTTCAGAGCTGATTATATTGTGAAAATCTTTGATCGCCATGGTCAAAAAAGAAGTGAAATTAACTTACCTGGGTAAGTACAGAAGTAGATTTTTAAAAACCTGTCAAGCTTTGTTACCTAAAACATTGAAAAAATACTGCCTTAAAATTATAATCAAATAGAATCTTTCGCTTCTTCTGTTTGCAAAGGGATTTGTTTTTTTAGCCATAAGTAGTTATGAAATATGTAGAGATATATGAATTAGAGTTTCTATATATAAACACCCATATACTCACAGAGAAGCCTTAAGACAGGATCATAAATCAGACCATGTGAAACAATTGAGTCCACACGAAAGAATTCTTTTAAATTATAAACAAGTCTTAGTGTATGTATAGGCAGATAAGATAAACCTGTGTCTACTTTAGTTTTCCATCTCTAATAAATTGTTGGAAAATACTTACTTTCCACATAACTTTGTAAAGGATAAAGGCTTTATCCATTTTCAGGAAATCATTCTACATTATATTAAGCATAATTGAAGCATTTTTAATGATTCAGTGTAATCACTACCTGTATTAGTTATTTTGCTGATGGTCTCAGTGGTTATTAAGATGTATAAAGGCTCTGTGTGGTGGCTCATGCCTGTAATCCCAGCACTTTGGGAGGCCGAGGCAGGTGGATCATGAGGTCAGGAAATCGAGACCATCCTGGCTAACACGGTGAAACCCCGCCTCTACTGAAAGTACAAAAAAGTAGCTGGGTGTGGTGGCATGCGCCTGTAGTCCCGGCTACTTTGGAGGCTAAGGCAGGAGAATTGCTTGAACCCGGGAGGTGGAGGTTGCAGTGAGCCAAGATTGCACTACTGCACTTCAGCCTGGGTGACAGAATGAGACTCTGTCTCAAAAAAAAAAATATATATATATATATGTGTAGAGTCCCTCACCTAAACTGACTTATGGTGCTGTGCTTTTAAAATTCATGTTTCTTTCTGTAGTTTATTGACCATTTTTGAAAATCAGGTTTTATTTCTCTCGGTCTCTAACAGCCTTTCCTACCTCTTGCCCTGCCCCACCCACCTAATGCCATCATTTTGGCATTTTCCATTAACTCTCTTAATTGTAGCTTCTGGTTTCTATATTCCTGGAAGCAGGTCAAAGAAGCTGTAATTATATGTGAAATGAAAGAAGGCTCAGTAAAAGTTGTCTTTGAGTAAATTGCGTGAGCTTTATTGTGTGATCTCTGTGACATCTATTTCTGTTACATGATGACCTCATTTCTTCTGGATTGTTTTGCTGTATTCATAATAGTGGAATTTGACTGACAGAGGATCCCCAGATAAGGAAAATGCTGTTAAATATATAATCTTTAATTAGCAGATGATTTTGTCAATAATTGGAATAATAGACCATTTCCTATTTATAACTATGTTGTTACCTTAATCAAATTACTCTCCTTATTTTCCATCAAGATATAAAATGAAAATAATGACCAGGCACAGGGGCTCACACCTGTAATCCCAGTACTTTAGGAGACTGAGGCAGAGGATCACTTAAGCTCTGGAATTTGAGGTTATCGTGAACTATAATCACTTGAGCCCAGGAGTGCGAGGTTATAGCCAAGTATAATCGCACCACTGCACTCCAGCCTGGGCAACAGAGCCAGACCTTGTCTCAAAAAAAAAAAAAAAAAGGGAAAATAATATTTCTTATTCACCACTTTAGAATCAATCTTTCCCTTTTTTACAATCCTATATCTACCCAATCACTCAATTTAGCTATAATTTTGCTTCTTTTCTTTTTTTGAAACAGGGTCTCACTGTATCTCCCAAGCTGGAGTGCAGTGGCACAAACATGGCTCACTGCAGCCTTGACCTCCCGGGCCCAAGTAATCCTCCCACTTCAGCCTCCTGAGTAGCTGAGTAGCATGTGCATGCCACCATGCCCAGCCCCCCTTTTTTTTTCTTTTTTTTGGTAGAGATGGGATCTTGCCATGGTACTCAGGCTGCAGTTCAGTGGCACGATCTTGGTCCACTGCAACCTCTGCCTCCTGGGTTCAAGCGATTCTCCTGCCTCAGCCTCCCAAGTAGCTGGGATTACAGGCATGCACCACCATGCCCAGCTAATTTTTGTATTTTTTAATAGAGATGGGGTTTCTCCATGTTGGTCAGGCTGGTCTCGAACTCCTGACCTCAGATGATCCGCCTGCCTCAGCCTCCCAAAGTGCTGGGATTACAAGCATGAGCCACTGTGCCCAGCCACTTTGTTTCTTATGAATACCTTCTTTTCCTCTCTGTCAATCTAAAATGATCTTTTAAAAGTTGATCATACAAATTATGTCTCGATTCCAGATGTGATTCATTTGTAAAAGTGCTTGATGAGTTTGTTTTATCAAAAGGCAGGGTTCTTTATAGGATTTAAGAAAATCTGCTAACTTAAGTATGATTATATTTAATGTAGTATATGAAAATGCTATTAAAAGTAAAATTTTTAATTTTACCATCCCCTCAACCACAGCAAAAAATTGAAGTTAATATCACCCATGCAGTGAATAGTGAGTTGTATTTCTCACTTTAGAGAGTTTATTATCTGTTCAAAATAGATTGAATAATCTTGTTATAGACAAAAATCACAGTGATTTTACTTTTAAAAAATGTATAGTGATATTTTGCTCTCTTTTTAAAAAGTAACTGTGTTGCCATGGATTGGGATAAAGATGGAGATGTCCTAGCAGTGATTGCTGAGAAATCTAGCTGCATTTATCTTTGGGATGCCAACACAAATAAGACTAGCCAGTTAGATAATGGCATGAGGTAAGATAACTTTTTTATTTTTTAAAGCTTCACTTAGAAACATGAATATTTGTAGGTTTGGTGCTAACAATTCTTTTCTACTTTCATTTTAAGATTCCTCAATGAGTTATTTTCTTAGAAAATGATTATTTTATTATTGTTACCCAATTAGAATGAAATTGTTATAACTGTGAAATATAAAGAGCTTCTTAAAAAGTTGCTTTCAGTGGAACAGACTAAGAAGTGCAGAGATGAGACAAAATATATATGGGAAAATCCAGAGATGGGCTTGACCATAGGCATGGCTGGATCTAGGAGTTATAATGGTGCGATCAAGACTTTTTCTCCACCTCTCAGCTCCTCTTTTCTCTATATTGACTTCATTCTAAATCAGATTCTCATCCACGACTACTGGTAGCTACCAGTGTGTATCATTCTTCACAGCAAGCCATGCCAGAGAAAAGAGCATGTGCCTTGACATCACCAGAGCCCATTCAGTTCCTCAAAAGGTCTCTGAATGGAGTAGGCAGGGCCATGGATTGGTACTCCCACCAAGTGAAAGGAAGGGTGAAGGGCAGGGCAGTTCCCAAATGGAAAAACACCTTGGGCAGACAGAATAAATGACAGATATCTGCTAAAATAGAAACCAGTTTCCGATATGGACAAGAAAAACTTGTCAGCATTTCCAGCTAAAACTTTGCCATTTTGACCTTGGACAAGTTGCTTAACCCCTCTCCAAGCCTCAGTTTCTTCATCTCTATGACATGGGTATAGCATGTTTCATGGCTTCATGTACCCCTCAGGTGGGGAGGAAGAGATCATATACATGCTATTAGACCAGACTATAAGTTTTCAAGTTATTTACTAAGGAATAACTGAACCCAGAGGAAGCAAGGCAGTCATGTAGAGCAGCATCAGCTATAACCTAGGGAGTGCAGTGCCATTGACCCTCCAGAGTGACTGTTGAGGCAAGTAGCTGCAGAAGATACTGTCTACCAATGTAAAGTCTTTCTGAGTCTAAGAACCTTCAGTTCTTGCTCTGTCCTCTTACACTCTGGGTTTACATCACTTTTCAGAAAGATTTTATATACACTCTCTGTGCTTCCATTCAAGGGAGTGTTTAATAAACTTCAAGTACTGGTTCTTGAGCCAAATTCAGCAACAGTAAGGCCATGTTCTCACTCAGAGAAAAGTGCATAATTAATCCCCTGCTGTTTCTAACTGGTCTATCTCTGCCTTCAGCTCTCTATCTTCCCAGAGTGTCTGTTTCTCCACTTCATCTTAGGATTGTTGTGATGTTTAAATGTATGTCATGGCAAGGCATAAAATTAAGACCCAAGTAAATGGTAGATGTTATCGTAATTGTCATTAAAATAAAATTAAGGTTGCTTTACTGTTGATGTTTATAATTAAAGTCTAAAGAACTTTTGTATATACAAAAGCATACCCACTATTGTTTGTTCTCTATTCAAAGGCCAATCTGTTATACTAGCTAGTTATTAAACAAAACTTTGAATATCAATTTTTCTTAAGTATTTTTATTTAAGAAGGTCCTGTTGTACATGGCCACCTTGCTTCCTCTAGGTTCAGTTATTCCTTAGTAGATAAAAGCTTTTAATCAATTTAGGTTCCGTTTATAAAATTTATCTGAAGTGAATCTTTTGAGCACTTCAGACACCTTAAATAGTACCCAAAACCTATCCAAATGTAATTATCACAAAACTTACTGTGGTGCCACTTAACTAAAAATATTACATTAATTCAATGAGCTGAATTCATTTATTTTTGCTATATGTGCTTTTATACTCTTTTAGGATTATAGCAGTATTTACTCTGCTCCTGCCTAGACCTAACAGAAGTAGTCATTTAATTATGTGACTGGGATATAGCCATTTCTTTCCACAGAAAACCCTATATGTAACATCTGCTTCATCAACCAATTCATTCTTAGATGGATCACAGAACATGGTTGCTTCTCCCAAGGCAATTTGGACCTGAGTACTAGGTATCCTACTCAGTGTCTTTTTAAATTGACCTTCAGTTGTCATGTTAGTAAAATTCTTTTAAGCCCATGCCTTATACGTAGGTTGCAATTTTTTGTAACCTGTACATTTCCCTAGGATGATATATTCTTTAAATTTTGCTTGGCCAGAGATACATGTGATTGTTATATGTTGTCCTGATCCAATGGCATTATTGGAAATTTACATATGCTTTAGTATCATATTGTAATTTGCAAGACTTTCTACAGACCTTATCTCCTAAGAGGGATGGAGTCTGTTCAGTTAGCTCTTCTTTTGAGGACATTTGATTACTTGATCTTCTTAGAACACATTATTTAACACTTTCTTTCTAGTTGGTTGTTGTGTAACTGTCAGTGCTGATAAACTATTGAATAGACTAATGTTGTATTTATCTTATTATATATGATCACTTTTGCTGATCAGATCTTGTTCTTGTTATACAGTTCTTTTCTCTGATACTGTTTTTAGCTCATGCAGAATTATTTTTATTCATATTTTCTTTGAAGGAGTCTCTCTAAGACAGGATTAAATGTGTAAGAGATTTCTTACAGGAAATGCCTGTGAGGGAACTTAGAGAGGTTAGGAGAAGAGTTTGGAAGAACTGTCAGACCTCAGTGCGTGTCTGACCCTTATAAATGAGAGAGGGAAAGAAGTAAGGTTGGGAAGAAGCATCTTAAATTGTAGCACAGTTTTGGTTTTTTGGGGTTTTTTTTGTTTTGGATCGGAGTCTCCCTCTGTCACCCAGGCTGAAGTACAGTGGCACAATCTCGGCTCACTGCAACCTCCACCTCCTGGGTCAAAGCAATTCTCCTGCCTCAGCCTCCCAAGTAGCTGGGACTATAGGTGCCCATGACCATGCCCAGCTAATTTTTGTATTTTTAGTAGAGATGGGGTTTCACCATGTTGGCCAGGCTGGTCTCAAACTCCTGACCTCGGATGATCTGCCCACCTCAGCCTCCCAAAGTGCTGGGATTACATGCGTGAGCCGCCGTGCCCAGCCCATTAAATTGTAGTAGAGTTCTAATTAAGAAAGTTCAGCTAGGTCTGTGGGGAGTCTTTGGGCAAAAGTTACCTGTCAAAGGAGTTCTGCCCGGGAATGGGCCCAGCAGTTATCCCTCCCTCACTCAGTCATTGTCTGGGAGCAGCCCATGAGAAAGCACAGCCCAGTTCATTGAGGTGATGGATTCCAAAGCCTAGCAGTTGGGGCTTGTGGCCAGTTACACTTTCTGCAGACAAAGGGAAATCTGAGAGGCACATTATTGTAGCTATGGCACCTACTTAAAACGAGGAAAGAAAGATTAAAATGCATATTTATCTTTTGTAAAATAGCTACTTAATAGAAGAACCTAGCAGCCTGGTATGTTACTACTCCCTTACTTGCTAAAATTAATTTTTTTTTCTTTTTTTTTGAGACAGAGTCTCGCTCTGTTGCCCAGGCTAGAGTGCAGTGGCACAATCTCGGCTCACTGCAGCCTCTGCCTCCCGGGTTCAAGCGATTCTTCTGCCTAAGCCTACCTAGTAGCTGGAACTACAGGTGCATGCCACCACACCCAGCTAATTTTTGTATTTTCAGTAGATACAGGTTTTACCACATTGGCCAGGCTGGTCTCAAACTCCTGACCTTATGATCTGTCCACCTTGGCCTCCCAAAGTGCTGGGATTACAGGCGTGAATCACTGTGCCCGGCCTAAAATTAATTTTTTAACTAAACATTTTATTATATGCTTCTATTATTACAACTAATTTTTCCACATACTTTATTTTTTTCTCTTCCAAGTGACATCATGATTTTACGATGTTTCACAAACTCAACTTGTATTAAATAAGTATGTAATGTTTAATCCTCAAGTTCTCCTAATTTTGCCAGAGGAAACCTCTTTAAACTTACTATTTTGTCCTTTTATCACTGCCCTCAACATTCTTGGAAGCAGTGCTGCTTTCTGAAAACCATACCATGGTCTGTCAGCGGTGCTCAAAATTTAGCTGCATCAGAATCCCCTGGAGGGCTTATGAAAACACAGGGAGCTGGGTGCCACTTTCAGAATTCCTCCATTAGTATGTCTGGGCTGGGATCTGAGAACTGACATTTCTCACAAGTTCCTAAATGATGCTGCTGGTTCTGATTTCAAATCTTGAGAACCACTGTTCTTGACCCATTGTAATTTCTTTTCTCAATATATGGAAAGAGGTACACTCCAAGAAGTTCTGCATCCCCTTAGTAGGGAACTGTATAACACTTCAACCTCGTGAATCCTAGAATGCATGTCAGAACTGGTGGTGGGCAAAAGTGTTTACTGCCTGCTTTTGAGCTACTCTTAATAGTGATGGAGCTAGAAAAAATATATCCTTTTTAAAGTTATGAATTCCCAATGATTTTTACCATTTAATATATTATGTTATTGGATGCCACTTTTTTAAAGCATGAGGTTTCACCATCCATTAATATTTTTGTAATTACATTTAGAGGTAAAACTATCTTTAATAGACAAATTAATAAATATCTCATCATAGGTCATCTCATGAATTTTGAGGTTTATCATAACAGAATTAAAGTCTACATTCATTATACTTTTGTATTTTGAGTCTAACTGACCCTAAGATCATCCTATAGCATCTCCAAAATGTCTTTAGCATTTAGTCTTTGTCCTGAAGCATTAAGTTGTATTTTGTACTTTGGCTTCTAAGTAGATGTTAAAGTTATCCATGGAGTACTTTTTTAAAGGACTGTTTAGAGGTTATGATTGTGAATTGTTTAGTAATTTGTGTCTTAATGTTACAGGGATCAAATGTCTTTCCTTCTTTGGTCAAAAGTTGGAAGTTTCCTGGCTGTTGGAACTGTTAAAGGAAATTTGCTTATTTATAATCGTCAGACATCTCGAAAGATTCCTGTCCTTGGTAGGTGATAGCTGGAAACACTGCTAAATATTTGAGATGCTTTACCTAAATGTAAATTCTGCTGCCTTGGGTTTCCCTGATCTTGCAAGGGAAATTTTGCAGTACGAACCCCCTCCCCATGTCCCCCCAAAGTCTTACATTTAGCTAAACATGAAGATCCCTCTTCACTGCTTACTGATAACTTCCCAGGGTACATAGAATAGATTGAGTTAAAGTCAGGCTGTGCCTTTGGCATCAGGACATTAACAGCATGGCTTCCATTTGTCCTTTCTCACCCAGACTCTACCTCTGGACAAGGAATAGCTCATATACATATGAACACATTGATAATATGTGCTATTTTTGTTAATTTTAGTTAATTTAGTTGCATTATAATATGTGGTAATTTTACTCCACACAGTACGCAGATTAAAACATTTACTGCTTGGGTCTGGGCATGGTGGCTCACGCCTGTAATCCCAGCACTTTGGGAGGCCAAGGTAGGTGGATCACAAGGTCAGGAGTTCAAGACCAGCCTGGCCAAGATGGTGAAACCCCGTCTCTACTAAAAATACAAAAAAATTAGCCAGGCGCAGTGGCAGGCACCTGTAGTCCCAGCTACTCAAGAGGTTGAGGCAGGAGAATCGCTTGAACTCGGAGAGCGGAGGTTGGAGTGAGTCAAGATCACGCCACTGCACTCCAGCCTAGGTGACAGAGTGAGATTTCATCTAAAAAAAAAAAAAAAAATTTACTGCTTGGATAGAATATATCAAGATTTCTAATTCTGACCCCCTCACCCTCTCCAAAGCCTAGTTAAATCTGGATGTGGACTATGAGTTCCATTTGCCTCAGGCTATGCAGCCGGAGGGTGTTTTTATGTGTTCCTTGTTTGACCTTCTTGTTTCAGCTCTTTGATTCCCCCAACCTCTGGCCACTTGGCATCTGCCCTCTGAATACCCAAGAAGAACCATCTATTCTTGTCAATTATTGTAATATCATTGTAATGAATGGTAGAACCTAGTGGGCTTAAGTGCATCCAGGTGGCCAGGAAAAGTATAACTTACTGCTAATAAAGGAATTACACTCTGGAGATAGTGGCACCCCCAGATACTTCAGAAAGTGCTCTTCCATTCAAGACAATCATTTCGAATTATTTTTACATATATGTATCTCTTTAATGTTAACATTAATTTTTGGTGCTACAGCTAAACAGTAATGTCATTGAACTATTTGAAAAGTTAAACTAAAATTTTTTAAGTTACAAATATCAACTTTAAATTAGTTTGTCTATTAACTGTTATTATTGGTGTTAAGACTAACTTGATACCTGAGCACTGAAAGCAAAAGGGCTTTGAGGTATATAAGGAGAAGGAGGAAGAAGATATTTTCTTCTCCCTTTCTTGGGTATAGAAAGATATCTTTAGCATCTTCCTACTTGTCTTTGTATAGTCTTTTCCCCTTCCTAATACCTATTTCTTTGGACACCCAGTTCCTTTATAACACCCAAGTCCCTTAATCTATGATCCGCAAAATCTCTGTAGCCCCAATCTCTTCTCTGAATATTTCCTTCACTTTTGTGCTCTGGTCTCCTGATATGAAATACTGTCTATATCCTGAAAACTCCCAAATTTATATCTTTTCCACACTGTAGACTCATACCTCCAACTGCTTACTCAACATTTTCAATGAGGTGTCTAAATATACACTTCAAATTTAGTATCTCCCAAACCTTCTTGACTCACAGCTTTTCCTTCCACTATTGTTGACATTTCATTCTTCCAAATCTTTAGGCTAAGGTTTAGGGCCACCCTTGACTCTTTTCTTTCTCGTACTCTCCATATCTAATTTGTCAGAAAATCTTATAGACTCAACCTCCAAATATCTCCAGAATCCTGCCTGTCTCACCATCTCTACTGCTGCCACCATGGTGTGGTCTCAAACATTTTCTACCTTAATTTCTGCAGTCCCCTCTTTACTGGCCTCTCCACTTCAACTCTTGCCCCACTCTAGAATCTTCTCAACCCAGAGGCCAGAATGAGCCCTGTGCTCAGAACTCTTCAGTGGTTTCCGTCTGACCCAGAATCAAAGCGAAAGGCCTTAAAATGGCCAGAACAAATTTTCCATAATCTGGCCTTTGCAGCCCCTCTGACCTCATCTCATGTTCTTCCCTCCTCATTTGTCTGCTCCAACCACACTGTCCTTCCTGAGCCTCTTAACACACCAGGCAAACTGCTGCCTCAGGATCTACTCACTTAACCATTCATTTAATACCTGCTTTCTGCATAGGTACTGTATTAGGTTCTATGAGGGTACGAAGAATGAAATGAATGTGGTCTCTGCTTTTAGTAACAGCTAAAATAGCTGACACTTTGATAGCATTTCATTTCATATGTGCCTTGCACTTTGGTCAGTGCTTTAATTCAATTGAATCTCAACCCTATGAGAGGTCATACTATTATTCCCAATTTATGGATGAAGTGAGTAAGGAATAGAAAGGTTGGCTAGGCATGGTGGCTCATCCCTGTAATTCCAGCATTTTGGAAGGCCGAGGCAGGCGGGTCACTTGAGGTCAGGAGTTCGAAACCTGCCTGGCCAACATGGTGAAACGCCATCTCTACAAAAAATACAAAAAAATTAACCAGGAGTGGTAGTGGGCTCCTGTAATCCCAGCTACTTGGGAGGCTAAGGCAGGAGAATTGCTTGAACCCAGGAGGCAGAAGTTCCAGTGAGCTGAGAAGATTATACCACTACACTCCAGCCTGGGAAACACAGCAAGACTCCATCTCAAAAAAAAAAAAAAAAAGGTTAAGTAACTTACCCAAGGTTTTTTCAGTAGGTAGTGGAGCTAAGACTCAAAGCTAGGCAGTCTGGCTCCAGAATCTATACACTTAACTGTTCTTCTCATTAGTAGAATTATCCTTGGGACTCTTGAGGATTTATCTATCCCAAGACCTTCAGAAATGCCCATAGTGTCAAGTATGTGATTCCCCCCCCCACCAAAAATGTAATTTTTGCACTGACTGGAAAGCTCAATGAAAAACTTCCTGATAGTTAGTGGCTATTTGATATTACTCATTAGCTTAGTTACACAGTTCTTAACAGGTACATCAGTGTTATCATATATTATTATATATCTTTTAGTTGTTACTGTTTTTGTTTTTTTGAGAGGTAAGGTCTTGCTGTGTCACCCAGGCCAGAGGGCAGTGGTGGGATTACGGCTCACTGCAGCCTCAATCTCCTAGGCTCAAGTGATCCTCCCACCTCAGCTTCCCGAGTAGCTGGAACTACAGGCGTGTGCCGGCAGTCCTGGCTAATTTTTTTTCTTTAATTTTTGTAGAGATGAAGTCTCACTGTGTTGCCTAGGCTGGTCTTGAACTCCTGGGCTCATACAATCCTCCCACCTCAACTTCCCAAAGCTCTGGGATTATAGGCATGAGCCACTGTGCCTGGCCTCTTTTAGTTATATATGAACAGTTAAACTGAATGTTAAATCTGCTTACGTCAAAGGTATACCACACCATGAAGATGAGTATGAGTAAAGTTAACTTCACTGCTTTGGAATTTACGTCTCTTAAGACATTAACTTTGGAGCCAGGCATGGTGGCTCGCACCTGTAATCCCAGCACTCTGGGAGGCCAAGGTGGGTGGATCACTTGAGCTCAGGAGTTGGAGACCAACTTGGGCAACAAAATGAAACCACGTCTCTACAAAAAATACAAAAATGGCCAGGTGTGGTGGCTCATGCCTGTAGTCCCAGCACTTTGGGAGGCCAAGGCAGGCAGATCACCTGAGATCAGGAGTTCAAGACCAGCTTGGCCAACATGGTGAAACCGTGTCCCTACTAAAAATATAAAAATTAGTCAGGTTTGGTGGCACATCTGTAGTCCCAGCTACTTGACAGGCTGAGGCAGAAGAATTGCTTGAACCTGGGAGCCGAAGGTTTCAATGAGCCAAGATCGCACCACTGTACTCCAGCCTGGGCAAGACAGCAAGACTCCATCTTAAAAAAGAAAAAAAAGAAAAAGAATTAGCTGGGTGTGGTGGCATGTGCCTATAGTCCCAGCTACTTGGGAGTCTGAGTTGGGAGGATGACTTGAGCCTGGGAAGCAGAGGTTGCAGTGAGCTGAGATCACACTGCTGCACTCTAGCCTGGATGACAGAGCCAGAACCTGTCTCAAAAAAGAAAAAAAGACACTATCTTTGCAGGTTTGGTTATATGATAGGCAAATAAATCTTGTCAAGGAGCAGAATATCTTTTTACATTAGGGTCCGTGTGCTTATATCCAGATAAAAATTTGGAAAACAGTAATGCCTTTATATACCATTATTTTGATTGATACCTTGGTAATAAACTGTTTTAAATAAGTTTGCTTAGACACTAACTGCTTTGATGAAATTCTAAATTCTTGTCTGTTTAATCTCTTGGTATATTCAGATTGGCATCAGAGATTTTTTTCTTTGAGAAATCCACATGTCTGTACAAAAATCATCTCTTTTTCAGGAAAACATACTAAGAGAATCACTTGTGGATGTTGGAATACAGAAAATCTGCTTGCTTTAGGTGGTGAAGATAAAATGATTACAGTTAGTAATCAGGAAGGTGACACGATAAGACAGGTAATACAGTAACATCTCTTTGGTCTGATATATTCAAGCTTTCACCCCAAATAAATAGTTTGTCTATCAAACTAATCTTTACAATTTTTAAAAATCTATATGTGAGGTATATATATGTGTGTGTGTGTATACACAATAACTTCAAAAACCTTTCTATTTATGTGTCAGAACGCTTTTCTTTGATATGAATATGTTATCCAAATATCCTCCTTTGTATATTTCCCTTTGTTATTAGCGTGGATTATCAGCTCTGTGGTTCTAGTTAGTGTATTTGTGAAGTAACTCTTTTTTATATGTGTATATTTATAATACAAATGTTAACAACTGGTAGATCTTGAACTCAGAGTCAAATCTGCCTGATTATAAAGCCCATACCTTTAACTGATAAATTGCTTCTAAACTAATCCTAATGAAATTTAATTTTAAGATTAAATTTTTCTACTATTCACATTTCTCAAGATTGATTAGCTCTTTCAGAGGCTCCCTCTTTATGGGAATTTGTATCGCCAGTAGCTACATAATGTGACCAATGGGAAATTTTCACTTTGGACTACTGCTTATGATTTAGTATTGCTAGAGTAATATTGACTAACATATTCTTTGAATACCTGTTAGGCACATGGTACTGTGCTATATACTATAGGAAGAATATGAAATATGGCTCTGTATTAGCCAATTTATTGCTGCATAACAAATTAACCTCAAAATATAGAAGCTTAAAACAACAGTTACTATTTCATGGTTTTGTGGATGAGGAATTTAGATGCAGCTTATCTGGGTGTCTCTGCCTCAAAGTCTCTACAAGGCTGCAATCGTGTTGTTAGACAGGGCTGCAGTTTCATGTGAAGGCTTGATAGGGAGAAAATCTGCCTCCAAGCTCACTCACGTGGGTGTTGACAGGGTTCAGTTCCTTATAGGTTGTTAGACTCAGTTTCTCTCTAGCTATTCACTGGGAGCCTCCCTCACTTCCTTGCCACATGGATCTCTCCATAGAGTGCCTCACAACACAGCAGCTGGCGAGAGAGTGAGAGAAGCCATTCAAGACTGAAGCTACATCTCTTTATAACCTAATCACAGAATCACTTTTGTGATATTTTGTTCTTTAGAAGTGAATTACAAGGTATAGCCCACACTCAGTAGGGCAGGGATGGGGATGACACAGGCATAAAACCAGAAAGTGGGGATCATTGTGGGCCACCTTAGAGGTTGCCGATCATAGGCCCCCACTCTTAAGAAGACATTACTAATATTATAAAACACACATGGCCTTGCTGTTAATTGTCACATTTTGTGGTGCAGCTTACCTGTCCTACAACATTTGGGAGATAGAGAAGATCAATGAAAGTTTGATTGTGACACTCTCAAAGATAGAAGGCTATCTGAATCAGTCAGGGTATAGACTATAAACTGTTGGGACAGAGAGACCTAAAACTTCAGGGCTGTAAGAATATGATAGTATGGGTCGGGGCAGGGGGTTTCCTCTCTTTCTTTCTCATGTAACAGAAAGACAAGTCACCTACGTACCTCTGCTTCACTAAATTGTACAGAGCCTCAGGTTCCTTCTATCTTATTGCTCTGCCATTTTCTAGAGTATTGTACCCTCATCTGCATGATTGAAGCTAGTGTAACAGGATCACATCTGCATTTCAGCTCCAGGGAAAGGACAAAGAGAAGAAATAGAATGTAAGAAATTTGTAAAGGACTTGATCTGGAAGATGCATTTATTATTTCCCTTCATATCATATGACTAGAACCTAGTCATTGGCCAAATCTACCTGCTCCCAGGAAAGCTGCAATTTTAGTCCAGCTAGATGACTATGTACCTTGCTAAAACTTGCTTTAGTAGATAGTGCAAAACATTTACTCATTCAGTACAAGCAGAACAGCAAGGAAAAACTTACTACAGCTTGTTCATGTGTTGTTCAAGCCTGGACTAACTGAAGATACAGGTTTTGATTGGGAATTTTTAGAAAATAGGGCTGAAGAAAGTCGATTCCTATGTCTGTTTTAATCATCCTATTTTCAATGCCCTTTAGAAATAGAATGTTAGGTATAGTACAAATGCTACAACTCCCCTCTCTTGTGTCCATATCAGACATCACCAATAGACAGTGGATTTTTTCCCTCCACTGAATCAAAATATGGCCTTAGAATATTTTTTCCATATAGCATTCCAGGAAGTCACTACAATTCAGCTGTTACTTACATACAAGATAACTATTTTTCATTTCTAATCCTTAAGAAGTCTGCTTCCAAACTTAGACATCCTACTTAAGCTGTCATGTAGTAAGCAAAATAGGCATTGTTAAGTGTTGCTTTGTTTGGTGTTTTTTCTTAATTGTTTTAACTTTGGTGTTCTGAAGATCACTATGGTGTTACTTGTATGGATTTATTTTTATTTATCCTGCTCAGGATTTGTCTTGCTTCCTGAATCTGAAGATTGCTATCTTTTGTCAATTCAGGAAAATTCATAGTCATTATCTCTTTGAATATTACTTCTTGCCCTTTCTATTCTGTTTTTCGGGAGCATCTGTTAGATAGCTGTTGGACCTTCTTATGTCTCTTAATCTCTCCTTTTCATAGTTTCTATCTTTTTATCACTCTGCAACCTTTTGGATGATTTCCTCATATTAGTTCACATATTCTTTCTTCAAATTTGTCTAATCATCTGTCTATACCATTGAGTTTTTTTATTTTAATGACTCCTCATTTTTAGAAAGTACTTTATAGTTCTTTTAAAAATCTGCTTGAAATACATGAATAGACAGTTCACACAAAAATATATAAAAAATGGCTCTCATACATATGAAAAAATTTCAAACTTACTCATAATTAAATAACTACAAATTAAAGCCACACTGAAATACCAGTTTTCACCTATCAGGGTGGCAAAATTATGTAAAATACGACAACATATTCTGTTGGTGAAACTGTAGATAAAATAAGTATGTCCTGTCTGGAGGAAAATTTGGAAATAGCTAACAAAACTACATCTGTACTTACTTTTTGACCTAACAATACCATTTCTAGGACTCTACCCTTCAGATACACCTCCTATAATACAAAAGTACATATGCACTTAAAAAAAACTGCCTGAAATTAAAAACTTCTTTTCTGATATTTATGAGTCCTCTTACAGCTTTAGTCATTTTTAAAATATTTATTTTATAATTTATGTCTCCGATAATTCTATTATTTTTATATCTGCTAGCTCCTTCTCTTGATGCATTGTTTCTTTACGAGTTTTGTAATTTTGAATTATGAGCTCATCTTTAGCAAGGTTTATGTGTGGAAATTTTTTAAAACCTTGGTAGAGGTTCTGGGTTAGTTTTTTCCAAAACTGCAGGGGTAATATAAGCCTGGATGCTTCCATATTTTATGTTAATTTCTCATCTTGGGAGCTCCCAAACAACCCAACATATAAATTTGAACCTCAGACTATAGTGAGGATAGGAAGGGAGGAAGGGAGATCTTTAAATCCTTTTTCCTTTTTCTTTTTCTTTCTTTTTTTTTTTTTTTGTGACAGGGTCTTGCTCTGGAGTGCAGTGGCATGCTCATAGCTCACTGCAGACTCAAACTCCTGGGCTCAAGCTATCCTCCCACCTCAGCCTCCCAAAGCGCTGGGATTACAGATATGAGCCACCGCGCCCATCCTTTAATTAAGTTATTGAAATGAACTTTGTTTCGTCTGACTCAACACTCAGGCCAAGATAATTGGGTTTCGTTATTGTCTCCCGTAACTAGCTGCTCTGGATAGCTGCAGCATCAATTTCTGCACACACTCTGCTTTTAGTTTGATCTTTGCTGATGGTCCCTGTAAATTTCCCTTTTCTTCTTTCAGGCTTATTTATCTATTTAATAAGATATATTTTCTGTTTCATGTAGAATTTCTAGATATTTGTGACAGTAGGATTTTCAGGTTCTTAGTCCAACATTAGTCAGGAATGAAAACAAGTTACCTGTTCTATTAATATTCAGAATGAATTTAAATATTGGGTTTGTTCATAGTGATGATGTTTTTACTCCGTTAGACACAAGTGAGATCAGAGCCTAGTAACATGCAGTTTTCCTTGATGAAGACAGATGACCGAACCTCTGCTGCTGAAAGCATGGTAAGAATTCTAATCAAATCCATGTGCAAATCATTTGGGTAATTTTGTGGAATATATAATTTCCTTTTCTTGGATGACAAAATAGTGATAAATAAATTACGTCCATTGACTATATTTTAAGCCAAAGTAGAGCTAGGTCTTTTAGTCCCTAAAAGTTGTTGTAATTGCTACTGACTACCTGGCATTACAGCAAATGAGGACAGCTTTCTGTTACAATTGGTATTGCTCTTTTCATTCTTGTGGCAGCAAAAACATTAGGGGTACCTTGCAGAACAGAAGTATTAATTTGTATATTATTTTTAAAATTTTTACTCTATGAGATGTGGTTAGCAAAGCTCTTGAAGTTGTAGGTTTGGGGTTTTTTTGTTTTGTTTTTCTGGTTTTTTTTTTTTTTTTTGAGACAGAGTTTTGCTCTTGTTGTCCAGGCTGGAGTTCAGTGGTGTGATCTTGGCTCACCACAACCTCTGCCTCCTAGGTTCAAGCGATTCTCCTGCCTCAGCCTCCCAAATAGCTGGGATTACAAGGATGTGCCACCACACCCAGCTAATGTTGTATTTTTAGTAGAGATGGGGTTTCTCCATGTTGTTCAGGCTGGTCTCGAACCCCTAACCTCAGGTGATCCGCCCGCCTCGGCCTCCCAAAGTGCTGGAATTACAGGCATGAACAACTGCGTCCGGCCAAAGTTGTAGCTTTTGGTTAATACTTAGATGCATTTTCCCTGCCACATCTTAACATTCTGAAATCCAGATGAGTTTCACAATCAATATGAATATATTTAATGAAGTAGTAGTTCTTTATTTCCTAAAACTCTATTATTAAATTGATAGTGACTTACAATTGAGAGCATCTTATAATCAAGGAAATATATCAATAATAAGCCCAAATAAGTAATGTACTATTTTTTCTTCCAACATAATTACATCCTCCACTGGGAATTGCACTGAAGAATTTACTTGCATGAGTAGCAGAGAGACACGAGTTTAGCCAACACTGACCTGCAGGTGATGGAACCAGTGATGATATAAAAGCCAAGCTGGATTATCCACAGGAGTATGGACCTGTAATCCCAAATGGCTCAAAAACAGAACAGCCTCTTAGAGTAGAAGAGTCTTTATAATCAGAATATGAATTCATTTGCAGTGGAACTGTCAGACTTACAATCCTGTATTGTGCATTACTCTAATGAAACATATAGAAAGTTTAAATGGTCACTCCACAAAGGAATTTTAGTGTATTTCAAAGGGTATATTGAAGATGTGTAAAACGAAGGACCCTTACCAGACTATATATTAGTAAATGCATTTTTTTAGTCAGTCATATTATTGTGCTACTTACAACATGTAGCACATCTAAATTGGGCTTATTATTTTCACAAATTAGGTTCAGCTTTTGGATTTGCTTATTGGTCTTTTCATGAAGTACTAAATAACTCATTTCACAATCTCCTAATCTTTTCTGGCAGATAAGTGTGGTGCTTGGCAAGAAAGCTTTGTTTCTTTTTAATCTGAATGAACCAGATAACCCAGCTGATCTTGAATTTCAGCAGGACTTTGGCAACATTGTCTGCTATAATTGGTATGTCTGCTATAACTAGTATGTACAAAAAGCTCATTACAGAAGGACATCTATAGGTTTTTCCTTACTAATTGTATTCAATTTTTGTTTGTCACATTCAATTCTATACATAACATTTTCTGATTCATGGTCTGTGATTTAGTATGCAGAACTATTTAGCATATTATCTGACACAAAGTAGGCCCTTGATAAATTATATTCTATAATTCCTTAATTTTAAGGTACTTGCTAATTTACCATGTTGCCACTGATAGCTAATCTCCTTGTTTACCATATTTTGCCTTCGTTGCTATAGGTATGGTGATGGCCGCATCATGATTGGTTTTTCACGTGGACATTTTGTGGTCGTTTCTACTCATACTGGAGAGCTTGGTCAAGAGATATTTCAGGCTCGTAACCATAAAGATAATCTAACTAGCATTGCAGTGTCACAGACTCTTAACAAAGTTGCTACATGTGGAGATAACTGGTAAGTTATTTTCACATATTTTTAGTAAAGTTTATATAGTAAATACTCAAGTGAATCAGCCAAACTTTGGTAGCTAATATGAATCTGGCAATCATGTTTACAATTTAAGACATCTAAGACTACTTTACTCCTGATTTTAATATTCAGGGCAAAAATATAAAACAAAGTATAGTTGAAAATCAGTCTTAAAAATAAAATAGGTAGTTCTGGGTAACATGGAGTAAGCACACTCCACCCCAAGTCTCCCACTGAATATAGCTGTAAAATGTGAGCAGAATGCATGGAGCAGATATTTAAGGACTCTGAAAAGTAAATAGTAGCAGGCAGATTGGAAAAGAAGATGGAATTTGAAGTGCCAGCTAACCAGCAGTGAGTCTCCCATTTGTCCTCTGCTCTCTCACAGCCAGGACTCAAGGAAGTCTAAAACCTACAACTAGGCACCAGAGCACAGAGAGAGCTTTAAGGAAGCTCTCTGGTTCTGGCTTAAGTTGTGGGAAAGAGAACTTGTAATGCTCAAAGGCAGTTGGGGAAATCCCCTGGTTTTCTTTTTCTTTTTTTGTTCTTTGTTCTCTAATGCTCCAGCCACCAAGCAATCTCCTCATGATAGTGGCAGCAGGAACAATGGCACCAAGGACCCACAGGCACCTAAAACTCTGATGGAGGATGATCTCTCTCCAATTAGAGGCTGTGGTTTCAAGAAGATAGGGCAAACCACTGTTGCCTATTTTTCTCTTTGTCCTCCCTTGGTCACAAGTGCTCATATAGTTGTGGGAATTATGTGGTAGAACAGAGGAACCAGAGATCAAGCATTAATAGAGGACCAAAATTAGGAGCCCTAGGGAACTAGAAAGTACCAGATTGATCACAGAGAGGAAGGAACTCAGGAAAGCAACCCTGTAAACATATTTATGAACTCCTGGGTTCATCCTTAAGCTCATATGTATAGACTTATCCTAAACATATACCAAAGACCCTGTGAACTGAACTAAGACATAAATCATAGCCAAGGTCTTATACTAGCCACTGAGTGGGCCATAGAGGGACATATCTGAATACCACTGCAAAGGCGTTGAAAATAGAACTGACATTGAAACCATAAGCCACAGAAGTCTCCTTGAAACTTGTAACCTGAACCCAGCGAAGTTGATGGCCTACTGAAACAAAAATATTAACCTTCTCCATGGGATTTAGATTAGACACAGTCTCATAATTTCACAATGTCCAGAATATAACCCCCAATTACTTGATATATGAAGAATTAGGAAAATTTTAACTCGCTCAGGAAATAACAATAAAAAAACACCAATGCCAAGAAGATGCAGATAGCAGATATAGAAATGCTCCAAGAGGTAAGGGCTAATACTCTTGAAACAAATGGAAAGCTAGAAAGTCTCAGAAAAGAAATAGAACCAATAAAGAAGAACCAAATGGAAATTTTAGAACTATAAAATGCAATAAATGTGGTGGACTTAATAGCAAATGGAGATAATAAGGAGTCAGTGAACTTGAAGAGAGATCATTAGAAAATATCCAATCTGAACATGGAAGAAAAAAATGAAACAAAATTATTTGTCCCAGAGACCTGTTAAACAATAACAAAAGGTCTAGTATTTGTGTCTTCGGAATCCCAAAAATAATGGCTGGAAATTTATGGCAAAAGACATAAACCTCCATATTATAGAAGCTCAGCAAGTCCCCAAACGGATAAACCAGAAGAAATCTAGAGCTATTCACATCATAATCAAACTGTTGAAAAATAAAGACAAAGAAAAAATCTTGAAAGCAGCCAGAGAGCAACATTTTGAATGACAGTGGATTTTCTCACCATAAAGCATTGAGGCTAGAAGGAAATGCCACAATATTCTTAAAGTGCTAAAATAAAAGCGTTGTCAACTGAAATTCTTTATCCAGTGAAAATGTATATCAGTAAATGAAAATGAAATAAAAGCATTTTTAGATGAAGGAAAATGAAGAGACCATCTTGCTCTCTGAAAGAATTGCTGAAGGAAGTTCTTCAGATGGAAGAGAACTGAGAACAGAAGGAAATTTGGGACATTAAGAATGAAGGAAGAGCAATAGAAATGGTAAATATCCGGGTAAATATAATGGACTTTTTTTCTTTTGAGATTTTTAATGTATATGTGATGGTTTAAAACAAAAATTATAATATTGCTCAGTAAGGGGTTTAATGCATGAAAATGCAATATATGAGACAACTATACCATAAAGGGGAGAGAGGGTAAAAGGTTTTGTATGTGATAAGACTTCTACATTCCACTTGAAATGGTAAAATATTGATTCTAAGTAGACTATGAAAACTTAAATATGTATATTATAATCTAGAGCAACCTCTGAGAAAACTATTCAAAGAAATATACAAAAGCAAAATAGAGAAATTAAAATGGGATGCTAAAAAATATTCAAATGGAAAATGAGAAAATTTAAAAAATCAGCGTGACCAACATGGAGCAACCCTGTCTCTACTAAAAATACAAAACTAGCCGGGTATGGTGGTGCATGCCTGTAATCCCAGCTACTCGGGAGGCTGAGGCAGGAGAATCACTTGAACCCAGGAGAAAGAGGTTGCGGTAAGCTGAGTTCGCACCATTGCACTCCAGCCTGGGTGACAGAGTGAGACTCCGTTTCAAAAAAAAAAATCAATTAAACAGGCAGCTGGTTCTTTGAAGAAAATAAAATTGATAAGCCTCTAACAAGCCTGACAAAAATAAAAAGAGAATAGACAAAACAAATCACCAATATCAAGAATTAAACAGGATTATCCCTACAGATCTGAAAGCCATTATGAGAATAATAAAGGAATACTACAAGCAATTTTACACTCAAAATTTGACAACCTAGAAGAAATGGAACAATTCTTTGAAAACCATAAACTACCAAAACTCAACCCAAATGAAACAGATCATCTGGATTAGCCCTATAACTACAATAAAATGGAATTAGTGATTTAAATGCTCCCAAAAAATAAATCTCCAGGCCTGTATGGTTTCATTGAAGAATTCTGCCAAACACTTGATAAAGGATTAATACCAATTTTTTAAAAATCTCTTCCAGAAAATAAAAGAGTAGAGAACTCTTCAACTTGTTTTATAAGGCTAGTATTACCTTTATATCAAGACCAAACAAAGACAGTGTATTAAAAAAGAAAAATACGGGTCAGTATGTCTCATAAACTTGAGCATGAAAATTCTCAAGAAAATTTAGCAAACAATGTAACAGTGTATAAAAGGAATTATACTTCATGACCAAGTGTGATTTATTTCAGATACTGAAAATATCAAATGGTTCAATATTTAAAAATCAGTGTAATCTAGGTCAGGTGCAGTGGTACATGGCTGTAATCCCAGCGCTTTGGGAGGCTGAGCCAGGAGGATCACCTGAGGCTGGGGTTGGAGACCAGCCTGGGCAATATAGCAAGACCCCATCTCTAAAACAAAATAGCGAGGCATGGTGGTATGTGCCTGTATTCCTAGCTACTCAGGAAGCTGAGGTGGGAGGATTGCTGAGCCCAGGAGTTTGAGGTTGCAGTGAGCTGCAGTTGCATCACTGCACTCTAGCCTGAGCAACAGAGCAAGACCCTGTCTCAAAAAGAAAACAAAAAAAAATGTAATCACTATATCAGAAGCTAAAAAAGACAAGCCATATAATCACATCAATTGACACAGAAAAAGCATTGCACAAAGTCCAGCACACCTTCATGATAAAAACTCTCAGCAAGTTAGGAATAGCAGGTAATTACCTCAGTTTGACAAGGAACAATATAGGCCAGGCACAGTGGCTCACTCCTGTAATCCCAGCACCTTGGGAGGCCAAGGCAGGAGAGTCACTTGAGCCCAAGAGTTCAAGACCAGACTGGGCAATATGGCGAGACCCCATCTCTACAAGTTGCCTGTAGTCCCAGCAACTTGGGAGGTTGAGGTGGGAGGATCACTTGAGCCTGGGAGGTTGAGGCTGCAGTGAGCTGTGATCATGCCACTGCACTCCAGCCTGGGCAAAAGAGTGAAACCCTATCTCAAAAAAAAAAGAACTACAAAAAGCCTACACTTAATATCATGCTTAATGGTGAAAGACGGAATGCTTGTCCCTTAAGATTAGGAACAAGACAAGAATATCTGCTCTCATTACTCTTATTCAACCTAGCGTTAGAAGTTCTGGCCACTGCAATAGGCAAGAAAAAGAAATACACAGCACTCAGATTAGAAAGGAAGAAGGAAAACTCTCTCTATTTGCAGATGTCATGATCATCTTGGGATTTTCTACATAAAAAATCTTGGAATTTTCTACATAAAAGCAACTCCTAGAACTAAAACTAATAAATGAGTTGAGCAAGATTGTAGGATATAAGATCAACACACAAAAATTAATCACATTTCAATATACTAACAATGAACATTAACAATGAAAACAAAAATGAAAACCAATACCATTTTCAGTCACTCCAAAGAAATTGAACTGCTTAAGTATACCTCTAACAAAACCTGTACAGTGTCTGTGCTGAAAATTATAAAATGCTGACGAAAGAGATCAAATTAGACTCAAATAAATGGAGAGTTATACTGTGTTCATAGATTGAAAAGCTCAACAAAGTGAAGATGTCAGTTCCCCCAAGTTGATCTATTGTTTAATGAAATTTATATCAAAATCCCAGCATGCTTCTTTGTAGGCATAGACATGCTTATTCTAATATAGATAGATAGAGACAGAGAGATAGATACAGATCCTAAAATAGCCAACAGCAATCTTAAAAAAGAACAATAAAATGGGAGAAATCATTATTCCCAATATAAAAACTTGTGTAGCTACAATCATCAAGACTATGTATCACTGGCAGAGGAAAAGATACATCAATCAATGGAATAGAATAGAGAAGACAGAAATAAACCCACACAAATATGCACAGTTGGTTTTTGACAAAGGTGAAAATAATTCAATAAAAGCAAGATGCCCTTTTCAACAAATGGTACTGGAGCAATTAGACATCCACAGTGGAAAAAAAAAAAAAAAAGCTTCAACACAAACCTTACACCTTAATAAAAAAATTCACTCATAGACTTAAATATAAAATGTAAAATATAGGAGGATATCTTTTGGATCTAGGGTTAGGCAAAGAGTTCTTAGACTTGAAACCAAAACTATGATCTATAAAAGGAAAAATTGATAAAGTAGATTTCATCAAAATTTTAAACTTTTGCTTTGTGAAATACTCTGTTAAAGATGAAAAGATGGCCGGATGCGGTGCCTCATATCTGTAATTCCAGCGCTTTGGGAGGCCAAGCTAGGCACATCACCTGAGGTCAGGAGTTTGAGACCAGCCTGGCCAACGTGGTGAAACCTTGACTCTGAAAATAAATAAACAAATAAGATGAAAAGATAAGCTACAAAATGAGAAAATATTTGTAAACCACATATCCAACAAAGGACTAGTATCTAGTATCTAGAATATGTAAAGGACTCTCAAGACCCAACAATATGTCATATGTTTAATATCTGTATATGTTATCAACCCAACACTATGTTGATACTATTTTTGTTTAAATGTCAATTATCTATTTACATATCAATTTATCTATGCAACACAAAAATAATAAACTTACTTATATAGTTGCCATTCAACAAAAACCGAACAGTAAAAAAAGCAAACAACCCTGTTAGAAAATAGGCAAAAGACATAGATTTCACCAAATAATAACAAATACATGAAAATTAGCCATTAGGGAAATGCAAATTAAAACCACAATTAACTCTTGCTACCCATCTATTAGAATGGCTAAAATGAAAAATAGTGATAACACCAAATGTGGGTAAGTATGAAGAGAAACTGGATTCCTCATACATTGCTGGTGGGAATGCATCATGGTACAGCTACTCTGGGAAGCAGTTTAGCAGTTTCTTAAAAAACTAAACATGCAATTACCGTATGATCTAGCAGTTTCACATCTGGCCATTTATTCCAGAGAAATGAACACCTACATTCAGATAAAAACCTGTATATGCAGCAACAGACACGTGAAAAAATGCTCATCATCACTTGCCATCAGAGAAATGCAAATCAAAACCACAATGAGATACTATCTCACCCCAGTTAAAATGGCAGTCATTAAAAAATCAGGAAACAACAGGTGCTGGAGAGGATGTGGAGAAATAGGAACACTTTTACACTGTTGGTGGGACTGTAAACTACTTCATCCATTGTGGAAAACAGTGTGGCAATTCCTCAAGGATCTAGAACTAGAAATACCATTTGACCCAGCCATCCCATTACTGGGGATATACCCAAAGGATTATAAGTCATGCTGCTATAAAGACACATGCACACGTGTGTTTATTGCGGCACTATTCACAATAGCAAAGACTTGGAATCAACGCAAATGTCCATCAGTGACAGACTGGATTAAGAACATGTGACACATATACACCATGGAATACTATGCAGCTATAAAAAAGGATGAGTTCATGTCCTTTGTAAGGGACATGGATGCAGCTGGAAACCATCATTCTCAGCAAACTTATCGCAAGAACAGAAAACCAAATACCACATGTTCTCACTTATAGGTGGGAATTGAACAGTGAGATCACTTGGACACAGGAAGGGGAACATCACACACCGGGTCCTATTGTGGGGAGGGGGTAGGGGGGAGGGATAGCATTAGGAGATATACCTAATGTAAGTGACAAGTTAATGGGTACAGCACACCAACATGGCACATGTATACATATGTAACAAACCTGCACGTTGTGCACATGTACCCTAGAACTTAAAGTATAATTAAAAAATAAAAAATAAAATAAAAAAATAAAAAACCAAAAACTGGAAACAATCCAGATGTCCTTCAGTGGGTGAATGGTTCATCTATGTCATAGAACACTACTCAACAATAAAAAGGAACAACCTATTGATACACCCAGCAACTTGAATGAATTTCCAAAGGATTGCGCTGAATGGAAAAAAGCCAGTCTCAACAGGTTGCATACTGTATGATTTCATTTATATAATGTTCTTGAAAAGATAGAATTATAAAAACAAAGAACAGATTAGTGATTGCCAGAGGTTAGGATGGGGCTGGGGTTAGAAGGAAAGAGGTGAGTGTTTATGAAAAGGCAACATGAGAGATCCTCGTGGTCATGGAACTATCTGTATGTATCCTGACTGTGGTGGTGGATCTCATGAATCTCTTGTGTGAGAAAGTTACTAAACACACACACTGAGTACAAGTAAACACACACACCAAGTACAAGTAAACACACACATTGAGTACAAGTAAAACTAGGGGCATCGGAATAAGATTTGTAGTTTCTATCAATGTCAGTATCCCAATTGTGATATTATACTATAGTATTTCAAGATGTTATTGGGAGAAAAGGGGACATGGAATCTATCTATCTATATTGCCTCTTACAACTACCTGTGAATCTAAAATTATCTTAAAAGTTCAATTAAATGAAAATAATGAGGGAAACAATGTAAGAGGAAAATACTGGAAGGGAAGAGAAAGGAGAAAAGGAGATTAGGAGGAAAGAAATGTTACAACTGTTGGGTCTCAACATTGTACTACACAACTTTCATTTACATCAACTTACTTATTCTTATTACAACACTATGAAATAATATTATGCCCGCATTTTTCAGAGCTTTCAACCTGATCCTTCTGATCCAAATTTAATATTCTTTCTGTACTATAATTCACTTCCTTTTGTATGAAAGAACTCTGGGCACGGGAGAAAGGGAACACATTGTAAAGAGAAACCTGTATCATCTTACAATAACTAATACTACTCAGGAGAATATTTTCATACTCAAATTTCTTCAGGACCATTTTAACCTCCTTATTCCTGATGCCATAGATCAGAAACTAAGCCAGGTACAACCCACCCCCCCATCTCTTCACACAGTAAACAAACAACACCCCCCATCTCTTCACACAGTAAACAAACAACAACAAACCCCAAAATTTAAAGATGTAATGAAGTACAGAAATTCTAATACTTTCTTTCTTTAACCGGGTAGATCGTTCTGTACATCACATTTTGGAGACCAGTAACCTATTCCATGGTTTATAATTTTTGGTGAACTAAAACAGTTTTATATAAAGATCATATATATATTTTTTAAATACATTTTTGTTTTTCAGCATTAAAATCCAAGACTTGGTTGACTTAAAAGACATGTATGCTATACTCAGCCTGGATGAGGAAAATAAAGGTATTGATTTTTCTGAAGCAGATCGACATTTTATCATTCCAGTTACAGAGAATAAGGTTGTGTTCATTATTGTGTGATTTGCATTCGTTGTAGGAGGATTTTTTTTTTTTTTTTTTTTTTGAGATGGAGTCTCATTTTGTAGCCCAGGATGGAATGCAATGGCATGATCTCTGCTCACTGCAACCTCTACCTCCAAAGTTCAAGCTATTCTCCTGCCTCAGCCTCCCAAGTAGCTGGTATTACAGGCATGCGCCACCACACCCAGCTAATTTTTGTATTTTTAGTAGAGACAGGGTTTCACCATGTTGGCCAGGCTAGTCTTGAACTCCTGACCTCGGGTGATCTGCCCACCTTGGCCTCCCAAAGTGCTGGGATTACAGGCGTGAGCCACTGTGCCTGGCCAGAAATAAATTTTAATATTCTTTACTAGAGTTCCCTAAAATAGTCTCCTTATTTTAGTAATTATGTTGTCATACTGCTTGACTAGAAAGATATGTCTACTTTGATCCAGAGATTTATAGTGAATTTTATCCTAATTCTAATGTAAAGTATAAATTCTTATAGATAGTCATGACCCACATAATGACGTTTCAGTCAACAGTGGTCCACATACATGGTCCATATTTACCACTTTTTCTTTTTCTTTTTCTTTTTCTTTTTTTTTTTTTTTGAGACAGGGTCTTGTTTTGTTATTCAGGCTTACTCTACATTTTCTATGTTTAGATATGTTTCAATGTGCAAATACTGCTGTGTTACAGTTGCACAGTGTTCAGTACAGTAGCATGCCATACAGGCTTATAGCCTAGGAGCAATAGGCTCTACAATATAGCCTAGGTATGTAGTAGGCTGTTTCATCTAGGTTTGTGTAAGTACACTCTATGATGTTCACACAACAACAAAGTCACCTAATGACAGATTTCTCAGAACATGGTCCTGTTGTTAAGTGACACATAACTGTACTTTCCCTTTGAACCACAGGGAATGAGCCAATGCTCATATTCTTATGCCAATCCATGGCACATTTCCTACTCTAAATAAAAACTACTTAAACTGGTAAGGAAGATATTTGAAAATTGTTATGTCTCTGGTAGCTCAAATGAAAATATGTGTTTGCTGCCTGCAACTATATATTGTTTTTGAATGATCATTTATTTTGTCGATTATTTCAGGATTGGGTACCTTGTCCTGGACTGATGATGGCCAGTTGCTAGCACTCTCTACCCAAAGGGGCTCACTTCATGTTTTCCTGACCAAGCTTCCTATACTTGGGGATGCCTGCAGCACAAGGATTGCCTATCTCACCTCCCTCCTTGAAGTCACCGTAGCCAACCCTATTGAAGGAGTATGAAAATGGTGTTATTTTTCTCTTATTTCTTAATAAAATAAGTTTAGCAGTTGATTTATTACTATTTTTCTCTATATAGGAGCTACCAATCACAGTTTCTGTTGATGTGGAACCCAACTTTGTGGCAGTAGGTCTTTATCATCTGGCTGTAGGAATGAATAATCGAGCTTGGTTTTATGTCCTTGGAGAGAATGGCAAGTCTAAGTCTAGTTGTTTATTCTTATCTAGCATATAGTTTCTGTTCTTATTTGGTAAGCACTGGAAGTTTCTTTTAGGACCAAGTCTTTCACTCTTTTGTTCATATATCTCATTCTTAGCTTAAATGGTTTTGTAAGTCTTCTAAAAATTCACATAATTTTTAGAAAGCTTTTATTCTTTACCTGTGTAGTGAAGGCAGCATAGCATAGTGGGTAGAGTATGAGCTTCAGAATTAGAGAGGCCCTGGATTTAATTTCCCTTTCTGCCTCGGTTAGTTAAGTGACTATAGACAAATCACTTTGCGCTTGTGAGCCTTACTCATCTAGAAAATGAGGTACTTCTACTTTAATGGATCATGAGGAAGATTAAATAAAATAAAATGCGCGATCTCACTTGGCACAGTGACTGTTTTAAGCACTCCTAAACCTAGTGGGTACTTAATAAATGTTAGTTCTGTCTCCCCTTTTATGCTTTAAATAATAGCTACTAGCATGTGAGGAAAACCTTGTTTTGTTTTTTCTTCTCCTTCTTCCTCCCCATCACCTTTCCCCAATTCTAGGTCAGGTAACCCTCAGGAATAGAACAAACCTGAAAATTAACTGGTTAAACAGGAAACACCATTAAGTTTATTGCCACTTAAGGTTTAATTCTTAATTGTTTTGCATGTGATTTTATTTTCTATTACTTTGTTTCATGTAAACCATAATGGAATGCCTGAAGGCAAATTTATATGGCAACTAAGATTAAAATGAAATTTAATCTTTAAGAGTCAATTTAATCATTTAATCATTTAAGATTAAAATGAAATTTTAAGTTCAGAATATTTTTGCAAAAGCACACCTTTTAAAATTATTTGCAAGTATGTATGAGATAGTTTTACCAATATTTTAATGTGTTGATTTTTAAAAATTGCTACAGCTGTGAAAAAATTGAAAGATATGGAGTATCTGGGAACAGTAGCCAGTATTTGCCTTCATTCTGACTATGCTGCTGCACTTTTTGAAGGCAAAGTCCAGTTACATTTGGTAAGTATAATTTTGATGTCCTGGAGACATGCTAAGTTAAGTTATGATGAACAGCCTAATGTCTGATTATCAAGAATATTGGTTAGGAAGCAAGGATGTACAGACTAACTAGAAAGCCAGGTGTGAGTAAAGGATTAACAAAACCCTTCCCCTTCTATATGAGAAGTTCTATTGACTTTCTAACCCTGTTCCCCAAAAACCTGATAAATATCAACAGTGCTACTCACAACATAGCCTTTAGCAAAAATAATAGTAATAATAATTACCCTGTTGGTAAACTGCAACTAGAAGGAACTATACACAAAACCATAAAAACCTGATGGGAATGCCATACCTTCGGGCTTCCTGGAAGGTGCTGACTCATATTTGGGCATTATGTGTGTGGGGGTCTTTGAAACCATGCCTGCTGAGTTGTTCAAGAGATGTTGGCACCTGTGAAGAGGGGGCTTCTAAGTCAGGGTATTTCTCACATCTGTTTCATGGCTCTTCATGGAAGACAAAGAGATTAGCAATTAGATAGCTGCAGAGCCTGCAGTAAAGACTGTTCACACTAAGAGGGACGTCTGTGCTACCTTGCTGGCAAGCTGTGGTTCCTGTCTGATAGCTTTCTGACTAAACTGACCTCTGGTAGTCTTGGGAGTCTGAATGTTTAGTTGAACTTGAGAAAAAGACACCCCTAGATGTTGTATAGCAGGTTTACTCAAATGAATCTGTGAGCCATTATTATTCTTTACATTTTAGATAGAAAGTGAAATATTGGATGCTCAAGAAGAACGTGAGACTCGGCTTTTCCCAGCAGTGGATGATAAGTGCCGTATCTTATGCCATGCCTTAACTAGTGATTTCCTCATCTATGGTACAGATGTATGTGTCACCTTCTTTATTAGAGAACATTGGGAATTTCTAATTTTTACTTTGTGATCTCAGTCATTTCCTTCTCCTACCAGCCTTTTTTCTGTATTGAATCCAATACAATTACTGAAGTTATCTGTGATTAATTATATACATTCATGTGTCTCTTAGCAATGGAGATTCATTCTGAGAAACATGTCGTTGGGCAAGTTCGTCATTGTGTGGATGTCATGGAGTGTGCTTACAGGAACCTAGATGGTACAGCCCACTACACACCTAGCCTGTGTGGTAGAGCCTATTGCTTCTAGGCTACAAACCAGTACAGTATGTGACTGTACTGAACGCTATAGGCAATTGTAACACAATTGTATCTAAACATAGAAAAGGTACCGTAAACATGTGATATAAAATATTTAAAACAGCATGCCTGTATAGGGCACTTAGCATGACAGGAGCTTGCAGGACTGGAAATGCCTCTGGGTGAGTGAGTGAGTGAGTGAGTGGTGAGTGACTATGAAGGCCTGCGGCATTACTGTACACTACCATGGATTTTATCAACATTGTGTACTTAGGGACACTAAATTTATTTAAAATTTTTTTCTTCAATAATAAATTAACCTTATCTCACTATAACTTTTTTACTTTATAAGCTTTTAAATTTTTAAAAACTTTTTGACTCTTTTATAGTAACACTTAGCTTAAAGTGTTACTAAGCTAATAACACTTAGCTTAGTAACACTTAAACACTTGACTCTTTTGTAGTAACACTTAGTTTGTTAACAAACACATTGTATAGTTACACAAAATATTTTCTGAAAAAATATATCCTATTCTGTAAGCCTTTCTCTATTTTTCACTTTTTTTAACTTTTAAACTTTTTATAAAAACTAAGACACAAACACACACATTAGTGCAGGCCAGCATAGCATCAAGATCATCAGTATCACTGTCTCCCACCTCTGCATCTTGTCCCACTGGAAGGTCTTCAGCGGGAATAACATAGATGGAACTCTCATCTCCTATGATAACAATGCCTTCAGGATACCTCCTGAAGGACCTGGTTGAGCCTGTTTTATAGTTAACTTTTTTTTAAATAAATAGGAGTACACTCTAAAATAACAATAAAAAGTATAGTATAATAAATATATAAACCAGGAACAGTCATTTATTATCATTATCAAGTATTATGTGCTACACATAATTATATGCGCTATATTTTTATATAACTGGCAGCACACGAGGTTTGTTTACACCAGCATCACCACAAACTTATGAGTAATGGCTTATGCTTTGACATTATAACATTCACGATATCACTAGGCAATAAGAATTTTTCACCTCCATCCTGATCTTATGGGACTATCATCATATACACAGTCCATCGCTGACCGAAACCTTATGTGGTGAATGACTGTACATGTATAGAACACGTAGGTGGCATGATTTGTTAATGTCAGTGCTTTTGTGATTTTAAGCAATTTTGATGGCCTAGTGAAAAGCTCAGACTTTGGAGCCTAGCAAATCTGGGCTCAAACACCAGTTCTATTACTTGCTAGCTGGTGTTTAACCCCTCCAAGCATCATTTTCCCTATCTGGGTGCCTTAAGGATTTAATTTGGTGATGAACGTAGACAATTCAACTTCAAATCTCTAATGCCTGCATTTAGTAGGCATTCAGCAAATATTAAGATTAATTGAATATTGAGAATCTGACTTCAATTTATTCATCCTTTGAACCATAGGTACTCTATATCTCCAAATATTACATTAGCCACATGCACATAAAACAGTTATAGCATCTTATATTTGTAAAACAGTTTTCACAGATTTTTCAAAGTATGCCATACCTGTTACTTTGATCAGTCTGTAAAAGAATTAAGTAAGGTTGGTAGAAAATGCATTATTTTCCACTTCAGCAAAATATTGGCCGGGTGCAGTGGCTCCCACCTAAAATCCCAGCATTTTGGGAGGCCGAGGCAGGTGGATCGCTTGAGCTCAGGAGTTCGAGACCAACCTGAGCAACATGGCGAGACCCCCATCTCTAATAAAAATACAAAAAAACAGCCAGACGTGGTGGTGTGTGCCTGTGCTCCCAGCTACTCAGGAGGCTGAGATGGGAAGATCACTTGAGCCCCGGGGGTGGAGGTTGCCAGTGAGCTGAGATCGTGCCACTACACTCCAGCCTGGGTAACAGAGCAAGACCCCGTCTGAAAAACAAAAAACAACAACAGCAAAGAAAAAGTTATTTACTATTTTAAAAGTTTCCACTTTTTCACATGAAATTATCATTACCATTATTATTTTTTAGAGACAGGGTCTCACTCTGTCACCCAGGCTGGAGTGCAGCAGCACGATCATAGCTTACTACAATCTCGACCTCCTGGGCTCAAGCAATCCTCCTGCCTCATCCTTCTGAGTAACTGGGACTACAGGTGCATGCCACCATGCCCTGCTAATTTTTAGTTTTTAATTTTTTTCTTTTTTCTTTTATTTTTTTTTTTAAGAAATGGACCTCGAAAATTTTTTGTTTGTTTGTTTTGAGACGGAGTCTCACTCTGTAACCCAGGCTGGAGTGCAGTGGCGTGATCTTGGCTCACTCCAACCTCCACCTCCTAGGTTCAAGCAGTACTCTGCCTCAGCCTCCCTAGTAGCTGGGATTATGGGCACCCACCACCACACTCAGCTAATTTTTGTATTTTTAGTAGGTACGGAGTTTCACCATCTTGGCCAGGCTGGTCTTGAACTCCTGACCTCGTGATCCACCTGCCTCAGCTTCCCAAAGTGCTGGGATTACAGGTGTGAGCCACTGTGCCCAGCTGAAATATTTTTTTTATATTTTCTTTTTATTTATTTATTTATTTTAGAAACCTGCTAATTAATTTTTTTTTTTTTAATTTTTTTTTGGTAGAGACTGGATCTCACTGTGTTGCTCAGGCTGGTCTTGAACTCCTAGCCTCAAATGATCCTCCTACCTTGGCCTCCCAAAGTGCGGGAATTACAGGAATGGGCCACAGGTGCCCGACCTAAATTATTTTTTTGAAAGAACATGTTTTAAACCATGCTTGTTGCCATATGAGAGACTTTTTAAAATTTAAGTTTGACCGAAACTAGTAAGTCTTTGAGATAATATACATCAGTAAGGTAGGTCTCATATATCAGGTAATTTGGTGATATGGAAAAATACAGAACAGGAAATTTGTATGATGCTAATAGTTTATAGAGCCTTGATCTCACTTATTTTATCTCATCTATAAAATACACAGGGAAATTTTCAGGAGGAAGATACTGAAGATTGAGAGGCTAGCAAGTCTGTAGCAAACTGGAACTTAAACTAAAATTTCCTGATGGAAAATCTACTCTTTCCACTATGCCACAGTACTTTTGGAATAAATGTAGTAGTCTGTTCATTAAGCAGCAACTATTCCAGTTTCATTCTTGAGTAATTCAGAAAATATCATGGTTTTTGGCAGCTTTATTGAAGTTTCATTGACATGCAAGAAAAATGCACTATTAAAGTGTACAATTTGGATGGGCACGGTGGCTCATGCCTGTAATCCCAGCACTTTGGGAGGCTAAGACAGGCTGATTGCCTGAGCTCAGGAGTTTGAGGCCAGCTTGGACGACATGGTAAAATCCCGTTTATACTGAAAATACAAAAATTAGCTGGGCTTAATGGCGTACGCCTGTAGTCCCAGCTACTCGGGAGGCTGAGGCAGGAGAATCACTTGAGCCTGAGAGGTGGAGGTTGCAGTGAGCTGAGATCGCACCACTGCACACAGCCTAGGTGACAGAGCAAGACTCTGTCTCCAAAAAAACAAATAAATTAAAATTTAAAAGTGTACAATTTGATAGGTTTTGACATATGTATACACCCATGACACACCATCACTTCAGTGATGATAGTGAACATGGCCAGGTGCTGTGGCTCATGGCTGTAATCCCAACACTTTGGGAGGCCGAGGTGGGCAGATCACTTGAGGTCAGGAGTTCGAGGCCAGGATCACTTGAGGTCAGGAGTTCGAGACCAGCCTGACCAACATGGTGAAACCCTGTCTCTATTAAAAATACAAAAATTAACTGGGCATGGTGGCGCATGCCTGTAATCCCAGCTACTCGGGAGGCTGAGGCAGGAGAATCACTTGAACCCGGGAGGCAGATCCGCCCGCCCATTAAAGAGTGGGCTGGGCCGGGTGCGGTGGCTCGCACCTGTAATCCCAGCACTTTGGGAGGCTGAGGCAGGCAGATCACGAGGTCAGCAGATTGAGACCATCCTGGCTAACATGGTGAAATCCCTCTCAAAGTGCTGGGATTACAGGCGAGAGCCACTGCGCCCAGCTTTTCCCATTGTATTTATTTTCTTGAGTCTGTACCTTTCACATATACTAAATATTATTCTTAGTCACTTCATCAAAAACATGACATTTTTCTCTTAAAATTAGGATGTATGTTTAATTTAAATGTTGAAAGTTAGTATTTCCTTGACTACCTTTTATATTTTCATGACTGAATTTTTTTTTTTTAGACTGGTGTCGTTCAGTATTTCTACATTGAAGACTGGCAATTCGTTAATGATTATCGACATCCTGTCAGTGTGAAAAAGATTTTTCCCGACCCAAATGGTACCAGATTAGTTTTCATTGATGAAAAAAGTGATGGATTTGTTTACTGTCCAGTAAGTCTAGAACATTTTTAAATGTTTATTTTTTGAAATGCAATATAGGGGGAAAAAAGTATGTTTAAAGCATATCTCATGTAAAATTTTCTATTAATTAGTGCCAAGGATTGTAGTTCTTCGCTATCATCTTCATATCATGTTTATGATAGATTTCTTATGAGTATATCAAGACAACTTTTTCCATTATTCTGTAATTTTTCACAGTGGCCATCCCAGAAAGATTTTTAATGGGAAAAAATAGTTATTATATCCTATACCACTTTCAACCTTATCGTATACTTACTGCACAATACAATAATTATAGTGTATCTTCCTGTACATGACTTTTCTCTCCCGATAGGCAGTGAGCTTATCTGTCCTTTCTGCACACCTCAGTTGATTTTCCTCTTTCCTTAAAGATCCTGAGCACAAGGAACAGGTATTTCTGTATTAGATGAATAAAAATAGATGAGCCCATTTTAAAAATCAGCCACTCATATTTTTAAACATCTTTAACTTTTTTGAAAATAGATTTAGAAAAAAGGAGATGTGCCTTTACATTAGTTACTATAATTGGATTTTTCATTTACTTTTTATATCCTGTTAATAGTTTACTATGTTCTTGGTCAAATCACATAAACTACAGCTGCTTGTAGACCCATCCTTAATACTGTTTCCAGGTCCCTAGGTCTCACTGTGGTGTTCCCTCAATGTAAACAGCCTGCTCCTCACTGCTACACTTTGCTTGATACAAAGACTTACTTCCTCCCCATGCCCACCCCTTCTTCCTTTCCTTTCCCTTCCCTTCTTTTCCCTTTCCCTTCCCTTCCTTTCCTTCTCTTCTTTTTCTTTTCTTTTCTTTCTTTATTTGACAAATATAATGAATTTCCACAAATGTACCTGGATTATCTATGCCAAATTCCTAATTTGCTAGTTCTTACTCAATGCACTCCTCCCCCAATTGCAAAGCAAATAAGGAAGGATGCATGACATAAATGAAGATAAAGCTTGAGTTCCCTCTACTTAATATGGAAATTCCACCTTGTATAGGTTTCCTTTCTATAACAGGGAACTAATTAGAGCTGCCTTGAATTTCCCCCGTGTGGGTTCACCACAGTTAGAAACTGTGGCTTAGACAGAATAGACAAGAGAGTAGGAGGGTAAATCAGGTGTCTGTCAGGAGTTAAAGTCAAAAATAGGGTGTGGCTGCTAGGAAAGGGTAAGGAGTAAGGTCAGCCTTAAACAAGGTGATTTCATTCATTTTTACTTTCTCCATTTACAGTTCTCTTTTTCTTGATAATTTCTGTCAAGGAGCTCTCACTTTGATTGGATTTCCAGTTTTCCTGTCTGTCTAAGATGGAGACAGTTCTAGTACCTACTTTGTAGGGTTGTTAAATGAAAAGTTAATAGGATGATGCATGTAAGCTTTTAGTACAGTGTTAGCCACATAATAAGCACTCAACAAATGGTTACCTTTTTTTAAAAAAAGTTCAACCACTAGTCCAGTGGCACTGATGTGCTCATCTATACAAAGTGAGCATCAGTATAACATAGACTAACATGGATTAGAAGCAGAGACTCAGGATCCAGACTGCCTGGGTTCCAATACTGGCCGTCAACCTACTAGCTGTGTGACTTTGGGCAGATTTCTCTGTACTTCAGTTTCTTCATCTGTAAAATGGGAATAATAATAGTACCTGTCTTTTAGAGTATAAGGTTAGCATGAAATGAAGTAATTAGTACAATATCTTGTAAGTAGCACTGTCCAATGGAAATATAATGTGAACCACATATATAATTAAAAATTTTATATTAGCTACATTTTTTAAAAGATAAAAAACAAACAGGTGAAATTAATTTTAATATATTTAACTAAACCCTTGAGGAATCGCCATACTGTCTTCCACAATGGTTGAACGAATTTACATTCCCACTAACAGTGTAAAAGCATTCCTCTTTCTCCTCAGCCTTGCCAGCATCTATTGTTTCTTGACTTAATAATCGCCATTCTGACTGGTATGCAATGGTATCTCAATATTATCATTTCAATGTGTAATTGAATATAAAAAAAGTAATGAGATATTTTACAATCTTTTTTTCATGCGAACTCTCTGAGTGTGTAGTTTACACTTAAACATATCTCAATTTGGACTTGGCATATTTCAGTGCTTAATAGGTACATCTGGCTACATGTAGATATTATAATAGCAACTACTATATTAAATAACACAGCTTTGTAATATTACTTATTATTTGCAGGGATTTTATATTTCATTTTTATTTTGAGAGTAGGAGGAGGCAGATATTTTTCAGTTCCCTATTCAGGATATATATAAGCCTATCTGCCTGCGTTCACAGGATTTATATGGACTGATTTTTATAAATAGCTTATTTAGTATGATATTACAGTCAGCCCACCCTATCTGGGTTCCTCATCTACGGATTCAACCAACTGTGGATCAAAAATATTCAGAGGAAAAATGGATGGCTTTGTCTACGCTAAACCTGTGCAGAAAATTTTTCTTATCTATATTCCCAATACAGTATGACAACAATTTACATGGCGTTTTGTTTATTAGTTTATATTCTAGATATTTAAGTATAATGTACCAGTATACACATTTACAATGGGTCGGTTTGACTGGGTTTTATGATAGATCTACCATTCAATGGATATTGAGGGATGATTGTATATTTATATTTGTTGATATGCATTTTAGAGAAGTCTTTTGAAATAAAGCATCCCTAGTGTAATTTACTTCAATCATGTGAATTAATTTGTTTCTTAATACCCAGTATTATCAAATACTCAGTATTATGAAAAATTTCTAAACACAAGTACAAGTGTGTTCATAGTTTAAATTTCTGTCATCTTGAGCAGCTTTAATTTTTTTTCCTTAAGCTGAAGCTTTGTGTCTAGACTCATGCGTTCTTCTACAAATTTGCCAGATTTTAGATCAAACCTTGGATTTTCCAAATAACTATAGTTTTTTCAAGCCAGACCTAGGATAAGAATGGAAAAAGAAACTTTCTTTCCTGTTGTTGTTGGAGTGATGTTAAGTTGAATATGACTTAGCTAAGCCAGCTAAGGCTGCAAACAGGCCTCCTCCACGGCAAATGATAATGATTTAAGTACAGACTTGGGGCAAATCTGTAAATCTTATTTTGTAGGTTAATGACACTACCTATGAGATTCCAGATTTTTCACCAACCATTAAAGGTGTTCTTTGGGAAAACTGGCCAATGGATAAAGGTGTATTTATTGCTTATGATGATGATAAGGTGTACACTTATGTCTTTCACAAGGACACTATACAAGGTACTAAACCCCTTTTGTGTATATTTGCTGACAAATGAATTTCCCCATTGCAGTAAAATTAAAACATGCCTTTCTGATTTTTGTGCTGAGTATTAGCTTTCAGCATTGAGATTTCTGTTTTATAATGTAGGAGCCAAGGTTATTTTGGCTGGTAGCACCAAAGTTCCTTTTGCTCATAAACCTTTGCTGCTATATAATGGAGAGTTGACCTGCCAAACACAGAGTGGAAAAGTAAACAACATCTACCTTAGCACCTATGGCTTTCTCAGCAACTTCAGAGATACGGGGCCTGACGAACTGAGACCAATGCTGGCACAGAATTTAATGCTAAAAAGGTAGGCTTTCAAACACTTCTTTTGGAACTTCTCGTTTGCTTTTGTGATTTTAAAGGTCAAATCCTATAATTATTTTATCTTATTTTATTGCTTTATTCTTTCTCCTTGCAAGAATATTTTTTATTTTTTGTAAATGTGGAAATATAAGTGCAGTTGTGCTACATGGATATAGTGCATATGGTGAAGTCTGGGCTTTTAATGTACCCATCACCAGAATAGTGAACACTGCACCCAGTAGGTAGTATTTTATCCCTCAACCCCGTCTCACCGTCCCACCTTTTGGAGTTTCCAGTGTCTCTTATTCCACCTGTATGTCCATGTGTACCCATTGTTTATCTCCCACTTCTAAGTGAGAACGTGCAGTTTTTGACTTCGGGGTATTTCACTTAGGATAATGACCTCGAATTCCATCCATATTGCTGCAAAAGACATGATTTCATTTTTAACAGCTGAGTAGTATTCCGTGTTGTGTATGTCTGTATATACACACCACGTTTTAAAATCCAGTCATCTGTTGATGGACACTTAGTTGATTCCATGACTTTGCTATTGTGAATAGTGCTGCAGCAAACATATGAGTGCAGGTGTCTTTTTGATAAAATGTCAAATCCTATTCAATAGATGGAGATAACAGCACTTCCCTTGTTCATTTCACAGGGGTATTTTGAGGCTCAGATAAGATAGTAAGCTGTTTTTATTATGAGTACTTTATTGTAAGAAAGCCCGTAAGAACAAAACAGTTTCTAAGCTTCCAAAGAGCCCAGTTATTGTGAAATCCTAATAAACCTAATTATGTCAACAATATCTTGATTTCATCATAATGAAGTTTGATTTTTGCTTTGCTTGTAATTTCCTTTTCCTGTTTTTTTCTCTTATCTCCTAGAGCCACTGTGAATTTCCTTTGACGTTCTAATTCTTCTGAGCCTCTCTTAAATGTGCTGTTTATTGGGGTCTCATGAGTTTCCTTCTCTTCTTACTCTAATTATTCTTCCTGAGTAAATCTCCTCTGCTTAACATGGCTCAACATACCACCCATATGAAGTTGACTTTAAAATCTGTGTCTTTATCTTAAACCTGTACTTACAACTACCTTCCAGTCATATGTACTTGGAAGTCCATGAGCTCTTCAAACTTGCCCTTTCTAAAACTGAACTCATCAATTTCCACAGACCCCTATTTTCCCTCACTCTAATCACACATGCACATGCCTTAACACACACATACACCAGCTCCTTTCCTCCTCCTGTGTTCCCTTGTCTTTACCCAGGCCCTCACTTGGAATAACGTGTAATGTAACTCTCCACTTCCTAACTGCTGTGTCTGCCAGTAGCCTTATAACGATCTCATCTGTTCTCCACACACTTTTGAAAATGTGATTTGATCCCCTCATTTCCCTGCTCAAGATACTTTAGCGACTTCCTATTGCTTTTACAAACAAATCCAAATTCCTGGGGGACCTCCATGACCTACTAGGCACTTCATGATTTAAGACCAGCTCAGCTGTTTCCACTCAACTCCCTCTCTGTTCCACTGGCTGCTGAAATTGCATATATTTCATGATTCTTCCTGGAGTGCCCTTTCGCTATCTCTGAATGTAGTAACCCCTCTTTCTTTACCCATCAGAAATTAGTGGAGCCATCTGCTGCTCCAGGAAGCCTTCCCCGACTTCCCCACCACCACAAGCAGTCCTGCTTGGGGTCTTTCTGATGTGTTGCCTCAGAGCCAGGATGCAGTATACACAGTGGTTAAGAGCATGACACCACTTATCTCTGTGTGCCTTGGGCTAGTCTTTTAACATCTGTAAGCCTCACTTTCCTAATCTTTAAAGGAGAAATAATAATAATACTTAGTAGGTAGTGTTATTAGGGTAAGGGAATTTATGCAAAAGACTTAGCACCAAGAGTTATCTATTGTAAGTACTCAGTTACTTCTGTCAAACTGTGTTATAGTCATTTGTTTCCTTATCTGTCTCTTCCACCTTCCCCAATTGTGACTGCCTTAAGGACAGCAACTGTGGTTGATTTTTGTGTCATGTTTCCAAGCACATAAGAGGAGCTCAGTAAATGTGTGTTGGATGGAAAAATGAATAGGTGAATAGATAAATGGATAAATGAATAGATAGATGAATGTAATATATTCACTCATGTAGAGGTTCCACCAAAAGTTTAATTGGCATTTATGTTCATGTTTTAAACCAGAGGTCTGAAAACCTTTTCTGTTATGGTCCAAATGGTAAATATTTCAAGCTTTAAGGGCCACAGGGTCTCTATCACAGCTACTCAGGCTGGCTGTTGTAGCCGGAAAGTGGCCACAGACAATCCATTAAAGAGTGGGCTGGGCCGGGTGCGGTGGCACACACCTGTAATCCCAGCACTTTGGGAGGCCAAGGCGGGTGGATCACGAGGTCAGCAGGTCAAGACCATCCTGCCTAACATGGTGAAACCCCATCTCTACTAAAAATACAAAAAATTAGCTGGCGTGGTAGTGCGCAACCTGTAGGCCCAGCTACTCAGGAGGCTGAGGCAGGAGAATAACAAACTGGGGAGGCCGAGGTTGCAGTTAAGTGAGATTGCGCCACTGCACTCCACCCTGAGCGACAGAGCAAGACTCTGTCTTCAAAAAAAAAAAAAAAAAGAATGGGCTGATGAGTGACTTTGTTCCACTCAAGCTGTATTTTCAAAACAGCATCTGACTAGATTTGGCCCATGAGCCATAGTTTGCTGACCCCTGTTTTAAACTTCTAAATTTATAGGAATAGAATACTAATTTTATTAGACTTATGGAGAACAAAAATAATATTCATCTATGTGTGAAATAAAAAGAAATAAATAGCATTAGTTTAGTTGTTAATTGAGTAGGCTGATTACAGAGTAGATTCAGATTGATAAAAGAAATTCAGGGAAAAACATTTATCTGCACAAAGGAAGAAAGCTTAAGTGTCTTTTCATTACTTGCAAATGACGATTACAGGTTAAGAAATGTTTTAGACAGTTTATCTGGGGCACACTGTTAGATAACATGTAGTCTGAAAATTGCCTAACGTGGCAAGTGGAGCGTTCTGATTAAGCTTATGTACTTACATCCCAGGTTCTCTGATGCTTGGGAAATGTGCAGGATTCTGAATGATGAGGCTGCCTGGAATGAGTTGGCCAGAGCTTGTCTACATCACATGGAAGTGGAGTTTGCAATCCGTGTTTATCGGAGAATTGGAAATGTTGGCATGGTGATGTCCTTGGAACAAATAAAGGTAAATAGCATGTTATAGAATTATCAAGTAAGTTAAGATTTAAATGCTATTTTAAGTTAAATGCAGTCTAAACTTTTTCCGTTTAATCTTACCTAACTCTTAAACAAGTGAATCGATAGAATATTACCACTTCTAATGATCAAAGTCCTTTAAAAAAAAAAAAAGTTAAACTCTTACATTTTTTTCTCATCAAAATTGCTTTTATTTGTAGGGAATAGAGGACTACAATCTTTTGGCAGGACACCTTGCCATGTTTACCAACGATTATAACCTGGCTCAGGACCTGTACCTTGCATCCAGCTGTCCTATTGCTGCCCTGGAGGTATGGCAGCAAATAAGAATGGAAATTGTGTAAGAGGTATCCAGTGGGGAAATGGGGGGAAAAAAAATGGGGCCTGGCGCAGTGGCTCACGCCTCTAATCCCAGCACTTTGGGAGGCCAAGGTGGGTGGATCACCTGAGGTCAGAAGTTTGAGACCAGCTGACCAATATGATGAAACCTCATCTCAACTAAAAATACAAAAATTAGCCGGACGTGGTGGCATGTGCCTGTAATCCCAGCTACTCAGGAGGGTGAGACAGGAGAACTGCTTGAACCTGGGAGGTAGAGGTTGCAGTGAGCCTGTAATCGCAGCTACTTGGAGGCTGGGGAAGGAGAATCGCTTGAATCTGTGAGGCAGAGGTTGCAGTGAGCCAAGATTGCACCACTGCACTCCAGCCTGGGTGACAGAGGGAGACTCTGTCTCAAAAAAAAAAAAAAAAAAAAAAAAAAGGAAAGAGCATAAGAATATGCAAAGGAGGATCACCCCTTCTATATAATTAAAATTTCTCAGCACAGACACTATATGCCTTCCCCCTCCTAGAATTCAAACATGTCAGTTTAAGAACCCCTGAGTACTCATTAATTATATTATTTTTCATTAAAATCATAATGTTTCAAAATCAAAAATATGTTTATTCTGCATTTTGTGGAGGCATAAAATGCATGGTATTACAACATTACTAATTGAAATCTAAGTGTGTCCGAAGAGACAGATTGTGTAAATTACAAAAACGTATACAAGGAAAAATATCATCATATATTGAGTGCTTACGTGGGCCAGGCACTTTTCTAAGCACTTGACAGGTATTAACTCATTAAACCCTCACAACAATCCTATGAGATAGGATTGGTTTTTTCTCTGTTTTCCAGATGGGAAAACCGAGGCACATTTATCCTTATTGTGTGAAATTCTGTTGTGTATTATTAAGAGGTGAGCTAAGGACTAGTGTACCATCACTGGTTTCCCAGAGGTGAGCATTGCAGGAGAGGGCCTAGAGCAGGATGAAGGGCCTAGTTAGTTCAAGGGCAGGGAAGAAGGGAAGCGTGGCCATATCGACTTGCAGTGAGGAGCGCAGACTTCACAGTCAGACATTTCTGGGTTCAAATTCCAGCTCTGTGTAAGCTTGGACATGTTATTTAACCTTTTTGAGCCCTAGATCCTATTTCTTTAAAGTAGGAAGAATAATATCTAGCTCACGGGATATTTGTAAAGATTTACAAATGAGAACGAGATCTTTTAGCACAGTGCATGATCAATAGTAAAGACATATCATTAGCTGTTGTAATCATTAATATTATTTCACCTAAAACTTTCATTTCTACAACTATGTAAAAGAGGTTGTTTTGGAAGCATTTTTTAATTTTACAGCTTTCCTTTTACAAATCATTCTATAGCAAATTCTCATTTTTAAATTTTAAGTGAACTAAATTAACTTTAAGAAAAATGTAGGTAATTTTACAGTGTTATTTAAGATAATTGGGACACCCTGAGAAGTTTTCAAAACTTGGATTAGTACTCACTGAAATGGGAATATGGCTGCGATGACTGAGGGGAAAGATGTCATCTCAACTCTTCTGCATTTAACTGTGGGCACTGGTCATGTGCTGCTAGACTTGGAAAGAATTTGAGGTAATGGATTGATAATGGAGAGGGGTGATTACTCTTTAACCTCAGTTTGAAAGCTGATGAGTTAACCAGGTGAAAAGTTCAGAGGCAGAGCCCTGCTGCCCAGCTCCGTGGTGCACCAGTTGTGTAACCTTATGTACAGAGGAGCCTCTCTGCCTCAGTTTCTGGATCTCTAAAATGGATACAAGAAAGTGTTAATACGTTGCAAAAGGGTAGTCATGAAAGATAAATAAGCTAATCCCCTAGAACAGTATCTGGCAGATAATGACACTTGAAAAATGTTAGCTATTATTGTTTGGAAAGTATGAATAAAGTGAGGAATGAACTTTGAAAGATTCTTTAATGATTAGTTTATATTTACAATTATGTACCAGGCAGAGATAAAAGACCACAGGAACTAGGAAGAAAATATATTTACATTTTAGTTACATTTGCTATTACTCGTGTTGTGATATAGCTTCAGATTTTCTGAGAAAAACACACCAATTCCTATAGCAAAGTGTTCTCAACTTTTTAAAATCACTACCTTCTAAAAATAAAAATTAACTTTAATTGATTACATTAATTTAATTTGATTACTCCCTACTGAGAAAAATTAAATACTAAGGACTAAGATTTTGTTAGATAAGATTGAGTTTTGGAGGGCCACAAACCATTGTAATAGCTAAGATTTTTTTGCCCCTCCAAGAATCAGTTTTTGCCTTCTTCAGGGCTCTGTCAACCCTATTGAGAATGCATGCTATAGTAATATATTATCATTGTAAAGATCAAGTTTCATTATTTAAACAAAAAGGTTTTGTAATTAGTTTTATTAAAACTAGCTCTTGGTGGTAACTTTGCAAAATAATTTTGCTCATTTAAAGTTAAGGTCTTTCTCTTCTTAACAGATGAGAAGGGATTTACAGCATTGGGACAGTGCTCTACAACTGGCAAAGCGTTTGGCCCCAGACCAGATTCCTTTTATATCAAAAGAATATGCTATTCAGCTTGAATTCGCGTAAGTCTGTTTTTATACATTTCAGTCAGTAGCCAATGACTGCAAATATCTTTAGTTCAAAACTTCCATTAATGATAAGGCCCTCCATTGATTTAATAATTTTTTTAGAGAAAAAATACTATATTAATTATATATCTGAAAAATGTTTTTTCTAATGTCTTATCCATGCATTATCCACTTTAAGTTTTCAGCATCAAAATCTAAGTCTGGATCTAAGCTGTTTCTGCATTTAGAATCTAAATGTTATTATTATCATTTTATTATTATTTTTAATAGAGACAGGATCTCTCTGTGTTACCCAGGCTGGAGTGCTGTGGTATGATCATAGCTCACCGCAGCCTCGAACTCCTGTGCTCAAGTGATCCTCCCATCTCAGCCTCCTCAGTAGCTGGGACTATAGGCACGCATCACAATGCCTGGCTAATTTTTAAATTTTTTTTAATTTTTAGAGAGATAGGGTCTCACCATCTTGACCAGGCTGGTCTCCTGAGCTCAAGTGATCCTCCCAACTCAGCCTCCCAAAGTGCTAGGATTATAAGCGTGAGCCACTGTGCCCAGCCTAAATATTATTTTTAATCACATGTGGCCATCAACAACTATGCATAGCATCACACTGCTTTTCCTAACTTATGTTCATGGTTCTGACCTCCTTTAACACTTTGAGGATTTGCTCTGTAATTTCAAACCATAGTGAAAAACACCAAGGTTTGGTCTACATTTTCTATTTGCTTAGAATTATAGTTTTTTCTGACAAGAGTAGACAAATGGGACTTAAACTAAAAAGCTTCTGCACAGCAAAAGAAACAATCAGCAGAGCAAATAGACAACCAACAGAATGGGAAAAAGTATTTGCAAACTATGCATCCAATAGCAAGCGAATATCCAGAATCTGCAAGGAACTCAAACAACTCAAGAAGAAAACAAATAACCTCATTAAAAAGTGGGCAAAGGACATAAATAGACATTTTTCAAAAGAAGACATATAAGCAACCAATAAAAATATGAAAAAATGTTCAATATCATTAATCATCAGAGAAATGCAAATTAAAACCACAATGAAATACCATCTTACACCAGTCAGAATAGCTATTATTAAAAAATCTAAAAATAATAGATGTTGGTAAGGATGTGGAGAAAAGGGAATGCTTATATACTGTTGATAGGAATGTAAATTAATAGAACCTTTATGGTAAACAGTATGGAGATTTCTCAAAGAACTAAAACTAGAACTACCATTCAACCCAGCAATCCCACTACTGAGTGTATACCCAAAGGGAAAGAAATCGTTACATCAAAAAGATACCTGCACTCATATGTTTATTGCAACGCTATTCATAATAGCAAAGGTAAGGAATCAACCTAAGTGTCCATCAGTAGAGCACTGGAGAAAGGAAATGTGGTGTACACACACACACAGACACACACACACACCACAGAATACTACTCAGCCATAAAAAAAGAATGAATTGTGTCTTTTGCAGCAACATGGATGGAACTGGAGGCCAAAGGGATGTAACTCAGAAAATCAAATACTGCATGTTTTCCTTCATAAGTGGGAGCTCAACCATGGGTACACAAGGACATACAGAGAGGAATAATAGACACTGAAGACTCCAAAAGGTGGGAGGGTGGATGAGGGTTGAAAAATTACCCACTGGGTGCATTTTTCACTATTCAGGTATGAGTACACTAACAGTCCAGACTTCACCAGTACCCAATATATGCACACAAAGACCTACACTTGTACTTCACAGATAACATACATTTTTTTAACTAAATGATTTTTTTAATTATAGTTTTTTGGGTTTCATGTGTATGAAAATTAGACAATTGGTATTGCAATTCAAGCCAAAAGCTCTTCCCAGGAGGATATTGAGGGCTTGAGTAATAGTCCTTCATGATGCATGAATAGGAGTCACAAATCTCTCTTGCCTTTGGAAATTCCATAATCTATTCTGAGAAATTTAGAATTTTCTAGTGCTCTTAATTGCTAGACCCTCTTAATTGTCAATAGTCTTAATTGACAGACTATACATTTTCATTGCAGCGTTGCATCGAAGTGTAATTTTAGAGGCATTTAGGATCCAGTTTTAAGTTAACATTCAGCCATGGTTGGTGCTACCAATGTAAATATCTGCAGAGAAAATAAATGAATAATTCATTTGCAAATATAAGTTTGTACATGTATGTGTAATGACAACCAGACATTTTGACATTTATTATGATACATTCCAACATTCAAAAATATTAAAATATGGAAAAAGATTTGTCTTTAAACAAAGAAAATATAGTTATAACATTTGATTTTTTTCTAAAAACATTTCACATAGTTCTACTTTACTGTCATAGAGACTTTGGATTCATTGAGAATACTGACACATAAATTCATGTTGTAGGAGTTACTCTATCAAAAAGTACTCTGTACCACGCATGGTGGCTCATGCCTATAATCCTAGCTCTTTGAGAGGCCAAGGAAGGAAGACTGCTTGAGCTCAGGAGTGTGAGACCAGCCTTGGCAACATAATGAGAACTTGTCTCTACAAAGAAAAAAAAAAAAAGCCAAGCCTGGGCTCACGTGACTGCAGTCCCAGCTGCTGGAGAAGCTAAGGTGGGAGGATCACTTGAGCCCAGAACGTTGAGGCTGCTGTGAGCTGTGATCACGCCACTATACACCAGCCTAGGCAGTGGAGCAAGACCCTGTTTCAAAAAAAGAAAAGTACTCTTTCATTTCTAAACATGGTATCTTCTTTCAAGTTTTCTGTTCTACAGATTAAAAACATTTTAGAGATTTTATTTCTTCTTAATCAATCTGATGAAGTTTGCCAGATTTCTGTTCCTTATAAATGCATATACCAAAAAGTGCACGTTGGAATCTTTGTACGTAACACAAGAGACAGGGCCCCGGTCCCCTGGCCCTCCACCTGCATCCTGAGGATGACTGAGTCTTAGAATATAAAACTTCTGTGCTAAGGAGAAAAGATGATCCACCATGCCCTGTCGGAGTACAGACACCCCAGTAAGCCGTTGGACCATCCAGAACACTTCGATTTTTCACTTCCTTCAGGAAAATTTGAAGTGTTGTAACAAATTCTCAAACATGTCTCATGGTCAGATGAACTGAAGTCAGTTGAAAGCCTGCGTGTTGTCGTTTCTAACCCTTTCTGCTCACCACTTGACTGTGAAGCCACCGATTCTCAAAGCTTTCACTGATATTTGTATGCAGATCTTCAGACCCTAGTGTACACACACTCTAGCCCCCAACAGTCTGAAGGAATTTCCTTGTGATAATGGGAACTAACTTAAGTATAGTTCATTGTCATCAAATACCTGAATAGCCACCAGCTACTGACTTTGACACCTAAGACCCTAGGCCTGTGTTCAATTTCAACCGTCTGTTTCATTATGCATCCAAGACCTTGATTAGGTCAAAGCAGGGCCAGTCTATCAGGTCTAGGTGAGATTTAACTTACTAAAGTCTGGGATTAAACTAATGAGCTAGTTCCATATGAGAGCTTTAAAATAAAATAATAAATAATCCAGTGAGCTAAAATAACAAAAAATAAAGTGAGAGTTCCAAAGTATTAATTTAGCTTGCCCAAGGAAAACCTCAGGCTCCTGTGGGAGGAACTGTCTACTCAGTGGATTACATCAGCTGAGCTAGGGATATCTCCTGAGGATGTCTCTTCCCTATTCTCAGGAAAAATCCCTAGCTTGGTTGATGTAATCAGGTCTGCATTGGAAATTTCCATTTAGGAATATTGCTGACTATGGAGTCCTAGGCTGAACAAAAGAAAGTTCTCAACCGCAGAACAGCTCCTTTTCCAAAAATGTCCTTCTACATTAATAGATGAGGAAAGTGAATGAGGCTTAGAGAGGTTTAGTAACTTGTCTAAGCTGATAAAGTAGTGATAAGGTAGATCTCAAATCATGCCATTTCAGAGCTGATTAATTTATTCTGGAGAAGATGGTTTCTTAGAGGAAGATAGATCCCAAAAAGTATCTTAGGCAAATCACTGATTCATTCTATCCCAAACAATGAAAATAAGTTGAAATAATAAAAGTCTTCTGTATATGCAGATCCATGTTAGCATCAGTCACAGGAAGGGATTATTATTATTATTATTATTATTATTATTATTATTATTATTTGAGATGGAGTCTTGCTCTGTCACCCAGGCTGGAGTACAGTGGTGCAATCTCAGCTCACTACAACCTCCGCCTCCTGCGTTCAAGCAATTCTCCTGCCTCAGCCTCGCGAGTAGCTGGGATTACAGGCACATGCCACCACACGCAGCTAATTTTTGTATTTTTAGTAGAGACAGGGTTTCACCACGTTGGTCAGGCTGGTCTTGAACTCCTGACCTCATGATCCGTGTGCCTCAGCCTCCCAAAGTGCTGGGATTACAGGTGTAAGCCACCATGCCTGGCCCAGGAATATTATTTATATCATGTATATTAATACTTTTTCTCGGTATAAGAACCAGGGCCCTCAGCACTATAATCCCCAATGTATTCCTCCACTTCTACCCTTTAATAAATTGATGGCCCTCTAGATTCCCTCAATATATATTCTTGTAAATACTGGGCTTTTGGTTAAAAAAAAAAAAAAAGTGTTTTATCGTCACGTGATTGTCATTTAGTGCCCCAAAGGAGATAATTAACCAAAAGTAGCCAATAAAAGTAATGTAGCTTCTTATCAGAAAAAAAAGCTAATACATGCTAGGCTTAACACTTAGGTGATGGGTTGATAGGTACAGCAAACCACCATGGCACATGTTTACCTATGTAACAAACCTGCACATCCTGCACATGTACCCTGGAATTTAAAAAGAAAATTAATGTAGCTCCTCAAAATGCCTAGCATACCACACAGTAAGTACCTTACAGTATAGCATAACCCAGCTTAATAATTACTTTTAAAGTAGTAAGATAATGACATACTGCACTTCGAAAGAATGCATCTGTAGTGTTCCACATCTTTTGTGAGCTTAAGCAACTCAATGACAAAGATTATCCTTTAAATCCTGTATTTGTAAATTGATCTACTACTCCCCAGTGGTGGCTCATGCCTGTAATCCTAGCACTTTGGGAGGCCGAGGTGGTGGATCATTTGAGCCCAGGAGTTCAAGACCAGCCTTGGCGACATGGTGAGACCTTGTCCCTACAAATTTTTTTTTTTTTTTTAATTTGCCAGGCATGGTGGCACATGCCTGTAGTCTCAACTACTCAGGAAGCTGAGGCTGGAAGATCACTTGAGCCAGTGAGGTGTCGGGGCTACAGTGAGCTGTGATTGTGCCACTGCACTCCAGCCTGGGCAACAGAGTAAGACCCTGTCTCTAAAAAAAAGAAAAAAAAAAAAAGGAAAAAGTGTATGTAAATAAAATTCTAAAATAAATATTAAAAGTCACTCTTTTTTTTTTCAGGGGTGATTATGTAAATGCTTTGGCTCATTATGAGAAAGGAATAACAGGTGACAATAAGGTAACCTTGGATAAAGATAAGATATGCCTAATTATCTTTGGGTTCATTTTCAGTTTCATTTTTAAAAATCATGGTCTTATTTGTATTATATTTCATATCTAGCAGGTGAGCCTTTTCTTTGGTTTACTAACAACCTTGCAAGGAAATAGTTAAATCATTTTAAAACACTTCAAGCTCTTAAAATCTGACGAAGACAATATTTTTATCAGTCTGATAAGTTTTACATTCTTAATATAAGTCTAAGTAAAGTTGGAAATAAGATTTTTATCCTTTCTTACCTACAGGCTATGATTTTCATAAGCTTTTTCCTTTTGCTCTTTTTAAAAGTTTCAGTAGGCCGGGCACGGTGGCTCGCACCTGTAATCCCAGCACTTTGGGAGGCCAAGGTGGGCAGATCAAGAGGTCAGGAGTTCAAGACCAGCCTGGCCAATATGGGGAAACCCCGTCTGTACTAAAAAAAAATACAAAACTTAGCCAGGCATGGTGGCACACGCGTGTAGTCCCAGCTACTCGGGAGGCTGAGGCAGAAGAATTGCTTGAACCCAGAAAGTGGAGGTTGCAGTGAGCCAAGATCGTGCCACTGCACTACAGCCTGGGTGACAGAGTAAGACTCCATCTCAAAGAAAGAAAAAAAAAAGTTTCAGTAACCATTTTGAAAGTGAATTCCCAATCCATAAAACGTTGTTCTGCCATTTCTGTCTCATACTGTATCTTTCAAGATGACCCTGGAAAGCATGACCCACTATGCTACCTCTTTTTCCCATCCCAGAATTCTAGCTTAAAAAGCTAAGATTTATAATAATAATTACTGTTTTTAAGTTAGGTGATGTCTTGTGAAGGTTGAAAATCTTTTGACTTTCCGTTTTATATATAGCATTTTTATTACAAAAGTAATGCAACCTCATGATAGCTAATTTGAAAAATCACCAAAATATGTTAACATGAAAAGTGAGTCCAGGCCAGTCTGGCCAATGTGGCAAAACCCCATCTCTACTAAAAATACAAAAATTAGCAGCCATGGTGATGGGCGCCTGTAATCCCAGCTACTCGAGAGGCTGAGGCAGAGAGAATCGCTTGAACCCAGGAGGCGGAGGTTGCAGTCAGCCGAGATCGTGCCATTGCACCCCAACCTGGACAACACAGTGAGACTGTGTCTCAAAAAAAAAAAAAAAAGTGGGTCCAGGACTGGGCACAGTGGCTCATGCTGGTAATCCCAGCACTTTGGGAGGCCGAGGCCAGTGGATCACTTTAGATCAGGAGACCAGCCTGGCCAACATGGTTAAACCCTATGTCTACTAAAAATACAAAATTAGTCAGGTGTGGTGGCACACACCTGTAATCCCAACTACTCGGGTAACTGAGGCAGGAGAATCACTTGAATCGGGAAGCAGAGGTTGCAGTGAGCTGAGATCGCACCATTGCACTCCAGCCTGGGCAACAAGAGGGAAACTCCATCTCAAAAAAAAAAGTAAAAAAGAAAAGTGAGTCTAACTAATGCTTGACACCAGGAGTTCAAGACCAGCCTGGACAACAAAACAAGACCCCCATATCTACAAATTCATTTGTTTATTTTTCTTTTAGAGACGGTCTTTCACTGTGTCACCCAGGCTGGAGTGCAGTGGTGCCATCCTGGCTAACTGCAACCTTTACCTCCTGGGTTCAAGTGATTCTCGTACCTCAGCCTCCTGAATAGCTGGGATTACAGGCATGTGCCACCATAATTGACTAATTTTTGTATTTTTGATAGAGACAGAGTTTTGCCATGTTAGCCGGGCTGGTCTTGAACTCCTGGCCTCAAGTGATCTGCCCACCTCAGCCTCCCAAAGTGCTGGGATAACAGGCTTGAGCCACCGCGCCTGGCCCATCTCTACAAATTTAAAAATAAAAAATTAGCTGGGTATGGTAGCATTGCATCACTGCACTCCAGCCTAGGCAGTAGAATGAGACCCAGTCTCTTTAAAAAAACAACAACTTTTTTAAATTAAAAAATAAAAATTAAAAAATTAAATTCATTTTTAAAAATCACTACAATGAATATTCTACTTAGTACATGTATCTTTAGCTACCTATGATAGTATTTCTGAAGAATATTTTCCTATAAGTTAGATTTCTAGGTTACAAAGTGTACTTTTCATTTTTGACATGGCTAAATTGCTGTTCAAAAGAAATTGTAGTGATTCACACACACTCCATGTATGATAGTGCCCCCTTCATTCTCAGCGAAGCTGAATGTTATCAGTTGTTTTATCTCTACCAATTCTGTAAGCAAATAAAGATATTTTATTTTATGTATATTTGATTATTGGTGAAGTTGAGCATGTTTTTATTTATTGGCCAATTGTATTTTGTTTCCACTTGTATTTTTTAATGAATTGTCTGATCATTTCCTTTGCTCATTTATCTCTTAGGTTTTTGACATTTTCTTTGTCTGGCTACATCAATTTTAGTTCATTCTTTATCTGCACCATCAAATACAGTAACCACTAGCCACATGTGTCTACTTAAATTATTTAAAGTTAAATAAAATTTAAAATTCAATTCCTCTGTTACACTAGCCGTATTTCAAATGCCCAGTAGCTACCATATTGGACAGGGCAGATATAGAACATTTCTCTCATCACAGAAAATTTTACTAGACATGCTGCTTTAGATAAAATATAATCTGACATTATATCTTACTAGTAGAGATTAGTTATTTGGTGAGTTCTTTAGCTGTCTTTGGTATCTTTAATGAATTTAACAATTACTAAAGAAACAAAGTTTTTATGTTTAATCATGCATCATAGAGAAATCTGCAATTTGATAAATGGTTTTCTTCTTAATTTTATTCATAGCATTTATGCTATATAGCCAGTATATTACTTCTTATATAAAATTTTATACCAAAAAGACATATGAGGGTGGCCGGGCACGGTGGCTTATGCCTGTAATCCCAGCATTTTGGAAGGCCAAGGCAGGCGGATCACGAGGTCAGGAGATCGAGACCATCTGGCTAGCACGGTGAAACCCCGTCTCTACTAAAAAATACAAAAAATTAGCCGGGCGTGGTCGTGGGCACATGTAGTCCCAGCTACTCGGGAGGCTGAGGCAGGAGAATGGCTTGAACCCAGGAGGCGGAGCTTGCAGTGAGCAGAGATCACGCCACTGCACTCCAGCCTGGGCAACAGAGCGAGACTCCATCTCAAAAAAAAAAAGAAAAGGAAAAGGTCAAGATATATAAGGGATAGTAAAAATTTGGTCTTAAGCATGAAGTTGATCTAGGCTTTCACAGAACAAAATATAATTTTGTAATAGCTGGTTTTTTTTAAAAAAAGACCCAAGTGTTATTTTAAAATCATGAGACTTCCCTGAAAAGATAAAAGTAAACCATAACCTTTGGACTCATTTTAGAGTTAAATTCATTGTTCTTTCTTAAACACATGGTGTTAAGTTAGAATCTGATTTGTTAGTATTTGCCTTGTGATTGCAGGAACATGATGAAGCTTGTCTGGCTGGAGTGGCCCAGATGTCCATAAGAATGGGAGACATACGTCGAGGGGTTAACCAAGCCCTCAAGCATCCCAGCAGGGTCCTTAAAAGAGACTGTGGAGCCATATTGGAGAATATGAAGGTCCTCTTTTGTCTGCATCAATATTCATATGGTCTTTTGTACATAATAACTTAGTATTTTAATAATCCTGTCTTATTTTAGCAATTTTCAGAAGCAGCCCAGCTGTATGAAAAAGGTCTCTACTATGACAAAGCAGCATCTGTTTACATCCGCTCTAAGAATTGGTAAGAGCTGCCTGCGGTTTGTTTCTGAACAGGATTGGAAATGAATGTGCCTCTGGGGTCTCCCCACTTGCCTCCTTGCAATGCTTTCTCCCTGTCCATTCTGTTCCCCTATCTAGACCTGCCCTTCATCTCTTTTGTTCTCCTTAGATAAGTTCATATTAATAGTTCTTTTTCCAAAGAATAGCACATTCTCCTGGTTTGGTGTGGAGAAATCCTTAGTAGGAAAAAACAAAAACCCCCTTGTCCTAACAGAGTTAATGGACTAACCATTTTCCTACCCTTGGGGGTGGGAGTGGAGTGGGTGTTAGGAGAAACAGCAATTAAATCAGCTTTTACCCATAGGAGCCAAGATTTTCTTTTCTTTTTTTTTTTTCTTTTTTTTTTTTTCTTTGAGACAGAGTCTCACTCTGTTGCTCAGGCTGGAGCGCAGTGGCATGATCTCAGCTCACTGCAACCTCCACCTCCTGGGTTCTAGCAATTCTCTGCCTCAGCCTCCTGAGTAGCTGGGATTACAGACATGCCGCCACTATGCTTGGCTAATTTTTGTACTTTATTTTTCTAGTAGAGACAGGATTTCACCATGTTGTCCAGGCTGGTCTTGAACCCCTGAACTCAGGTGATCTGCCCGCCTCACCCTTCCAAAGTGCTGGGATTACAGGCTACTGCATCCTGCCAGGAACCAAGATTTTTGAAAGATAGTAATAACTGTTTTTTGCATCCTAAAACCTAACATTTGGTTATAGCAGGCTACTTTTGGAGTGAACATGGTACTCATATTGTTCTCCTGGACCTACTTTTCCAGGGCAAAAGTTGGTGATCTTCTGCCCCACGTTTCTTCTCCTAAGATCCATTTGCAGTATGCCAAAGCCAAGGAAGCAGATGGAAGGTTTGTACACTTTCTCAAATTTATACCGATTTAAAGTAATATAAGCTTTACAAATTAACCATTGATATTTGCAACCCTGTAAGAAAGGCAAAGTAGAGAAAGACAGAAAACACCTTTATTTAATCCTTTGTTGGCCTGAAGTGCCAGACTATTAAAATCCTCCTGTACCTCATATATCTCAGTGTTTCCTTTATATACTCAAATATAGATTAATATCTCTTTTTATTTGAGGGTTTTATAGTGGAAGTTGAAATTTTGATATAATATGGCATGAAAATAAAGTGATTGTTATTTTATTAAGGAGGATTATTATTGTATAAATCACAGATGCAGGGGGAAAAAAAAGTGAAGAAACATGAATTCCACACATACAGCTGCTTGCTGAAGCCACATAGGGCTGCTTGTTTAAGCTTGTTTAAGCTGCTTAACTATCCATTGCTATATTTTAACTGTATTTAAAAATTTATAACTCTATTGTAGTACAGTTAAAATATAGCAATGGATAGTTAATATCCTAAACATACAAAGATCTCCCACTACTTAATACAAGAAACTCAAAGACACTAATAGGAAAATGGGCTAAAGACAAGAACACAAGTGCCAGAGGAGGAAATACAATTATGAAATTGCATTTGATGTAAACATGAAAAGGTTCTACCTCACTAATAGTAATTAAATTAAGGCAACCTGCCATATTTGGAAATACTTATTTTAAACTAATAACCATGTTGTCAAAATATGCTTATATGTACACAACCAATAGAAATGTAACTTTTGGGCTGGGCATGGTGGCTTACACCTGGAATCCCTGCACTTTGGGAGGCCAAGGCAGGAGGATCACTTGAGGCCAGGAGTTTGAGGACAGCCTGGGCAACAGAGAGAGAGCCCATCTCTACAACAAGTTTAAAAATAAAAAAAAAAAAATTTTAAAGAAGTGTAACTTTCTATAGCCTCTGGAAATTAACTTGGAAATATCTACTAAGAAACTTTTAAAGGAGATTTAATACCCTGCACTTTTAGAAAAGTAGCTTTAGGAAATAGAGATATACACCGAATGTCTTGTTGAAATGGAGGGAGCTGAGAGCCGGTCAGGAACTGAAGAGGGGTCCTGAGCTCTATCTGGAGGTCAACACAAAGGTACGAGCTTTGTGACTGAGGATATGTAAAGGTTTTATATATCACCATGAAGCTGTATCTATAATTGTGAAAAAAAATCTACACTTTCTATGTTTTCTATATTACTATTATAATCTTCCTACTTAAAAGGAAAAAAAAAAGCAGTAAAATGTAAAAAAATATATGGCTTTGATTCAGATGGGAAAATACAATTTAATATTGATATTTTACTGCTCATTTATCAAATTCCTAAAAAGAACATTTTAGTGGGATGGTTCCTGGTATTTTTCTGTTAAAGGAAAAAGAAGTTCAGGAAAAATAAGCAGTCACCATCAATAACATGAAAAAGTGTCCTAAACACTTATCAACATTTTCTCCCCAGATTGACAGTGTTAAAAAAAGTTTATCTGAGCTATGTTTTTACAGATACAAAGAAGCTGTTGTGGCTTATGAGAATGCAAAACAATGGCAAAGTGTAATCCGCATCTATCTGGATCACCTCAATAATCCTGAAAAAGCTGTCAGTATTGTTAGAGAGACCCAGTCTCCGGATGGAGCCAAAATGGTAGCCAGGTAACATAATACATTAATATTTTTGGACTTTCAAAAACTAACCATAAAAGTAAGCCTCCACCTTCTATCATCAAATATATTAATTCAAAAGGAATATTTAGTCTTTATTTTTTTTATCAGGTCTAAGTATTTAAATTCAAAGGCTGTTGTGGTCAGCAGACAAGAGTATGTCTTTCAAGTGTAAGCATATAATATAGAACTGCATGCTGGGTGTGGTGGCTCACACTTGTAATCCCAGCACTTTGGGAGACCAAGATGGATGGATCACCTGAGATCAGGAGTTCAAGACCAGCCTGGCCAACATGGTGAACCCCATCTCTACTGAAAATACAAAAAATTAGCTGGGTGTCGTGGTGCATGCCTGTAGTTCCAGCTACTTGGGAGGCTGAGGCAGGAAAATCGCTTGAACCCAGGAGGCGGAGGCTGCAGTGAGCCGAGATTGCGCCACTGCACTCCAGCCTGGGTGACAGAGTGAGACTCCATTTCAAAAAAAAAAGAACTGCAATTTATCTAATAAATTTTGATTTTTAAATGGTTTCCCCTGGTTGAAAAATTTTATAAATCACAAACTCATATAAGAGTCTAGCTAATTAAAGAAAGTACTTTGCTTCAGGTTTTTTCTACAGCTTGGTGACTATGGGTCTGCCATCCAGTTTCTTGTCATGTCCAAATGTAACAATGAAGCTTTCACACTGGCTCAGCAACACAACAAAATGGAAATCTATGCAGATATTATTGGTAAATATCATTTTTTCCCTAGTTCTCTTCAAGATGTTTATCATAAAAACACTTTGTCGCTTATGATCTAATTATCAGATTGGTATACATACAAGAATGCACTTGGTGTAAATGTTTATCATTTATACATAGACACACATGTATCTATGTTATGTGTTGGATTTGAAGATCCCTGCTACTTCAAGGTGAGATGGTATTGTTAAAAAGGACTATTTTAAAAAATTAAGGGTCTTTCTGTGTGAATTCCAAGAGAGGCTAGATTTCCCAAATCCTGCTATTTATCAGCCAGTAGTAAATCAAAGATTTCAAAATGAAGGTGATAGAAAATGCAGGATGATTTTTGAAAATGTAAATATTTTCATTTAAAAATCGAGTTACAAATGATGAAGAGTGATATACCCAAGATGTGTTTTTCAAAGATTTGGACAGTCCAAAGGAGAATTTGATATTCTGGGAATGCCTGCTTAGAGGTTTTCTTCTCATGTTTGCAATTATTTTTAGAAACTACTGAAATAATTTTCAAATTTTCATTTCATGGACCATACGTAATGTTGTTTGTGTTTTGTTTTGTTTTATTGTGCTAAAATATATATAACATAAAATTTCCATTTAAAAGTGTACAATTTAGTACATTCATTCACGTTGTTATGTGGCCATCACCACTGTCCATCTCTAAAACTTTTTCATCATCCCAGACTTTCTCTGTACCCATTAAATAATAATTCCCCATTGCCCTCTTTTCCCTAGACCCTGGTAAGCACGATTTTACTTTCTGTATCTATGAATTTGACTATTCATGGTACCTCATATAAGTGGAATCATAAAATATTTGTTCTTTTGTGTTATTTTGTTTTTTATAATTCACAAAATGACCATAAGAATTGATGTTAGGATTCACAAGAAAATATTTATTTCAGTCTTCAAGGAAACAAATTAGGTAAAAGCTTCTTGGGATGCTTTGGCTTCCCAAATGACTTCTTGTGAAGTCATTAAGATAATTAGAGAAAATAGAGTTAAAAAAAAAAAAAAGGAAGTACAGATAGGCAACTTTAGAATTGCCAATGCTTAACTTGACAGATGACATTTCTGTCCTAATGTTACCACCACCATTTCACTAAAGCAATTTTTCTAAGTTTATAAGAACATGATTTGTCGTATATCAGGTGTGTATATTAAGGGTGTGTGTGTGTGCCTCCTCCCACCTTCAAAACACACACATACTTTTGCCCACTTTGCTTTATGCCTTTCTCTTATAAACCCCCTTTTCCCCCAGCTGGAGGCACAGGGTGGTTGTTATACTTTAGTATTCTATTGGGCCCCAACTCCCATAGGTAAATGTAAACAATGAATTGGAATTCCAGCAGCTTTGGGGGTCCTTCTTCCTCTATGCTTAATGTATTTAAGCCCCAAGCCAAAGGAAAAACAGTCATATCTTTAACCAGCATCTACTGGCTACTCGAATGTCATCTTCCCTACTTGTCTGACAAATATACAGACTATTGTTTAAACCAGGCATTGCTGAGAGGGATGGATTCCATTTGTATTGCTAACAAAAACCTTATAATTTCCTCTCCTGGATCATATTTAGAGTTAAAAAAAAAGATGGAACAGAGTCAATATTTGGGGTAATTGTGATAGGTATGTTTTGTGACGAAAACAGACATTAATAATTACATTGATGTTTGCTGTTAGGAGTTTTTAATCACCTATTTTTAGATCACTCATTCTTAGATTTTATTTTCAGGTTAGCAATAAAGGGTAAACAAATTTTGCTCAGATATTTTACTCAGTAAACTTCTGTTATAGGTTCTGAAGACACTACTAATGAAGACTATCAAAGCATTGCCTTATACTTTGAAGGAGAGAAGAGATATCTTCAGGCTGGAAAATTCTTCTTGCTGTGTGGCCAATATTCACGAGTTAGTATTTACCAAGAAAATATACACTGACTACGCAGGAATAATTGTAGGAAATATATGTAAATGCCAGTAACTCCCACTCAGATTTGAAATCTCAGAGCTAACTCTGAAATCTTCCTCTCCCTCCCACACCCAGTCACAGCCTTCCTTTGTAATACCTCTCACATCTGTCACTTTCATTCTAACTACCATCAACTCAGTCCAGGCCCACATGACCTTGCTTCTGATTATTGCAGTAGTTTCTTATTTTTCCTGTTTTTAGTTTATCCACCTTTAGAGTTTGTCATCCTTCACTTTGTTCCCCAAATAATAGTTGCTTTCATTGTTACAGAGTCCCTTGGCCTAAGGCAGGGGTTACAGTGTCCAAAGAAGGGACATGATAAGTGAAGCTATGGGGTAATGCTGTGCATTGTTCATGTGACAGGGTAGGGACTACTGAACGGCACATATCTTAAGAAGCCAGCTGTTGCTCACCTCCATAGAATTGTTGTTTTTTAGGAATCCAGGCCCTGTAGTGCCAGATCATATGATTTTTTCAAGAGAAACGGAAGCTTGGGGCTGCCAGTTTTGAAATATGTGCCCCAATATTTATAGAATACCTCACTGGCCAAAAAAAACATGTCTGTGTGTGAATTCAGCCTACAGACCACCACCAATTTGTTGTTGCTGGCTCTTAGATAAAGTCCAAACTCCTTTGCTGGCACTTAAGAGAATTTCCATAGTTTGACCAACCAGCCAGAACTCCCTAATCTGGCACCCAGCTGTTTCCATAGAAGAGTCCCACACTCCTCTGACAGCCAGGACTTCATCCATCCTGTTCTCCATGTGGGTGCCTCTCTGCTCCCTACGCCACCTACCACAAACCTATTCGTCCTTCAAGTGACACCTTCAGGATCATCTCCATGCCAAACCATCTTTTCTTCCTCAGAGCACCTATAAAAGAAAGAAAAAAAAAACACTGACAATCCAGTCCATTTGTCTTTTTATAGTTGTAAATTTCTTCCTAAGTGTGGTGTTATGCTGTGCAGGAATTAGACAATTATGACTTAAAATATTTGGTCTCTTATATTATCATCGTATCACACAGATCTTCCTGGTAAGATTGTACATAACACAGAAAAGAGGGGCCGTGCCATACCATTCCTGGTATTCTCCACAGGATCTAGCGAAGTCCCACATTCATAGTAGCAGGTTGTCAGTAACTATTTGTTGAAAGAATAAATGAATGAAAATAATTAAATCTTCCTACTGAAAAGGGCACATTTTGCCTTTTCATTTCATCAGGACTAGATTCTTCAGAGGGTTAACTGGGTCCTTCCATTTTTTAAACTATACCCAGCTTTTAAGGATATATTTAAGATCCAACACTGTGCGAGCCCCTGGTTGAGATGAAGATACTTTCACAGACTGTAATTACTTTGTGTAAAAGCTGTGTGAAAGCTTTGTTTTCCCTAATGTGAAAATATTCTGAAAATGTTTAATTGCTATAATTCTCTTTTCAGGCACTTAAACACTTCCTGAAATGCCCAAGCTCAGAAGACAATGTGGCAATAGAAATGGCAATTGAAACTGTAAGTACACTTTGACTGAAACTTTCAAGAATGCCAATTTTTAAAAAAACTTCTTGAAGAAAATTTTAAATATATGCAGAAGTAGACCAAACAGTATAACAAACCCCTACATACCCATCATGTAGCTTCAACAGCTGTCAGTGCATAGACAGCCTCATTGTATTCATACCCTCACCCTCTTTCCTGGGTGTTTTTTTTTTTTAAGTAAATTGCAGTCACCGTATCATTTCACTTGTGAATACAATATCACTGTCTAAAAGATAAGAAACTTTGGATTTTCTTTTAGGTGTAACTTGAGTACAGTAAAGTTCACAAATCCTAAGTGTACAACTGGATTAGTTTTTTCCTCTGTGCATACCTGTGTAACCCCCACCCAGATCAAGATATAGAACATTTCCAGCTACCGAAAGTCTCCCTCATGTCATCCCCCAGTCAATATCCCCCACCAAAGGTAACCACAATCACGCATGTGTACGCTTGTGTCCAGTTTCAGTCAGCATTATGTATGCAAATGTGTCCATTTATGTTACAGCACATAGCAATAGGTCATTCTTTTTTTTTTTTTTTTTTTTGAGACAGAGTTTCGCTCTTTTGCCCAGGCAAGAGAGCTGTGGCGTGATCTCGGCTCACTGCAACGTCCAACTTCCAGTTTCAAGCGATTCTCCTGTCTCAGCCGCCCGAGTAGCTGGGATTACAGGTGCCTGCCACCATGCCCAGCTAGTTTTTGTATTTTTAGTAGAGATGGGGTTTCACCATGTTGGCCAGGCTGGTCTCGAACTCCTGACCTCGTGATCTGCCCACCTCAGCCTCCCAAAGTGCTGGGATTACAGGCATGAGCCACTGCGTCCAGCTCAGCAATAGGTCATTCTTCATTGCTGTGTAGTATTCTACTATATGACTGTACCACAGTTTATTTACCCCTTACTCTGTTAATGGACTTTTGAGTTGTCTCCAGTTTGGCCATATTATGAATAAAGCTGCCATAAAGCTGTTCATGTCTTTTGGTGAACAAAAGCCCTCAGTTTTACTGGGTATATATCCAGGAGTAGAATCATTAGGTCATAGTATTCTAAATACAGGTCTTTTTGTCAGATATATGTTGCAAAAATCTTCAAAGGCATGGCTTGCCTTTCTGTTCTCTTGATGAGCAGAAATTCTTAACTTTTAATAAAGTTCAACTCATGAGTCTTTTATAGTTAGTGCTTTTTGGTCCAATTAAGAAATTTTAAGCTGGGTGCAGTGGATCACTTGAGGTCAGGAGTTCAAGACCAGCCTGGCCAACATAGTGAAACCCCATCTCTACTAAAAATACAAAAATTAGCTGGGCATAGTGGCGGGCACCTGTAATCCCAGCTACTTTGGAGGCTGAAGCAGGAGAATCACTTGAACCTGGGAGGCAGAGATTGTAGTGGGCCGAGACTGTGCCATTGCCCTCCAGCCTGGGCAACAAGAACGAAACTTCATCTCAAAAAAAAAAAAAAGAAAAGAAATCTCTGCCTATCCCATGGTCATGAAAATATTTCCCTTATGTTTTCTTCTAGTAGTTTGTTCTATCTGTCTCATTTAGGCTTATGCCCATCCCGAATTAATTAGGTATATGGTATAAGGTAGGGGTCAAGGATATTTCTTTTCAATGTGGATATCCTGTTGACCCAGCACCATTTATCAAAATACCATCTTTTCCACCACTGAATTGCCACAGAGCATTTGTCATAAATGAAATGACATGAAATTACCATGTAGTGTGAATCTGGTTTGGGATCTTCTAGTCTTTTCCTTTAGTCTGTCCTTGTACCAATACTCCATTGTCCTGATTACTGTATGTATTGTATATTATAATCTTTCTATTTCTGTGGATTTGCCTATTCTAGACATTTCATATAAATGGAACCATATAATATGTGGCCTTTTGTGCCTGCTTCTCTCATTTAGCACCATGTTTTCAAGGCTCTTCCATGTTGTAGCACGTGACAAGAATTCATGCCTTCTTATGGCTGAATAATATTCCATGGTATGAATATACCACACATTGTTTATTCATCAGTTATTGGGCATTTGTTGCTTCTTCTTTTTGGCTATTATGAGTAATACTGCTATTAACATTTGTGTGCAAGTTTTCATGTGGACATGTGTTTTCATTTCTCTTAAGTGTATTACTCTTAAATGTATTAGGAGTGGAATTGCTAGGCCATATGTAAACCCTATGTTTAACATTTTGAGAAACCATCCAACTGTTTCCCAAAGCGGCTGACCGCTTATATTCCAACAGGCACTGTGTGAGGGTTCCAGTTTTTCTAATAGCAATTCCTTGATATTGTCAACTATCTAGTTAGGGTTCGAATTTCTTCAACTCTTGCATAAATGCTTTCATACAGTTGGGTTAGTTCACCTCAGTATCAAGACAAGGCTCATGTATTACATTTAGTTTATATGGGCCTTAAGTCTCTTTTAATCTCCCTTCCCCTCCCTTCCCTCCTTTTCTCTCTCTCTCTCTTCAACTCTATCTATATCTCCTAAACACCGCCCGCACACGCATACTTGCTATTTATTTGTTAAGAAAATGGGTCATTTATCCTGAGGAATTTCTGATATTTTGATTTAGCTAATTACATCCTTGTGGTATAATTACCCTGTATTTCCCACTCACTAGTAGTTAAATCTAGATACTTGATCAGATATAGATGACATTTCTGTAAAAGCAACTTCATAGATGGTACCGTGTACTTCCTATTATCATCACAGCAGTAGGGCCATATCTTTTTTTTTTTTTTCTGTTTTGTTTTGTTTTTTTTTTTTTTTTGAGACAGAGTCTCACTTTGTCACCCAAGCTGGAGTTCAGTGGTGCAATCTTAGCTCACCGCAACCTCTGCCTCCTGGGTTCAAGTGATTCTCCTGCCTCAGCCTCCCCAATAGCTGAGATTACAGATGTGTGCTACCATACCCAACTAATTTTTTTGTATTTTTAGTAGAGACAGTGTTTCACCATGTTGGGCAGGCTGGTCTCAAAATCCTAACCTCAAATGCTCTGCCCACCTTGGCCTCCCAAAGTGCTGGGATTAAAGGCATGAGCCACCACACCCAGCCTAGTAGGGCCATATCTTAAATCATACTTGGGCTGCCATAACAAAATACCATAGTCTGGGTGACTTCGGGAGTTTGAGAAGTCAAGATCAAGGTGCTGGTAATTTGGTTCCTGATGAGGGCTCTCTTCCTGACTTGCAGACAGCAGCCTTCTCACTGTGTCCTCACGTGGCCTTTCCTATACATGTATGCAAGGAGAGAGATTTCTCTCCCTTCCTCTTAAGGCTACAATCTAATCTTAATTACCTCCCAGAGGCTCCATTACCAAATACCATTACATAAAGGTTGGGGCTTTAACAGATGAATTTGGGGTATGTGGGGGACACAAACACTCAGTTCATAGTAGCCCATATTTTTGTGGTCTTTTGTTGTTGTTGTTGTTGCCCTGGCTGGAGTGCAGTGGCATGATCTTGGTTCACTGCAAACCCCACCTCCTGGGTTCAAGTGATTCTCCTGCCTCAACCTCCTGAGTAGTTGGGACTACAGGTGCCCACCCAGCTCCTATGGTTAAAAAAATGAACCACACCGGGCTATTTTTTTTTTTTTCTATTTTTTAGTAGAGACGGATGTTATACCATGTTGGCCAGGCTGTTCTCAAACTCCTGACCTCCAGTGATCCATGCACCTTGGCCTCCGAAAGTGTTGGGATTACAGGGGAGAGCCACCGCACCCAGCCTGGTCTCTCTTTTTGTGGTGTTAAGATTGATTATTGGGTGTAGGTGTGGTCAACCTGATCAATCTGTGATAAGCTTTCCCATCAACTTGTCACCTAATGATTTCAGCAACCATTGATGATTATTACTTAGATCGGGGTATCCAATCTTTTGACTTCCCTGGGCCACATTGGAAGAAGAAGAAGACTTGCCTTTAATTAATAAGTCCAGAAGGACTCTGATTTGGGTAGTTCAAGTGTCCATTGCAAGATTAATCAACTGGTGGCCACAGGGATGGAATATCATGCCTGGGCAAATTGGGTCAAATTCCCACCACTAGACAAAGTTCAGTAGCCATGGAGATGGGGTCTCTTAAGACATGGAATTTCCACTGAAACTCCATGGTTGAAGTGAAGCAGAAGCATCTCTCAGAAGAGTTGAAGGAATGAGTATTAGACAAAATTACGGATGTCCCTTGCAGCTGTCAAATTTCTCTCCTTTCATTAGTATTCTGTAATCCCACAATACTTCCTCAATGTTGTATTTCTAATGGATTTTGTTAAATTTTATTAAGGTCAAGGACATGTAGTCAGTAAAACCAACATATTTGTACTTATTGCTGGGATTACTTCATTCAGACAAGTCCATTCTGAATTTTACTACTGGATTTTTTTTCAGGTGCAGCTGCAAATCATTTTATTCTTAAGCTGCAAAACCTCTCGTGATTCCCCATTGCCTCCACAATTTATTCCCAAATTATCCTTCATGGATCATAAAATCTTAGAAATACCTGGAAGTGAACCAGTCTAACCTCCTTCATTTTACTGATGGGGAAACCGAGGTACCAGAAGATGATATGACTAACCTACAGACACCCAAATAGAAAGTAATCGATATGGGACTAAAACCAACGCTTTCTTTCCTTCCCACTTACCTCTTACACTCCTCTAGGTCAGCAGCCTGTGCTACAACTAAATTGGCCACTTTTTTTTTTTTTACCCCCTTTTGAGACAGGGTCTCTGTCTGTTGCCCAGGTGGCATGATCACAGCTCACTGCAGCCTCGACCTCCTGGGTTCAAGCAATTCTCCCACCTTAGCCACCCAAGTAGCTGGGACTACAGACATGCCACCACACCTGGCTAATTTTATATTTTTTGTAGAGATGGGTTTTTGCTGTGTTGTCCTGGCTGGTCTTGAACTCCCAGGCTCAAGTGATCCTCCCACCTTGGCCTCCCAAAGTGCTGTGATTACATGTGTGAGCACAGTGGCCAGCCTTAAACTGCCCTCTTTTATTTGAATAGTTCAGGGTTCCCCCTCCTTCGTTCCTTCACTCTTGCGCCTTACACCTAAAACACCCCTACCCCTGCACCTCTGCCTCTCATACTCCTACCCAATAAGCCTTTCCTAAACTGTCCTCGAGATGACATTTCACCCTCCCTAGAATGGTCTAAGTACTTTGAACGTCACTTACCGCTATAGTAACTCCCTTCAGATTTACAAGTTCCTCAAGGTCCAGAACCCATCTCTTCATAGAGTGTTCAGCACGTGGCAGTCACTCAATTAATATTTGTTGAATCGAGCACATGTTGGTCCCTAGCTCAGTGAAAACAGGTGATAACAAGTTTCCTTCCCAGTCTTCCATTTCTTTCTTTCTTTCTTTCTCGGGGACCTTCCCCTGGGAGAAAAAAAAAATCACTTTTACTCATGACTTGCATTTTCTCACAATGTGCGCGCTCTTTCACCTGCTGATTCGCAGCCAGAAGCCACACCCCTGAGTTATCGGGTTCACTGTCAAAATGCTTGTGCTTCACCCACCCCCACCCATCCCCATCCTCGACACCTCAAGGCTTTGAAACACCTCCTTGGTTTATGGAGGGGGAAGGGAAGTATGAGACCCCTCACTGGGAGATGATGGGGAAGGTGGGGCTCACTGGTGTCCCTCAGGTGAGTTGGGAGAGTTCTCCTTACCTCCTTGCACTCAGCTTCTGCCTTCCCCACTCCATGAACTTGCTTGAAAAGGTCCCCACAGATCTCTCACTTGCTAAATATAGAAGTCTCGTGTCAGTCTTCACCCTACTCCATGTTACAGTAACATTTTACCCTATTATACTACATCTTTCTGGACGTTTTTCCCCTCAGAACACTGCATCTTCTGTTCTCCACTTCCTTCTCAGATGGTCCCTTCTCAGCCTCCTTCCCTGGCCCCTCTGCCCCTTCAATGCAAGCGCCCCTCAGCATTCCATCCACACCCTGCCATGAGTTGCCTTTGCCTGGCCGCATCTATTCCCTGCTGGCTCTCCTGTCTGCCTGTCTGTCCTGACACTTCGAGTATGCTCCACTCTCCCTGGGGACAGCTGCCATTATTGCTGGTGACAAAAACAATAGGGACAGCCGGGCATGGTGGCTCACAGCTGTAATCCCAGCACTTTGGGAGGGCGAGTAGGGCGGATCACCTGAGGTGGGGAGTTCGAGACCAGCCTGACCAATGTGGAGAAACCCCATCTCTACTAAAAATATAAAATTAGCCGGGAGTAGTGGCATATGCCTGTAATCCCAGCTACTCAGGAGGCTGAGCAGGAGAATCACTTGAACCTGGGATGCGGAGGTTGTGGTGAGCAGAGATCACGCCATTGCACTCCAGCCTAGGCAACAAGAATGAAACTCCCGTCTAAAAAAAAAAAAAAAAATAGGGACACCTATCGAGTGCTGACCCTGCCAGTGGGGTGGCCACATTTTGCATACGTAATAGTGAAAATTACTCAGTGCTTCTCTGAAATTTAACATTAACTGGGAATGCTGTATTTTTGTTGTCTGTATTTGACAATCCTGTCTACTTGGCACCTGTTCAAGCCGCGTACGTGTATTGACTTATTTAATCCTCACAGCAGTTCTGTGAGTTAGGTGCTATTACTGCCCACGTTGAGGCCCCAAGAGTAACCTGCCCAAGATCACACAGGTCTCAAGTAGTGTCACTCAATTGACCCCCAGCAGGCTGGCTCCAGAGCCTTTGCTTTAACCATTTCTCTTTCCTGGCTTATTCACCCAAAGCCATCCACAGAAGCCATCAAGAGAACAAGCTCTATCATTTATGTCCCAACATCCCTGTTTTACCGAAGTGGCAAGAGCAGAGGTGACACAGATTGGTGAAAGCCTAGCTTTTGCCCTGACGGTGACCACAGGCAGGGCAGTGTGCAGAAATCCTGCAGCCTGAGAGCCTCTGCACCTGCAGGTTCAGGGCCATCTCTCTCTTACTCAAGTCTGCTGATTGCACCCTTCCTGTACCGGACAGATAACTTGCAGACTTGTCCTCATACCTCCCCTGAGGTGTAGCAAGCAAGGCCATGTGTTGCTGAGTCCCTAGTGATCATTTCCTCCATTGTCTGGTGGTTTTCTCATGGTAATGTCATTACCATGACAAGACTGTTCAGTGTTCCTTCCCCTAAGTTGAGCTCCAGGTGTGTTTTTGGCTCACTCCTTTTTAATAGACACAGAAGTCTGAAGCCTCCTAATTTTGTCAGTAATTCCCTAGTGCTCCCCCTAAATTCCTGACCTCACACATTCTGTTCCTATTAAACTCATACATGCCCATCCTACAATGTGGTACATAATTTTTCCGGTTCAACACCACCCAATACTTCAATGATTTAACTCACCTTTATGGAGATGAATTTTTTTTCTTCTTTTTTTTTTTGAGACAAAGTCTCACGCCATCACCCAGGCTGGAGTGCAAGGGCACGATCTCGGCTCACTGCAACCTTCGCCTCCCAGGCTCAAGCCGATTCTCATGCCTCAGCCTCCCAAGTAGCTGAGATTACAAGCATGCACTACCACACCCAGCTAATTTTTGTATTTTTAGGAGAGACAGGGTCTCATCATGTTGGCCAGACTGGTCTTGAACTCCTGGCCTCAAGTGATCCACCCGCCTCAGCCTCCCACAGTGCTGGGATTATAGGCGTGAGCCACCGTGCCGGGCCTGGAGATGACTTTTAAGTAAAGATTTCTAAGCCAGCCTTCTCTCCAGAGCCGCACCCACATTTCAGCTGCTTGCCTTTATCCAGGCTTCTCTGGCTGGGACCCTCACTTCTTTACACTTTTGATGACGTGTAGTTGTGCTCAAGACCTTTTCCTCAGGGAGCCGCTGCAGAGGAGGGCACCTGGAATGATATCGTTGTGTCAGCGCTTGTGCTTAAGATGCTGTCCTCAAGGTGTCATAGTCATTTATCTTAAAGTTTTTATTAAAACATCCAAGGGCCGAGCACGGTGGCTCACGCCTGTAATCTCAGCACTTTGGGAGGCTGAGGTGAGCAGATCATGAGGTCAGGAGATCAAGACCATCCTGGCCAACATGGTGAAACCCCCGTCTCTGCTAAAAATACAAAAATTAGCTGGGTGTGGTGGCGCATGCTTGTAGTCCCAGCTACACAAGAGGCTGAGGCAGGAGAATTGCTTGAACCCAAGAGGAGGAGATCGCAGTGAGCCGAGATCGTGCCACTGCACTCCAGCCTGGCAACAGAGCGAGACTCCATCTCAAAAAATAGTAATAACAAATAAATAAATAAATAAATAATAAATAAATAAATAAATCCAAGAAGTACATTCTCTGTGCATGTGAAAGAAAATATGGTATTTTGATACAGCAGCTAAGAAAAGCTATAGCGTCTAAGGATAGATTTTTATTAATGGAGAATCTAGCAACAAATGAAGAAAGGCCCTGATCCTATGTCATATTTCAGGCACTTTACTATAGATACTATTAATGTTTTTTATTCCATCTCCCTAAGCAGAAGATTGTCTTTTTCTCCAGTGTTGCTCGATTTAAGATGGTGAATTTGCTGGGTCTTCCTCTCTTATTAAACAGGTTGGTCAGGCCAAAGATGAACTGCTGACCAATCAGCTGATAGACCACCTCTTGGGGGAAAACGATGGCATGCCTAAGGTACTGAACACGTGGGATTCGTGTGCGTCCTCAGATCCCAGTTACAGTTTGATTCTGCCTGTTTTTACCCATCATGCTTTTACAACATAGACGTGAAAAACTTTCTCCCTGCCAGTAGTGTAGATAATCTAGACCAGGAGTGTCCAATCTTTTTGCTTCCCTGGGTCACATTGGAAGAAGAAGAATTGTCTTGGGCCACACATAAAATACACTAACAATAGCTGATGAACTAAAAAAAAAAAAAAAAATCACAAAAAAAAGTCGTACTGTTTTTAAAAAGTTTACAAATTTGTGTTGGACTGCATTCAAAGCTGTCCAGGGCCACATGTGGCCTGCAGGCCATGGCTAGAGCAAGCTTGATCTAGACAGACCCTGCGTTTTGGAGGATAATGTATATTTACTCTTTAAAATTGGCTTTGTCACCTGTGAGATAGCCATGCCCCTCTAGATAACAATCCTCACCACATGCAATTTTTCTCAAATGTTATAATTTTGTTTACTAGAATAAACTATGAAAAAAGATCACTGACATTGAAACGATGACCTAGCACTCATCTCTAAAACTCAGAGTGTGCTTTGTTTACATTCCCAAAATTATGGAAATTAACAAAAATCAGATTAAGCATAAAGGTAGTTCTCTATAACATAAAATAGAAATAAATTGGCCAGGTGCGGTGGCTCATGCCTGTAATCCCAGCACTTTGGGAGGCAAAGGCGGGTGGATCACTTGAGGTCAGGAGTTGGAGACTAGCCTGGCCAACATGGCGAAACCCCGTCTCTACAAAAAATACAAAAATTAGCCAGGCGTGGTGGCGCACGCCTGTAGTCCTAGCTACTCAGGAGGCTGAGGCAAGAGAATTGCTTGAACCCAGGAGGCAGAGGTTGCAGTGAACTGAGAGATTGTGCCACTGCACTCCAGCCTGGGCAACAGAGTGAGACTCCATCTCAAAAAGAAAAAGTAAGAAAGAAATCATTACAAGCATATTTTCAAAATATGTGACTCACTGTGGCTTCCTACAGAATGTCCATCTTATCCCAGTCCTGGTGAGGAGAGACTCACATACCTTTGAGAATGCCCCAGAACTCCTTCTTCCCCTTTGCTTTATGTTCAAGGACATTTGCTGGTGAAGAACTCAAGTCACTGATTGGAAGCAAGGGCAATAGCATGTCACCGCTGGAGAGGACTGTAGTGGTCCCTGAGTCCATTTTCTGCATCTTACAGATAAAGCCACAGAGACCCAGAGCAGCTCAGTTAACTCATCAAAGGATACAGGCCCTTCAGCTGCTTCAGCCACCTCCCGTGGTGTCCACTTACTCTAATAATCTGAAAACCAGCATCAGATGCTCGCAGCTGTCTAAAGTTGGAATAGGAATGGAAAATGGCCAAAGGCCAAAGAAAATTTTATAGGTCAGAGAAAATTGATATGCATATAAAAATTATTGAAAGTTTGCAAAATTCATGTGTCACGTAAGAATATCGTTTGTTTCCAAGCACATGAGAAATGGTCTGTGGACTAGGGTCAGGAATACAGACTCAGATTCTGTGGTTCAAATCCTGGCTGGCCCCCTCCTGTTGTTTCAGCTTCTCATTGGTGAAATCAGGGTAACAATAGTGCCTTCTTCTCAGGGTGGGTATGAGGATTTAAATGCATTAGTATTTCTCAAGTACTTAGAATACCACCTGGCCATATTGAGCTCTGAATAAATGTTTAATAAATAGACTAATTCTTTATTCATTGAGTTTTTTAAAGCAGTATCAATTCTCAGTTACTGGCAGATGAATGTGATTCTAACTGAAATACAAAATTTAATCTCCCCTTAGCTAACGAAGAAACTAATGTTTCTATAATGGTTTATATGTCAGGATGCCAAGTACCTGTTCCGCTTGTACATGGCTCTGAAGCAATACCGAGAAGCTGCCCAGACTGCCATCATCATTGCCAGAGAAGAGCAGTCTGCAGGTGGGTCCATGATACATACGTGTTACTCCCCAAACAGGCAGCAGAATCAAGCCCCAGCCCCTTTTCTGTGTAGGAAAGAGTAGCCCCTACATTCCTAACATGGGCTTGCTTTGAACCCAAAAGACTAAAGAGATGACCATTTCTAGGTTTCAGAGGGGTTAAACAACGTACTGTCCCAGGAGACTGTATAAATGTAAGAGACTAAGACCGTCTCTTATCAAGTGCTATTTCCTCTCCTCCCCCACAGCCTCAGAGTTTCTGCCTCATGAATGATGTCTCCTGTCACCCCTCCAGCCCACAACCCCCTTCCTACAGACTCATGGCATTTTCTTCCATTCCCTGTGTTTGGCCTTAACAATATGAGACATTAGGCAATGGAGGGTAATGATGCGGTGCTGTTATGGACCTAGTTCTTTTTTTTTTTTTTTTTTTTTTTTTGAGACGGAGTCTCGCTCTGTCACCCGGGCTAGAGTGCAGTGGCGCGATCTCAGCTCACTGCAAGCTCCACCTCCCGGGTTCACGCCATTCTCCTGCCTCAGCCTCCCGAGTAGCTGGGACTACAGGCGCCCGCCACCACGCCCGGCTAATTTTTTTTTATATTTTTTAGTAGAGACAGGGTTTCACCATGTTAGCCAGGATGGTCTCGATCTCCTGACCTCGTGATCCACCTGTCTCGGCCTCCCAAAGTGCTGGGATTACAGGCTTGAGCCACCGCGCCCAGCAGACCTAGTTCTTGATAATATGCAGAGACTGTTGATAGACTCTTCAGGATGGTCCTGCTCACATGTGCTGTCTGTACTTATTGAGTGACAGAATTAGTCTGATATCTTCATTAATTTTTGTGAGCTGATCTTAAATCTTTATAGATGTGGACACAGTTTTGGAAAATATGCAGTCAAATAAATCATTACTTTTTTCAGCTTACATTGATCTAACAACACCTTCTTCCTGTCAGATGCGTACTAGAAGCTCAGGATACAGAGAGAACTGAGCCACAGTTCAGCCCTCAAGGTCATAATTTGATGGGAGAGACAGAAAGTAAATTCAGAGTTGTTGGACAGGGTGACAAGTGCCAGACTAGAAAGAGAAATAGGCTGAAAAGGCACAATTAAAATAAGAGCGACTGCTGGGTTACCCACAGCATCCTGAAGGTTGGAGTAGGGAGAGTTGGAGGATGGAGACGAGAGAAGGCAATGAAAGCTTTGGCTGAGTTTTAAAAGGATGGGGGAGCAGGAGACAGGGGGAGTGGGAGGTGCTGGGAGCCAAAGTGCTGGGATGTGGGGAAATGGGGGTGTGGGGAAGTGCTGGGATGAGGAAAACTGCTGGCAAGGCTGGAGAAGGAAGGGAGGGAAAATCAGGCCAGAAAGGAGCGCGGAGGCCAATCCTGAAGGGCACGAGTCCTCTGCTCAGGAATTTGCACTTACAGGCGTGAGTGGCGCCATTGGAGGGTTTTATGCAGGGGTGTGACCTTGAGGTGTCTGAGTGTGGATGAAGGCTTGAGGGTTTTCAAAGCATACTCTGACATCAGATGTGGGCCCAGAGCAATCCTGATGAGCACTACTGCAGAAGGAGATGGTGAGAAGCTTTCACAGTGGGCATGGGAAGGGAGGCTGGAATTGGGAGACTGAGAGACTCAGAACTCCATGGCCTGGTGGACTTCAGGGCCAGGGGGGTGCCCTGAGGAAGAGTAAGACATCAAGGAGGACACCACCATTTTTCACCAGAGGGACTGGCTAGGTGTTCATAACATCAATTAAAATAGGAACTATGGCTGGGTGCATTGGCTCACGCCTGTAATCCCACCACTTTGGGAGGCTGAGGAGGGTGGATTTCTTGAGCCTGGGAGTTTGAGACCAGCCTGGGCAGCATGGTGAAAACCTTGTCTCTACAAAAAACACAACAATTAGCCAGGCATGGGAGGATCACGTCAGCTCAGGAGGCAGAGGTTGCAGTGAACAGAGATTGTGCCCCTGCACTCCAGCCTTGGTGACAGAGCGAGACACTGTCTCTGATAGACAGACAGACAGACAGACAGACAGATAGATAGGAAATCTGCTGAGTTGCTTTGAATAAGACATTATTAAGCGATTACGAATAACAAGATTAACAAAATCCACTTGTAAGATGGGGGTCCATAGAACGTCCTCAAATTTCACCCTTTGCAGTAATGTAGTTTTACCACCTTTTTTCAAGGCAACTACCGGAATGCACACGATGTTCTTTTCAGTATGTACGCAGAACTGAAATCCCAGAAGATCAAAATTCCCTCCGAGATGGCCACCAACCTCATGATTCTGCACAGCTATATACTAGTGAAGGTGAGGCCCATGGAGTGACTTGGGACATAACCTGCCAGGTGTTTGTCCCCCATTGAGATTTTCTCCAGGCATTTTCCATTGGATTAGAGTGATTGCCTAGATCTCTGTATTGTTAAGTAACAAAACAAGATACAGAACCCTTCTACAATACGCTGCCTTGTGTGGAATGAGGCACGGGGCAGGAGGCACAGCACCAACTCCAGTGTGGGGACAGGGAGACGAGGGGGACCAGGCTTCCCCATGTGCATCTTCTTATAGTGTGGTGTGTTGTTTTGTTTTGTTTTTGAGATGGAGTCTTGCTCTGTCGCCCAGGCAGTGGCACGGTCTTGGCTCACTGCAACGTCTGCCTCCCAGGTTCAAGCAATTCTCCTGCCTCAGCCTCCCGAGTAGCTGGGATTACAGGCGCCCGCCACCACGCCCGGCTAATTTTTTTGTATTTTTAGTAGAGATGGAGTTTCACTATTGTGGCCAAGCCGGTTTCAAACTCCTGACCTCCCAAAGTGCTGGGATTACAGATGGGAACCACCATGCCCTGCTTTCTTATATTGTTTTGATTTTGAAACACATAAATGTATTACCTGTGCCAGAAAAATAGATTTACTTAAAACATCTTTGTTTATCCGAAACTTGTTAATTTATTTATTTTGTGAGTGGATTTCATAAAATTCCACTGCTTTTTAAATATTGTTTAGTTTTCATCCAAATGTAAAAATAATACATGTTCACTAAGGAAGTGTAAAGAACATCAAAAAGAATTTTTTAAAAATTCATCCTTTAAGTCCACCGTCCAGATATAACAATTGTTAACACTGTGTTGTATATATTCTTTGTACTTCTATAAATGCATGTTTTTTACCAAATTGGGATTATGTTTAGTTGTGTATATTGTTTTTGAAATCAGTAATTATCAATACAAACAAAAATAGATCCTGCAAACATCAAGTACTTGTATGTATAATTTACATAAATGAGGCTGGGCATGGTGGCTCACACATGTAATCCTAGTACTTTGGGAGGACGAGGGAGGAGAATCATTTAAGCCCAGGAGTTTGAGGCTGCACTGAGCTACAGTCACACCATGGCACTCCAGCCTGGGCAACAGAGCGAGACCTCAACTCTAGAAAAAGACACAATACAACTTACATAAATGTCACATATATTCATGTGTACATTTATATATATACATATCTCTGTAAAGATACAGGCAGATCCAACTGACATATTTTTTCAAATGTTCATTGATGTCACAGTACATCTTTTCATATTAATGCTAAATTGGTTCTCTGACCTGTCCACAAGAGCAGTCATGTTATGAATTATTTACATCCTAATTATTGTCTATATCAGCACTGGCCAGTAGAACTTTCTACAGTGATAGAACTATTCTATATCTGTACTTCTCAATATGGTAGCCACTAACCTGGCTGTGGAGCACTTAAAATACAGCTAGTACAGCTGATAAACTACATTTTTAATTGTATATGATTTTAATTTTTAAATGTAAGTAGCCATACATGACTAATGACTACTACATGAGACTGTACAGGTCTATAATGCTGATTCTAAGGGAAATGCATCTGGAGTTATAACTTGCAACCTCCAAGAGTACATTTCCCTTCAGAGAGTCAGGAGGACCCTTCTTCCATAAAGATGGGGGTTGGAAGGAGGAGAGTCTTTCTCAGCTGCAGACATGAGTGGTGACATCAATGTCCTGGGAGCACAGAATCTGGCAAAATGGAGCCTTTAGGAGTGCAGTGGGGGAGGGGAAACACATTGGTGGAAGATGTGGGGCAAAAATAGGAATTCCTGACAGAGGCTCTCCTGCAACAGAGCTTTCTAGCACCATAAGCCACAGGGGTGCTTCTCTCATCCTTTTCTTTTTCTCTGGCCCCAAGCGTTAGCGTCATTCCACACTCACCCTGCACATTCTCACCAAGTATCAGCAGCCCTGACCCCTCATCTGCCTGCTTCTCTCCTCCGCACTGCCTCACTTTTTAGCCTCCTTATCTCACCCCTGGATGACTGCAGTGGCTTCATGGCCTTGCCCCTGCTGACTCTCGAGGCTCACCCCATCCTAAATGCACCCCTCAATGTGTCACTGACCCTGCTGGTCCTTGCCTAGTCTGAGGCCTTCCGCCCATCATTGCCCTCTTAGCACAGACAGGGCCCCTTTCCTTTAGCAGATCATTCTCTTTCTTTCTGCCTGATTCCTGACTCACTCAGCTTTCAGGTCTTACCACAACTTGGTGAAGTTGGTCCCCCAAGAATGGCCAGTAAGAGATAGACTGGGGATTTGAACCATATCAAGTGGTCTAGGGCAAAGTCAAAAGCAGAGCATAGAGTAGGTGAGGCAGGTGAGGCCATGGAGCCAGGCAGCAGCTGTTGAAGAGAAAAAAGGGAGGGATCTCCAGTGGCATCAGCCAGGAAAGTCTACAAGGATCCCACAATGATCCTGGGCCATAATCAAGGAGTTATTTGGGGGAACAAACCATGAATTGGGGCTAATCAATGACTATGAGAAGAGTAAAATATGTCATTTGTTTCAGATTCATGTTAAAAATGGAGATCACATGAAAGGGGCTCGCATGCTTATTCGGGTGGCCAACAACATCAGCAAATTTCCATCACGTAAGTACCACTTACCACGCCGCATGCCCCATGCCCCACGCTGGCACAGCACCCCTTGTGCAGGCTCCCCAGGCCGCATGCCCCATGCCCCACGCTGGCATGGCACCCCTTGTGCAGGCTCCCCTTGTCACTAACTCGTTTAATTATCACAGCAGCTCCGTGAAGTGGCATGTCAGGGCCCCAAGACCACTCCCAGGTTTGATGATTCTTCACTGGGAGGATTTACAAGAGTCAACACACGGTAGTACCAAAGCTGAGATTTACCACAGCAAAAGCATCTGAGGCAAAATGAGCAGAAGGATTCGCCCAAAGGCGAGCAGGTGCAGGCACGGACCTCCAAGAGTCCCTTCACAGTGGAGCACACAGGACGCAAGTTCAGTAACTCCTCCAAGACTGACTTGTACAACATGGTGAAACGTAGAGTGCCAAGAAGCTCATTAGAGACTTAGCAGCCAGGAGTTTTATTGGGGTGTGGTCGCATAGGCACCCCCTGCCTGGCATGTACCCAGTTTTCCAGGCTCCCAAAGAGCAGGTGTTCAGCATAAACCACATTGTTTGTACAAAGATTTTAGGCACGGTGAGCCACTCATCAGTTCTGGAAATGGTGGGAACCGTCTCCAAATCTATGTTCCAGATGCGAGCCAAGGGTTAGCTGTTCAAGCCTTTCCAAGGATGACAGTCTCAGGCCTGCACACACAAGTACTTTTCTGCACAAACTGGGACAAAAGAAAAGAAATAACATTTGCCCGAGATCACATTGTCAGCTAATAATAGTCTGACTCTGTGTTCACAAGCACAGTAGGGTGTTGCCTCTGAAAAGGCCCCACTATTCTTAAAGCCATGTCATGATAGCATTCTTAAATAATTAAATCCTGTCACATTGTGACAGGGATCAGCAAACTTTTTCTGTAAAGGGCCAGATGTAAAATATTTTAGACTTCGTGAGACATATGGTCTGTGTCACAACTGCTCAACTCTGCCATCTTCTCATGAATAATACATAAACCAATGGGCATGACTGTGTTTCAGTAGAGCTTTATTTTTGGACACGAATGTTAACCACATACACTTTTAACATGTCACAAAAATACTTTTGATGTTTTTTCAACCATTTAAAAATGTAAAAATCATACTTTGCTCATGGGCCATATAAAAAGTCAGAGGGCTAGATTTGGTCCATGGGTCATAATTGGCCAACCCATATTCTCTTAAGTGTATTTTTGTCGTCATCGTTACATGAAAGTCTACCATGCGGGCAAAGTGTTGGATAGGACAAGCACTCTCATGACTGCTGGTGGGAATGGAGATTGGTATGGCCTTTCCAGAAAGCAGTTTGGCAATTTGTGGTAAGAGTATTTTTTAAAAGGTCCTGTTTTTGAGCCAGTAATTCTGGGTGTCTGTCCTGAAGAAAGAATTTGATGCCTGCAGAGAGATTAGTGCATAAAGTCATTAATCCCCCTTATGCTTTTATCAGCAGTCCTGTCAGATGCAAAAAAATGTATCTAAGAGGTGTGAAAGGAAACTCACCAAAGTGTTGCCTCAAAGGATGCAGGTCCCAGCGTTACAAGGCAGAACATGGTGTAATCAAAGGAAAAGCAATTGATGGGCAGTTAGCCTGACCCCACGGCTACGTACTTTCCTCATTAAACAGATCATATCTGGTTCTTTGCAGAAAAAGCAAAGTTCAGAGGCTATGACCCTGTTTTCCTACAGAACCAGGGTGGAGTCCCGCCTGTATCACTGAGGACAGGAGACACTGTGCCCTTACTGCTCTCCCATTTTCTCTTGCAGACATTGTACCAATCCTGACGTCAACTGTGATTGAGTGCCACAGGGCAGGCCTGAAGAACTCTGCTTTCAGCTTCGCAGCTATGTTGATGAGGCCTGAATACCGCAGCAAAATAGATGCCAAATACAAAAAGAAGATCGAGGGAATGGTCAGGTAGGCAGAGACAGCTATTTCGCTATCTAATCACATTTCTCAAAGGCATTTCCCAAAATGTAGCTGCCAATGTGCGGGTTCAATAAGAAAACAGCAGGGGGCCAGGTATAGTGGCTCACGCCTATAATCCCAACACTTTGGGAGGCTGAGGTGGACGAGTCACTTGAGGTCAGGAGTTCAAGACCAGCCTGGCCAATATGATGAAACCCCAACTCTACTAAAAATACAAAAATTGGCTGGGCCTAGTAGCGCACACCTGTAGTCCCAGCTACTCAGGAGGCTGGGGCAGGAGAATCACTTGAACCTTGGAGGCGGAGGTTGCAGTGAGCCGAGATTGTGCTGTTGCACTCCAGCCTGGGCAACAGAGTGAGACTCCATGTCAAAAAAAAAAAAAAAGGCGGGCATAGCAATTAGGATTGTATTCAGCTCCAAGCAGCAGAAAACCTAACAGCAGCTTGACCAAGTCAGTATTTATTTGACTCATATGCAAGGCATCACAGTCCAGGGCTGGTGTCACTGTGCCTTGATGCCACCAGACCCAGATGCCCCTGTCTTCCAGCTTTGCCATCCATAGCATAGAGGTTTCCTCCTCATGGTGGCAAGACATCTGCCACACCCCCAGACATCACGTCTTCGTTCCAGGCAGGAAGAAGTAGGGAAATGAGAAGTCAGGGGGATCTTCTCCTTTTTGCTCAGGAAGGTACCATCCTCAGGACCTTCAATTTTCACCTCCGTGGCCAGTACTCTGCCTCACAGGACTTAAGGCTGCTAAGTGGAAACAAAGTTCTGCTGGCAAGGAGATGGAGAGAAGCAGCGAACTACGTCTGCCAAAGAGGGATAGAAAATCGTGGGCATTCTCAGTGTGAGGAACTTCCTGCTCACCGGGCCCACTGCCAGTGGAGACCCCATTTCCAAATCCTGTGCAGCCCCAAAGCCCTTAGGCACGTCCTCGCTTCAGAAAGCGTCAGTAGCCTGGTTTTTCTAAAGGAAAACTAGGAAAAAGTAGCCCTTGCATTTGGAAAAGAAAAAAGTCATTGCAGTCATGGAGTAATTCTAAACAACCACTTATTCAGAGGAGTGATGACATTTAGGGTTCCTGTTCATTACATTATGATGAGACCCAGGTCCCTGAGTCTTGACCCAGACCTTAGGCCCAGGGAGATGACTGGATTGGTAATGACAAATGGAAGCAAATGACACTTCACTGGTAGCTGGACTTGGGAGCCACCCTCATGGCAGAGAGCTCTAAGGTGGATAGGAGTACGTGGAATACTCCTTTTTTTAAGCCTAAGTAGCTTCAGACCAAATCACTCTGACCCAAAATACCTGCTAGCATGGAGAATGGGGTGGGGAGAAGGTAACTAGAAAATGCAAGATCATATTTACCCCCACAGCATAGAATCACACTAGCTGAGGCTCTGGCTGGGAGGAGATGCTAGTCATTCTCTCCCCATGCACAAATGGTTTATAGCTGTGTGGTCCAATATGGTATCTGCTAGCCATGTGTGGCTATTTAAATTTAGTTAAAATGGAATAAAAGTTAAAACTTAGTTTTTCACACTACCCGTATTTCAAGTGTTCAAATGTGGCTTATGGCTACCATATTAGACAGCACAGAATCTGAACATTTCCATTGTCACAGACAGTTCTATTGGACAGTGCTGGTATAGCTTTTACCACTTCTGTTACACAAAAGAGAGAGACAGAGGACAAACACCAAGCTCACCACTCCAGTAGCACAGGAAGAGAGAAGACCACAAGACCTACCCGTGCTTTCTGCCGTTGAATGTGCTATGAACTCCGGTTCCCAAAGGTGGCCCATGTAACACCCTAGAACCTAACCAATCCTAAGTACTCTTCCTCCTCCCTGGAGTGAATCAAGAGCTGGTGTGAGCTTGTAAGTATCTCTCTAAGCCCAGAGTCTGACTATGAAGTAGGTGTGTCATGTGTCCCTGGTTTTCCAAATATGCTTTCTCTTTGCCATCCCCAGTACATGAATAAAACGGTATTTTTAATTGACATGATTCTTCCTCACAGGAGACCTGATACATCTGAGATAGAAGAGGCCACGACTCCATGTCCATTCTGCAAATTTCTTCTCCCAGAGTGTGAACTCCTCTGTCCTGGATGTAAAAACAGTATCCCATATTGCATTGCAACAGTGAGTTCCTTTATAGTAATTTCCCTTTCTTTGCATATATATTTGTAACCCATTTGAATACTTGATGTATGTCAATATTTTCTTCACTTTTAAAATAATCTTATCCCGCAAATTTCCTGCAACATCTGGCATTTTATTTCGTGGTCAATACAGTTAAAGGTGATATTCAAAGCAAATAATAATAGTGGAGGCACTATCACTGCAGGGCTGAATAGCGCAGACTCGGGGATCAGACTGTCCCAGGCTCAATCCTCTGCAGCAACACCAACCACAGACTGATGAGCTAACATGTGAAGCGTTGGTGGCATCCTGGCAGGCTGCAGCACTTAATAAGCAGTAGTTTTTATTATTGTAATATTGAGACTTAGTGTCAGAGAACTTTAACATATCAGTTTATTTGTAATTCACTGGACTAATTTAAGCTTTATTTTAAAGAAAAATTCAGGTAATGATATCACAAAATTGAAGATTATTCTTCCTTTAAACATGAATCTGATAAGCAAAAACCTAACTTTAGTCCTTTTAATGTCATCTGTTACCCACCTGTGTGAAATAGCAATGATTTTATAATTTAGAGGTCTGACTTATAACTGGAGTTCAATTATTATAATTGAATAACAGGCAGGGCGCAGTGGCTCACACTTGTAATCCTAACACTTTGGGAGGCCAAGGCGGGTGGATCACTTGAGGTCAAGGGTTCAAGACCAGCCTGGCCAACATGGTAAAACCCCGTCTCTACTAAAAACACGAAAATTAGCCGGGCGTGGTGGCATGCGCCTGCAGTCCCAGCTGCTTGGGAGTCTGAGGCAGAAGAATCGCTTGAATCCAGGAGGTGGAGGTTGCAGTGAGCTGAGATCACACCACTGCACTCCAGCCTAGTCAACAAAGCAAGGTTCTGTCTCAAAAAAAAAAAAAAAAAAAAATGAATAACGGTGGGAGTTTTTAAAGCAAAGATGAATTTAACTCTTAAACATACCGTTTCCAGGGTCGACACATGTTGAAAGATGACTGGACAGTGTGTCCACATTGTGACTTCCCTGCTCTGTACTCAGAATTGAAGATGTAAGTGTGCATTATGTCACCCCGTCTCACAGATTTGTCCAGACACAGGCCTTTCATTCTACTTCTTTTGTTCTGAAGCATCCTTCTGTTTATTTGTGTTCCTAAGGATCTCTAAAGACTCAAATTGTCTTTGAGAATATTATCCTTAAAGAGGATCTTGCATGAGACTGAATAGTTCTGATTCTCAAATTGCATGGTGGACATGTATTAGGAGGCATAGACAGAAAGTAGTTGTCTTTCTCATTAGAGTAACCCAAAGCTAAAGGAATGTTACATATTTAATTTACTCTGTCTTTCCCTCCCCTAATCAGCATGCTAAACACTGAAAGCACATGTCCTATGTGTTCAGAAAGATTAAACGCTGCTCAACTGAAAAAGATTTCAGACTGTACCCAGTACCTGCGAACGGAGGAGGAACTGTGAGCGGCATGTGCAGGTGAGTGGCAGAGCACCCACGTGCCTTCTGGGCGCGACGGTCCACAGCGTGCATGCAGCTTTTTTTTTTTTTTTTTTTTTTTTTTTTTGAGACAGAGTCTCGCTCTGTCTCCCAGGCTGGAGTATAGTGGCCGGATCTCGGCTCACTGCAAGCTCTGCCTCCCGGGTTTACGCCATTCTCCTGCCTCAGCCTCCCAAGTAGCTGGGACTACAGGCACCCGCCAGCTCGCCTGGCTAGTTTTTTAATATTTTTTAGTAGAGACGGGGTTTCACCATGTTAGCCAGGATGGTCTCGATCTCCTGACCTTGTGATCCACCCGTCTCGGCCTCCCAAAGTGCTGGGATTACAGGCTTGAGCCACCGCGCCCGGTCGCATGCAGCTTTTTACTGTGTATCGGTATCAACTCCTTTTAGTGCGTCATGGAACTTGCCAGATTTGAACAATCTGACAACCACATTTGATGTGTTTTTTTTAATGCTAAAACGCAGGCATTATCATCTCCATACAAAGGTGGTTTGGCCAAGCAGCATCATTCGGACTAGAGATTTTTTCAAATCTCACAGGGGTCTTTTTAATCACACCATTAAAACTAGAGTCAGCTAATAAGTTTTTTTTTTTGTTTGTTTTGTTTTTGTTTTTGTTTTTTAGGGTCTGTGATATAATTCAGGAAAATACATTGTAAAAATGTTGGCTTCCAGAGATTTGGAAATAATCTCCATTTCTTTTTCTTTCCAAGTCCCATTTTTGTCACATGGAAGCTGCACATATTCCTTCTACTTCATTCCATTGGAAGCACTTACTCGTGGCCACACATACTGCAGAGGAAGACAGGGAAATGTAGTCTTTAACTGAGAAGCCAAAAGCCCTGCCGAAGCTCAGGATATTCTTTTACCAAAGGGAGAAGTGAAAGTAATTCACCTCTGACACGGCATCTCACACTTAGCCTGGTTAAACAGGAGTCGAGGCTCCCCCAACAACCTCTCTGTTTTCCCTTCCTCAGGAAGCGGCAGCTCCATCCAACCAGTTGGACAGGACAGAAACCCTACATGTTATCTAGATTCCTCTCACCCTTAGCCCCCATGAGCAAGGGCTTTCAGGCTATCTCCAGTATATCTGGTTCATGGTTCTCTTGGCTTTTTATTGCACCTACAAGAACCTCCAAGGCTGTCCATGAACAGGCCCAACCTCCTCCTCCTGCCTCCGGTCTGATTACTCACCATGTTGCAGCCCCACTGGCCTTCTTGCCCTTCCCTGACCACTCCAAAATGTTTTCCACAGCAGTTGCACCCTCTTACATTCCCACCAGCTGCACACAAGCGTTCGTCCCTCCACTCCACATCCCTGCCAACAGCTGTTGTCTGCCTTTTTTTTTTTTTTTAGACAGAGTCTTGCTCTGTTGCCCAGGCTAGAGTGCAGTGGCATGATCTCAGCTCACTGCAACCTCCGCCTCCCAGATTCTGGTGATTCTCATGCCTCAGCCCCTGAGTAGTTAGGACTACAGGCATGTGCCACCACGCTTGGCTAACTTTTGTATTTTTAGTAGAGACGGGTGGGTTTCACCATGTTGGCCAGGCTGGTCTCGAACTCTTGACTTCATGTGATTCGCCAGCCTCAGCCTCCCAAAGTGCTGGGATTACAGGCATGAGCCACCGCACCCAGCTGGGTGTTTGTCTTTTTATTGTTCAGTTCCAAGAGTTCTTTATATGTTCTAGATACAAGTTCTGTATCATATATATGATTTGGAAGTATTTTCTTGTGGGGTTTTTTTTCCCCTTAATAGAGGCAGGGTCTTGCCACATTGTGCAGGTTGGTCTCGAACTCCTGGGCTCAAACAATCCTCCTACCTCGGCCTCCCAAAGTGCTGGGACTACAGGCATGAGCCACCGTGCTCGACCTTGATAGCATTGTTTCATGCACAAGTATTTTATTTTGATGAAGTCCAATTTATCTGTTTGGTTCCCCCGCCCCTTTGGTTGCTTATGCTTTTGGTATTGTATCAAAAACCATTGCCAGGCTGGGCACAGTGGCTCATGCTTATAATCCCAGTGCTTTGGAAGGCCAAAGTGGTAGGATCACTTGAGCTCAGAAGTTCGAGACCACCCTGGGCAACATAGTAAGACAGTGTCCCTACAAAAATAAAATAAAATAATTAGCCAGGTATGGTAGCATACACCTGTAGTCCCCGTTGCTTGGGAGGCTGAGGCAGGAGATCACTTGAGCCCAGGAGGCTGAGGCTGAAGTGAGCTGTGATCAAGCCACTGTACTCCAGCCTGGGCAACAGACTGAGCGAGCCCCTTTGTCTCGAAAAACCAACCAGCCAATCAACTATTGTGTAAACTGGGCACAGTGGCATGCACCTGTTATCCCAGCTACTCAGGAGGCTGAGTCAGGATTGCTTGAGTCCAGGAGTTCAAGACCAGCCTAGGCAACATAGCAAGACCCCATCTCTAAATGAAAACAGTGCCTACTCCAAGGTCATGAAGATTTGCACCTGTTTCCTTCTAGGAGTTTTGTAGTTATTACTCTTACATTTAGGTCTTTGATCCACTTAGTTTTTGTGTCTGGTGTGAGATAGGGATCCAGCTTCCTTCTTTTGCATGTAGATATCCAGGTGACCTGGCAGAATTTGCTGAAAAGACAAATTTTCCTCATTGACACTGGATTATTGTCTATTTGAGTTGTAAGTTTTTTGTGTATGTATTCTAGATACAAGTTCTTTGTCACATATATTTTGCAAATATTACACGCTGTGGCTTCCCATTTATTTTTCTGAATGGTGTCTTTTGATGAGCAGGTTTTGATTTTGATGAATTATAATTCATTAATTTTTAAATTTAAAATTTTATGGTTATTGCCTTCTTTGTCCTAAATATATGTGTGTGTTTATATATATATATTGCCTACTAACAAGTCAGAAACATTTTCCTGTTTTCTTCTAGAAGCTCTAGATCTGCAATTTATCTTGAAATAATTTTTGTTTCCAGTGTGAGGAAGGGCTGGATTTTCTTCCCCTCAAATGGATATAAAATGTGGGCCTATTTCTGGACCCTCTCTTCTTTGGCATTGATGTGCTTCTCCCTTATTTTAATACTACGCTATTTTGATTACTGTGGCTTTATAGAATCTCTTAAAGTCAGGTATTATGGACCCTCCTTTGTCATGTTTTTTTCCAAGATTGTTTTGGCTGTTATTCTTTTTATCTTTGTAGACAATTTTAGAATCAGTTTCTCAAATTCTGTTTTATAAACCTGCTCAAATTGTGATTGGGACTTGTATTAATTTTGTTGCTATGTAACAAATTATCACAAATTTAGCATCTTAAAATAACACACATTTATTATCTCACAATTTCTATGGTTATGGGTCAGTAGTCTAGGTATGGCTTAGCTGGGTCTTCTCTTCAGGGTCTCACAAGGCTATAATCATAGTGTTGGTTGGAGCTGCAATCTTATCTGAAGTCTTTTTCTAGTCTGTTGGGTTTTGTTTTCTTTGGGGATGGTCGGGGAAGATTCTGATCATTATGGTCAGAGGACTGAAGCCCTTAGCTCCTACAGGCAGTTTCCTGACATGTGACCCTCCCCACAACATGAAACTGCTTCAAGTCCAGTGTAAGATCATATCTCATATTTACAATCTCTCCCTTCAGGGAAAGTCTGGACCCTATTATAAAGGGTTCACCTGATCAGTGAAGCCCAACACAAACTCTCTTTTGATTAATTCAGAGTCCATTGATTGGGACCTTAACTACATCTGCAAAATTCCTTCATCTCTATCATATAATTAAACCTAATATGGTTATTATCACATCATATCACAAGCCCTGCCCACACTCAAGAGGAAGGTATTACACAGGATAAGTATCACTGGGTGTGGGAAATTTAGGGACAATCCTAGAATTCTGCCTATCACAACAGTTACATTGATTCTGTAGATCATTTTGAGAACTGACATCTTTAACAACAGTCTGCCAGTCTATGAATATGGTATATCTCTACATTTATTTAGATCTTTTTCAATTACTCATCACTATTTTGCAGGGTTTTTTGTTTTTGAGATGGAGTTTCAATTCATCACCCAGGCCATAGTGCAATGGTGCAATCTTGGCTCACTGCAACCTCTGCCTCCCGCGTTCAAGCCATTCTCCTGCCTCAGCCCCTTGAGTAGCTAGGATTACAGGTGCCCATCACCACGTCCAGCTAATTTTTGTATTTTTAGTAGAGACGGGGTTTCACCACGTTGGCCAGGCTAGTCTGGAACTCCTGACCTCAGGTGATCCACCCGCCTCAGCCTCCCAAAGTGCTGGGATTACAGGTGTGAGCCACCGTGCCCGGCCTATTTTGCAGTTTTGAATAAAGAAGTCTTTTGTGTCTTTTGTTAAATTTATTTCTAAATAATTTGGGGAGATTTTAATACTAAATGAAATTTAATTTTTTTCATTTCCTAATTGTTTACATAGGAAAGTGCAATTAATTTTTATATATTGACCTTGCATCCTGTAACCTTTCTAAATTGACTTATGTCTAGTAGTTGTACTGTAGAATCCTTCAGATTTTCTGTGTAGTCATTTACAAATAAACAAAAAATTTACTTATCTTTCCAATCTTTATAACTTTTATTTTTCTTCTCATATGCACTGGCTAGGACCTCCTCTACAATGTTGTATAATAGTAGAGTCAACATCCTTGTCTTGTTCTCAATGTTGGGGGAAGGCATTTAGTATTTCACTATCATGATGTAAGGTTTTTCAGAGAGTCTCCTAACAAATTGTGGAAGTTTCCTTCTAGTTTACTAGGTGACAGATTTTTGTCAAATGCTTTTTTTCTATCAATTGAGATTATATTGCTTTTCCCCTTTAATGGTAAGTTATATTTATTTTATATGGTAAGTTATATTTAACTTTTATATATGTTATATATATAACATATATATAACATTTATATGGTATATGTAAGTTATATTTATGTGGTAAGTTATATTTATATGGTAAGTTATATTGATTTTCAAGTGTGAAAGCCAACTTTTATTCTGGAGATAAACTCACTTGATCATGATGTATTATCCTAATGCTGGATTATTTTGCTAATATATTGAGAATATTGTGTCTGTGTTCATGAGGGATACTGGTCTGCAGTTTTCCTCTGTTGTGATTTTTTTTTTTTTCCGAGTGTTATAAGGCTGAATTTAGGTCTACAATTTTGTTACTTGTTTTTTATTTGTCCTATCCACTTTTTGTTCAGTTCCTCTTGTCTTGCCTTCTATTTGACTAAATATATTTTCATATTTCATTTGATTCTTCTATTGACTTTTTACCTATGTCTTTGAAAAATTTTGTACTTGATTAATATCCTATTATATATATATACACACACACACAAATATACATATGTACACATTCTAAATCCTGTAATACAATGGTATAATTTTTCTTTAGTTGTGTCTTTTTAAAGGAAATTATAAAGAAAAAACTACAGTGTAGCTTTACATTTACCCACATTTATAATTTCCATGTTATTCTTGCCTGAATCCAAGTTTCCATATGGTATTATTTCCTTTCAGCCTGAAGTACTTCCTTTGACATTTCTTACATGTACAGGTTTGCTGGTGACTTCTTCTCTGTTTTTATTTTCCTTCATTTTTGAGGGTATTTTAGCTTGATATGCAATTCTGAGGTTTTCTTAAAGCACTTTCACGATTGTCTCCAATATCAAACTTCATTGTTCCCTTGAGTTTACTGGTTTCTTTCTGGCTATATTCAAGGCATTCTTTATTTTTGGTTTCCAGAATTTTGACTATACTTGCCTGGGTGTGGTTTTTAAATTTTTTTAACTTAGGATTTCCTAGAATTCTTGAATCTGTATGTTTATATTTTTCCCTCAATTGGGACATTTTTGAGCCATTATTTCTTCCAATACTTTTTCTGTCCCTTTCTATCTTCTCATTCTGGAACTCCAGTAGTATCTGTGACTACTTGATATCTAAAGTCACTAAAGTTCTTTCCTCTTTTTTCTCTGTTCATATTGGATAGTTTTGATCTCTATTCTAGCTCACTGACCTTCTAATTTTTTTGTTTTGTTTTGTTTTGTTTTGAGATGGGGTCTCCCTCTGTTGCCTGGGCTGGGATGCAGGGCCACAATAATCGTTCACTGCAGCCTCAAACTCCTGGGCTCAAATGACCTTCCTGCCTCAGCCTTCCAGGTAGCTAGGACTACAGGCACGTGCCACCTTTTTTTTTTTTTTTTTTTTTTTAAGAGATGGGGTCTCACTATGTTGCCCAGGCTGGTCTTGAACTCCTGGACTCAAGTGATCCTCTCACCTCAGCCTCCCAAAGTGTTGGGATTACAGGTGTGAGCGACCATTCCTGGCCTTCTAAAGACAAAAAAAAATTCAGATTTTGTCGCAAGTTTCTGTTACCTATGGGAAGATTAAACTGCAAGTGGAACCTTGTATTTTTAAAAAACGTCCACAGAACCTCTCCACACACTATCACGGCATTAGATAATGCTTTACAGAAAACTTCAAGGAACCAGACCATGGTACATCATAGCTCCTTGCAGATATGTCTTCACTGAGTTATGATTGTGCACTGTCCTTCAAATACGTCACTATAGCCAGGCGCAGAGCCTGTGCCCCAGTCCCAGCTACTCAGGAGGCTGAGGCGTGAGGATCACTTGAGCCCAGGAGTTCAGGGCTCTAGGAGACTATGATCATGCCTATGAAGAGCCACAGTAATCCAGCCTGGGCAATGCAACAAGACCCCATCTCCTAGGGGAAAAAAAAACACACACACACACACAGAGTCACTGTAAGCATCCTTATACAGTGAATACTGGTTGAAGCTGTTGTTCACTGGCTTTTAAACAAATATAACTTTAATTTCAGGAAAATTTTTCCTACAAATTAATTTCTGAGCACTTTGCATTCGTTCTTCCCAGTGAGGTGGCTGTTATCAGCATCCTTCCTTCATTACAAAGGCTCAAGAGCTTGCCCACACAATTTGAGTCAGTTGGCAAGGCTAGTACCGAAACTTGATGCAGATTACAGGCTGGAGATTTCCAACTTGAATGTTTCCTGTTCCACATTCTAGAAACGGGCAAAAAATTCTTTTTAGTATGTTTGGCTTTATTACTAAATGCTAGCCATTATTTGAAACCCTTCTAGAAGCATGTGTTCTCTTTGTCCCTTCTAGATACAATGCTCCTGAGAAGACAGCATTTTCCACAGGAGGCTGTTTCCTTCCCTGGTGCATTTATTTAAGAGACGGTCCTTTCTGGATACAGAGAAATGAACCAACAGTGACCTCTCCAGGTTGGCACTTCCCACTTCTGTACAGTGGCAAAACGATGATGTGTAACCTTGCTGTTTATTGTACTTTGTATATTTCCTCTTCAAAGTCTTACACACTCTATCCTCTGCACTGTTAATAGTAACCTATGACATAATTGTAAATATTCAGCTTTTTGATAACTTTTGTATTTTGAAATACTTTAAAATAAAATTGTTGACTAGATATTTTATCTAGATAATCAAATATCTAATCATTTGTGACGTTTTCCTGGATTTGGAGACAGAAAAAGAGATAAAGGTAGCTCTGAAGCACATTGTCAAGTTTGGGCAACACAGATGTGAACAGTGTAAAAAGCTTGAAATGAGAAGTTTATACAAATCACAGCAAGCAGAATCAGCCCAGAAGCAATTAATTAGGAAATCAAAATTTAGGAAATTAGGAAAACCAGTCTTGTAAAGAATGAATGAAACTATCAGCTTATATCTGCCAAATCATTCTACTGCATACTATAGAATTCCCATCACAAAATTAAGTCATTTGACTACCCCTGAAAACATACATTATTTGGAATCTTCTCTGAGACTGCGTAAAGGTTCTTTCCCCATATCACACATACAGCACACACCATCAGTACACACACACTCTCTCTCTCCAAGGGAGTCCATACTTTTCCCACATCAGTACATGCTTCCTAGGCCATCCAAGGCCAGTCACCAAAGTGAGCAGCTGACAGAAATGAGTCAGGGGGTCAACTGTGAATGAATCCGATGATATTTTACAGTATGGCCCCAGCAACCTGAGCATTACAGCGGTACCCAGGGGCCTAAGCTAGGGCCCAAGGTGCCAGTAATGTTGTATAGCATCCAAGTATCCCACCTGCATGATGCCTCCAGCTTTAGGACCTGTCCTTCCCTCCCAATGACCAGCCAGAGAACAGGCCAGAGGCCTTGGCTTTACTAAGTGGTACAAAGTTATTATCATAAAACCTACCCACAGTCCCCTGCTTCCTCTAATATGCCTGGAGGTATACTGTAAGGCTGTAGAAATAAGAACCACAGGCACCTAGGACTGTGAGGGTGGGTAGATTCTACTTTGGGAGTTACAGGCCTTAGACTTTCACCCATGAGCATACTCATACTGGAGCTTGTTTAGGAAGCCACTCAACCTAGTACAAATAATCTACCCCGTCAATAACATTAAGAGATCAAACCATGGTGCTACATAACTGCCAACATTTAACAAGAAGAAGGATAAAGCTGAATGATTTGTAAGTAACAAAATGGTTGTGCATTTGTTACATATGTATACATGTGCCATATTGATGTGCTGCACCCATTCACTCGTCATTTGCATTAGGTATTTCTCCTAATGCTATCCCTCTCCCCTCCCCACTCCCCACAATAGGACCCGGTGTGTGATGTTCCCCTTCCTGTGTCCAAGTGATCTCATTGTTCAATTCCCACCTATGAGTGAGAGCATGCAGTATTTGGTTTTCTGTTCTTGCGATGGTTTGCTGAGAATGATGGTTTCTAGCTGCATCCATATCCCTACAAAGGACATGAACTCATCCTTTTTAATGGCTGCATAGTATTCCATGGTGTATATGTGCCACGTTTTCTTAATCCAGTCTGTCACTGATGGACGTCTGGGTTGATTCCAAGTATTTGCTATTGTGAGTAGTGCCGCAATAAACATATGCGTGCATGTGTCTTTATAGCAGCATGACTTACAATCCTTTGGGTATATCCCCAGTAATGGGATGGCTGGGTCAAATGGTATTTCTAGTTCTAGATCCTTGAGGAATCGCCACACTGTTTTCCACAATGGTTGAACTAGTTTACAGTCCCACCAACAGTGTAAAAGTGTTCCTATTTCTCCACATCCTCTCCAGCACCTGTTGTTTCCTGACTTTTTAATGATTGCCATTCTAACTGGTGTGAGATGGTATCTCATTGTGGTTTTGATTTGCATTTCTCTGATGGCAAGTGATGATGAGCATTTTTTCATGTGTCTGTTGGCTGTATGAACATCTTCTTTTGAGAAGTGTCTGTTGATATCCTTTGCCCACTTTTTGATGGGCTTTTTTCTTGTAAATTTGATTCAGTTCTTTGTAGGTTCTGGATATTAGCCCTTTGTCAGATGAGTAGATTGCAAACATTTTCTCCCATTCTGTAGGTTGCCTGTTCACTCTGATGGTAGTTTCTTTTGCTGTGCAGAAGCTCTTTAGTTTAATTAGATCCCATTTGTCAATTTTGGCTTTTGTTGCTGTTGCTTTTGGTGTTTTAGACATGAAGTCCTTGCCCATGCCTATGTCCTGAATGGTATTACCTAGGTTTTCTTCTAGGGTTTTTATGGTTTTAGGTCTAACATTTAAGTCTCTAATCCATCTTGAATTAATTTTCGTACAAGCAGTAAGGAAAGGATCCAGTTTCAGCTTTCTACTTATGGCTAACCAATTTTCCCAGCACCATTTATTAAATAGGGAATCCTTTCCCCATTTCTTGTTTTTATCAGGTTTGTCAAAGATCAGATGGCTGTAGATGTGTGGTGTTCTTTCTGAGGGCTCTGTTCTGTTCCATTGGTCTATATCTCTGTTTTGGTACCAGCACCATGCTGTTTTGGATGCTGTAGCCTTGTAGTATAGTTTGAAGTCAGGTAGCGTGATGCTTCCAGCTTTGTTCTTTTGGCTTAGGATTATCTTGGCAATGCGGGCTCTTTTTTGGTTCCATATGAACTTTAAAGCAGTTTTTTCCAATTCTGTAAAGAAAGACATTGGTGGCTTAATGGGGATGGCATTGAATCTATAAATTACCTTGGGCAGTATGGCCACTTTCACAATATTGATTCTTCCTATCCATGAGCATGGTATGTTCTTCCATTTGTTCGTGTCCTCTTTTATTTCACTGAGCAGTGGTTTGCAGTTCTCCTTGAAGAGGTCCTTTACATCCCTTGTAAGTTGGATTCCTAGGTATTTTATTCTCTTTCAAGCTATTGTGAATGGGAGTTCATTCATGATTTGGCTGTTTATCTGTTACTGGTGTATAAGAATGCTTGTGATTTTTGCACATTGATTTTGTATCCTGAGACTTTGCTTAAGTTCCTTATCAGCTTAAGGAGATTTTGGGCTGAGATGATGGGGTTTTCTAAATATACAATCATGCCATCTGCAAAAAGGGACAATTTGACTTCTTCTTTTCCTAACTGAATACCCTTTATTTCTTTCTCTTGCCCGATTGCCCTAGCCAGAACTTCCAATACTATGTTGGAGTGGTAAGAGAGAGCATCCCTGTCTTGTGCCAGTTTTCAAAGGGAATGCTTCCAGTTTCTGCCCATTCAGTATGATATTGGCTGTGGGTCTGTCATAAATAGCTCTTATTATTTTGAGATATGTTCCATCAATACTGAATTTATTTTTTCAGAGTTTTTAGCATGAAGGGCTGTTGAATTTTGTCAAAGGCCTTTTCTGCATCTATTGAGATAATCATGTGGTTTTTGTCTTTGGTTCTGTTTATATGCTGGATTATGTTTATTGATTTGCGTATGTTGAACCAGCCTTGCATCCCAGGGATGAAGCCCACTTGATCATGGTGGATAAGCTTTTTGATGTGCTGCTGGATTTGGTTTGCCAGTATTTTATTGAGGATTTTTGCATCGATGTTCATCAGGGATATTGGTCTAAAATTCTCTTTTTATTGTATCTCTGTCACGCTTTGGTATCAGGATGATGTTGGCCTCCTAAAAGGAGTTAGAGAGGATTCCCTCTTTTTCTATTGATTGTAATAGTTTCAGAAGGAATGGTACCAATTCCTCCTTGTACCTCTGGTAGAATTCAGCTGTGAATCCGTCTGGTCCTGGACTTTTTTTGGTTGGTAGGCTATTAATTATTGCCTGAATTTCAGAGCCTGCTATTGGTCTATTCGGGGATTCATCTTCCTAGTTTAGTCTTGGGAGAGTGTAAGTGTCCAGGAAATTATCCATTTCTTCTAGGTTTTCTAGTTTATTTGCATAGAGGTGTTTATAGTATTCTCTGATGGTAGATTGTATTTCTGTGGGGTCAGTGGTGATATCCCCTTTATCATTTTTTATTGCGTCCATTTGATTCTTCTCTCTTTTCTTCTTTATTAGTCTTGCTAGCGGTCTATCAATTTTGTTGATCTTTTCAAAAAACCATCTCCTGGATTCATTGTTTTTTTGGAGGGTTTTTTGTGTGTCTATCTCCTTCAGTTCTGCTCTGATCTTAGTTATTTCTTGCCTTCTGCTAGCTTTTCAATGTGTTTGCTCTTGCTTCTCTAGTTCCTTTAATTGTGATGTTAGGGTGTCAAATAGATCTTTCCTGCTTTCTCTTGTGGGCATAAATTTCCCTCTACACACTGCTTTAAATGTGTCCCAGAGATTCTGGTATGTTGTATCTTTGTTCTCATTGGCTTCAAAGAATATCTTTATTTCTGCCTTCATTTCATTATGTACCCAGTAGTCATTCAGGAGCAGGTTGTTCAGTTTCCATGTAGTTGAGCAGTTTTGACTGAGTTTTTTAGTCCTGAGTTCTAGTTTGATTGCACTGTGGTCTGAGAGACAGTTTGTTATAATTTCTGTTCTTTTACATTTGCTGAGGAGTGCTTTACTTCCAACTATGTGGTCAATTTTGGAGTAAGTGCGATGTGGTGCTGAGAAGAATGTATATTCTGTTGATTTGAGGTGGAGAGTTCTGTAGATGTCTATTAGGTCTGCTTGGTGCAGAGTTGAGTTCAATACCTGGATATCCTTGTTAACTTTCTGTCTCATTGATCTGTCTAATGTTGACAGTGGGGTGTTGAAGTCTCCCATTATTATTATATGGGAGTTTAAGTCTCTTTGTAAGTCTCTAAGGACTTGCTTTATGAATCTGGGTGCTCTTGTATTGAGTGCATATATATTTAGGATAGTTAACTCTTCCTGATGAACTGATCCCTTTACCATTATGTGATGGCCTTCTTTGTCTCTTTTGATCTTTGATGGTTTAAAGTCTGTTTTATCAGAGACTAGGATTGCAACCCCTGCTTTTGTTTTCCATTTGCTTGGTAGATCTTCCTCCATCCCTTTATTTTGAGCCTATGTGTGTCTCTGCATGTGAGGTGGGTCTCCTGAATACAGCAAACTGATGGGTCTTGACTCTTTATCCAATTTGCCAGTCTGTGTCTTTTAATTGGACCATTGAGTCCATTTACATTTAAGGTTAATATTGTTATGTGTGAACTTGATCCTAT